ATCGATTATTTTTCCAACACCGTTTTCGTAAGGTGATTTGTAAATGTATCGATAGATATAGTCTATACGAACTGAATATTCAATTAATAGTCGATGGATATTGAAAGAACTATCACTATTTACAGCAAAAGATTTCAGTGGCGATTGTTTATGGGCAAATCACACACACGACCATCCTAGTATGGCCGCACAATTTCTTCTCATAGTTAAGAAGGTTAACTAAGTATACATTGTATCGTGGTCTATATATATGTCTATTATTTGAAATATAAGGTCAAAATGCTTCCTAAAGCACAGGATATCACTGTAATTGTAGTAGCAAACCAGGCAAATTCGTGCTTTTCAAACTGTAAAGTGCTTATGGTGGACGATCTTAATGCGTTGTAGTGACTGCGAATAGTGGCCTTGAAACCTTGCCACGAATTGTCCACTGGAGTCAAGATCATTGGGTATACAGAGGAGGCAGTTGAGTCAGATTGGTCGTCTGAGTTAAACCACCAGGATGTGAGGGTCGAAGCCGACTGGTGGGTGTTGGATTCTTTTTGCTGGGATAACATTTGGTCCCATTTTCCTTCTTGTACCTCGGACATTTCCAAGATCGCTTGTTTGACCTTGTCTTCGAAGGAACCCACAAGACGCTTACGTTTCCAAGGCTCGACCAAGAACGTGGCGAGGATGAAAAGAAAAAGATTGATACCCATAAGGATCCAAGTACCCCAGGTAGAAGCCCGTCTAATTTTATCGGACCATATTTGCTCTTCGTGGTACCTGGTCAATATCAGTTGCGTGAGTTTGAGCTGGATGGCATCTACTTTCAGCTCGGCGTCATTCAAGGCGTTATGTGTATTCAGCTCTTCTTGTTCGTTGACATGATCGTTACGATAGAGCGTAGTGAACCGTTCGAGGTCTTCGGGAGACCAGTTATGTTTTCTGGTAAGAAGCTCGTTAATTTCTCGTTGCAGCAAAGAACGACGCAATATTGCTTGAGAGTAAAGATCCTTGCACTTCTTGACGTTTTCTTTTTCACCTTTAAGCTGGGCTTCTAAATCATTAATAGATTGTTTCAATTGCTCAATCGACGAGTAGCCAGTAACATCATTTAGAGCCCTTGTAGCGGTAAATATCGTGTCTTGCAACGAATCTAAGTATTCCTCTAGCTTTTTAGCAATTTGATACCGTCTCGTCTCTTTTTGTGATGGTAAGTTACCGATTTCTTTCTGTATATTTTGATTTATTTCTGAAGCAGTTATGGTCTGATCATTCACATTCGCCTCGTCTTCAGCAGCTGGTTTGTCTTTATTCGCTACGGTATCTTCTTCTTGCTCGTTTTCTTGCTTTGCTTCTTCACCTTCAGCCTCTTTGTCGAGTTCATATTTCTTGTATACTTCTTGCTGATGCAACTTTTTGTCATGCATCTCCTTCTTTTTACGAAGCTCAGAACCAAAGTTGGTTGTTTCTATTATCTCTCTAAGCTTGTCATCATGTGGTGACAGTTTTTCATTTGAATTTGCAATTGTATTGTTGGAACTAGAGAAATTTTTCAGCGAGTAAAACCTTGTTGCCAATGGGTTCAAGATACAAACGGACAATCGATTTGTGATCAACTTGTGAGATCTATAAATAGGTCTTATGTTGTAGGTTGAAACATTCATACGTATGTGTAGTTATCTGTTATAATATATCAAAGGAAAAGAAATTGATTTCTCCATATTTAATCAAAGTTCCGGTTATCGGGTTGTATTTTTCAAACTGATTTCTTCAAGCCTTCCTAAAACTACACTTAAATTAGGTAATTTACTGTATTTGGATTTATAAAATAACATAAACTGAATTCAATATTTAGCTACAAGTAAAATTACATCAAGAACAAGGTTTTGCCTTTAATTTAAAAATTCTTATCAACTAAAGCCTTGGCGAGCTTCCAATCATGGTCTTCAACATAATCTAAGACAATAATACCACAACCTCTCTTAAAAGTATCTTGAATCTTACCTTCAATCATTTTGTCAGCAACCTGCTTTGGCCAGCAGTCATGGTTGAAGAAGTTTGAACCAGAGCAGAAGTTCACAAACAACTTTGGATCGTTGTTGGAAGAATTGTGATTTCCAGCTTTTTCAGCCAATTTCTTGACATAATCAACCTTCTTGGAAATATCATCTGGACTTTCGATTTCACAGAAATCCTGGACGACAAAGCTTCCACGGTCATCTTCGGTGGTGTTGTACTTCCATGAAGCAGCATCAAAACCAAAGTTTTCTCTCAATTTATCGTCACGAACACCAAATCTTCTGAATAAGATGACCTTACCTCTGGTATCGCCGATTCTTGGCATATCAGAGCGTAAGTACCATTTGTCCTTGTTCTTGTTAACATAACGGTCCCAGATACACTTACCAAACTCATCTTTGTCATTGTCCCAAGAATCTGGACCTTCTTGCTTAAGGGAAACAATGACAGTTTCAGACTTGTTATCCTTTAAGAAATCATAAACTTCGTCTAAGACAGAAGTTAATTTCAATGGGAATGGAATTTTCACTGGGAACTTACCATGGATAACTTGCAAATCCTTAGCTTCATCTCCTTCCTTCATAAACAATTTGGAAACTCTAATGTCTAAAAATCTGACTCCGTGTTTCAATTGATCAGTAACTGATTCTCCTTGACACTGGACTGATGGTAAAGCAGTATGGCAGGCTGCGGAATTGTGTGTACCTGGAATAGCTAATTTCGATATCTTAGTATCGTCATTAAGTTCTTTCATCCATCTTTTGTAATCAACCATTGTTGTAATTTAATTTGTATATAGTTTTAATGTAACGAATTATACAATCGCTAGTCAATTGGCGTTGTTTGCTTTATATATTTAAGACCTGAAATTTAAATTGCGCTAGTGAATGTTGCGACCCAATCATTTCTTATGATAGCGATAAACAATAGTACAGAACAATAAGAATAGTATAGAATATTTCAAGCGAAATTATTCCAGATCATCTCATGGGCATCATAGCCTAGTGTTTCTGGAACCAATTGCAATACACAAATAAGATAAACTATACTAATAAGAAAGAAAACGTAGAAAACATTACCCCCAATGTAATTTTGAGCAATTGGAAAGAGATAAGCAAGTAGGATATTAGTAGACCAATTCATAGCAGACCCCACAGATAAAGCAGGACCAACTGAATCATGGTCTGTGAATTCTGGTGTAATTATGAATGGGACGGGACCTAAGCCTAATGAAAAGCTAATTATAAAAGCAAAGCACGAGATAGTTGCTAAGATGTCATGGTCATGGACTAGACCGAAAGCTATTGCCAAAGATGAAAGCCCCATACCCCCAATCGAGGTTAATAGCAATGACTTTCTAGCGAATCTATCAATTAATGGGGCTGCAACTAGTGCTGAAACCACATTGCAAAAAGACAACGAACATGTAAGAGTTAGCACATTTGTATCTTTAGGAACCACATTGGAGAGGATTGACACCCCATAGAATGTAAGGGCATTCATTCCGCAGAGCTGTTGTGCTGTCATGACAGTAGTCACTGCCCGAAGTTCCTTCCTATATTCTTTGCTAGTTAAGAATTGACCCGTAGTTACGTGACCATTTTCCAAAGACCCATTTTCTGACGCAGGAGAACTTAGGGGCATGGAATCAGTATGCCTCAATAGCGAAGTAGATTCAATAGGTTCGTAGTCCGCATTTTCCACTGTATTCGATAATCGCCTCCAGTGGTTTATTTCCTTTTTAATTTTGCTCTTATCTGTTCTTAAGCCATGCAAAATTGACGTAGCACTGCGTACATCTCCTTGGTTAAGTATTAACCACTTAGGAGATTCAACAGTAGTAAATAACATGAGAAATTGAAAAGCCGCAAGGCCACTTGCAAAGAGGAATATGTGCCTCCACTGTTGATCATTCGACCAATTATAAGATACTACTTGCGCAAGCAAAATACCCAAGACAACTGCCAATTGTAAAGACGAACCTAAAAATCCTCGATGGTTTATCGGAGTCAATTCGTTTATCAATATGGGGGAAATAACTAACGACAGACCAGCTCCAATTCCATTAAGAAATCTTCCTATATTTATTTGCAATGATGAATTGGATAAAGCCATAAGCAACGATCCAACTAAGTAAAAGATCGAATTCGTAATGCATATGAACTTTCTTCCAAAATTCGTTGATACCTTGTTGGAACCTAGTATTATTGACGATATAAGCCCACCAATGGTGAACATTGTAGTAGTCGTAGCAATCCCATTTGGCATGGGAATACAACTTTCGAAACCATGCTTATACCAAAAAGTATCAGAATAAGACGGGAGCGGACCGACCTTATGACTTGCACAAGTTATCACTGATTCTGGTGCATTTAACTCGGCCTTAAAATAGTTAGTATTTAATCCATGATTAAGCCTGATAAACACGTACCAAATGAAAACCAAATTGCAATGTACTCAAACAGGCAATTGCAGTTGACCACCCTAATTGAAATGTGATTCTATGATTTCCACTGTCCTCCATATGTTTTGTTCTATTATGAAAAATGAGGTGTCTGTTTGTTGGTGGAAAGGAATTTATAACAACAAAATAGGTCGATATATTGATCGCAGAGAGGAACAAAATACTGAATTCTCAAGCTTCAACCCATTTCATGCGTAATATTATCAATACACTAAAGATATGATTAGATGAAACTACCACGCCTCGAGATAATCATCTGAGTTTTGAAGAAAACAATTGGATTGGTTTGAGTTTAATTCTTACTTATCCTACTGTCTTTACTACAACAATCTATCTACAGACTGCTTAAACAATACACCAAATATCATAATTTAGAGACTTGATTGATGTAAGAAGGTAACATAGAAATTCGTCGTCTTCCGTGTCTTCTCTATAAGACAAGGTTAAAGCTGAATTGGGTCATTGGTTGCGGTCTGGTTAAATCCGGTTAAATGCGACCATTCTTATTTTGCAGCGAATGGGATTTTGTTGATCAGGTTCAACTCGTTGAATTTAAATAGATATCGTATAAATAATACATAATAATATATGAACAAAATACAAAATTATATTCTCTTTCTACCCATGAAATTAACAAGACCAGCTAAACAAATAAATGATCTTGAGGATCAACTAGTACATTATACTTTATACTCTCATCAATAAAAGTCTCATTAACGATTCTAGGTATCCTAGACATACTTTGAGAGTCAAAATTAACAGATTCACTTAATTTTTTGCTAAGAGTATTAATCTTCGATAATAAATTGTCTCTCAACAGTGAGTTTTGGTTAAAAGCGTTAGGGACAAGAATATACGAGCAATCAGATAAATGTGATGATACCTTACCCTGAAACCGTTCTATTTTTCTCTCCAATAACTTTATTTGCCATTCATAATCAATGCTAAGATTAACTAAGTAGAATTTGACATTGTGGAATAAAAACCCAAGAGGGAGGCTAATATCATGGCGATTTAACTCGTTTATGAAATCTTCAGTATATTCGCGAAGCCTTTCTTTAGGTAACGAGTGTTCTATTTTAAGCTTCTTGGCATACGTGGATGCCGGCTCATGGACATTAATCACGTAACTATCACCAAAAGTATCTACCCGAGTGCGAGCATTTTCAAGAATAGTTGCATTTGTACTTTCCAAAATGAGGGAAGGTTCTAAAGGTATAATTGAGCATTTTCTTATGCATTCAAATACCCAATCCGGCTTAATAATATCAAACCCCTTTTTTAAATAGATTTCACATTTAGTTGTGAGCTTTTCACTTAGAATTACAATTTGCTTATCTCCAGGTTGGTTCAATGGATTGTGAATAATCTCACCGCCATACTTTTTGACGGATTTACCGATCTCTAATATCGAAATTCTTTCATTAGTTGTAAGACTAAGCTTATCAGAAAATATTAAAAATTTAAAACCTCCGAACAAATTAGAAATCACCTCTGTATGTCCTCTCTTATCTTCTGTTAATTTTTCTTCAAAAGAATTAATAAACCGTTTCCTATTCTTAACTATAGACTGTGATTTATTAAATTCGCTGGAATACTTCAATTTTATCTCCTTATATTCATTCAAAGTGATGCATTCATCATACAGTTTATCCTCCCTGATACCTCTACAATAGAGGTTATGTAAGGTTGTACCAACTGCGTAAGTACTTAAATAAGTACAATCAATAGACCTTGCCTTAATCTCCAAAACAACTGAATCCCTTGGATGGATCCAGGAAGTTGGTTTTTTCGTTCCAAACTTCAAAAGGTCATCTGGTGGAGGACGCTTCTTATATTCAACCCATTTACCTGTTGTCAACCTCTCTATTTTGTTGAATTCATTCTCGGAAAACCCATTTGCAACAGTACAGAATGACTTGAAAATGTCTTTATCATCACTGTCTCTTAAACCACAAATGTATGAGTTTTTGATTCCCGGTATAATTCCAATCACAACTAAATCAAGATTCTCCCCAAACTGTTCTAAGTATTCTGGCTTGATTTTAATCCAACAATTGTTTCTTGACGCAACATGGTAATTCAGCTTAGTGTTTTTGACCATAATTCCTTCACTTCTTTCCGAAATAATATTTTTGATTGCCAACTTAATGTCGTGGGTATCCTTACATTTGATGTACTTCAATATTTCGAACTTATGCGGAACTGGGTTGATTACTTTATGCAACAAGTCTTTGCGGTAAAATAGTGGATACTTAGTTAAATCCTTACCATTCAAATTCAATATGTCAAAGATTATAAATAAAGGCCAGGAAGACTGTTGCTCGAAAACATCAGTAGTTGTGAATTGGCGAACAGCTTCTTGAACAGCCGAAGCCTTTAAAGTGCCAAATGGCAATATTAAATTTCTCTTATAGTCCCAAGCAACCATTTCACCATCGAGAATAATACTTTTGACTTTAGGGTTAAAAGCATTACGCAAATGCTTTGTTAAGGATCCTATTTGTAAGTTAGCACCGTACAATAGCGTGTAGTCTTTTGTCCTTCTGGAGTAAAATTTGAATCTAGAATTTTCCATATGCATAATCATTCTATCTCCATCCATTTTCTCTTCGATGAAAAACTCATTATTCATTTTGCTACATAGCAGATCATACAGAATAGAAAGCTTTTGGGATAATTGCGGTAGAAATGGATACATTAACTGAACATTTAATTGCTCTGGTTCAAGTCTCTTTTCAGGGTCTGTTAATAACCAAAATACTCTGGACAAATTGTTGCATATGTTAAATAACCTAGGAGCGTCTGGATGCCATGCTCTAAAGAAAATGACCTCGAATGATGCAAGTATTGATTTTTTCAAAATCATAGTGGTGAACCATCTGATTTCCTCAATTGTTAGTTTGTCTATCACGGGCTTCAATATTCTTATTTGAACTTCACTTTTGGTTGCTTCTGGTGAACATAGCTCATCTAGAATTTCGTTAATTTGATTGATGGTCAAAGTAGACTTGACAATCTTACTAGGGTCCCGTCTTTCGGATATTATTTGGGCTATAATTAACGGCAATGACCTTAGGTGCTTGTTTGCATACCTATTCAAATGCATGTAACCATGGTAATGTTTTTTATAGTTGAATAGCTTATCGTAATCCACAGAATTTTTTGGTATGCTAAACATTTTGATCACTAATCTCGCAAGCACCACATCTTTGATAAAATAAAGTCTCTTATCTCTATTAGGGAAGATTAATCGGGCTGCTGGAAAAATGTCTTTGCCAATAAATTGTTTCCACTGTTGAATAAATGATTCAATAATATAATTCTTCTTTGACGTAATATTAGGAAACGGCCCCAAATTTTCACTGCTCACAACATCAAGCTTTGTAAACAACTGCTCTACTAAGAAGTTGAACGACGCATCTTCAAGGTCATTCTTAGGTCTTTCAATATTGTCAAGATATGACATAAAGAACTGATACCATAATATCTTATCGGATTGAATTGATTTTTTTCGAAACAGGCAAAAATGCCGATACCGGCATCCTTGATGCAAAAAAACACTAGTACATTTACAATTACTACTATTTCCCCTTTTGCATTTCCAAGTACATTCGTCATTCTTGAAACCATATTAGGCTAATACATAAAACTACATTTCTGCACTGTAGTCATCGATTCTGCCAGTTTCCGTACTACAAGCATTTTAGGTGCGATACCATGCTCCCTTGGCAAAATGGCCAAGGGCCGTAAGAAATACAGATTTCCGCATTCTACATAGATCTTTACCAACAGAGGTCGTTACCAATCGGGTAAGTCGAGAGTCTGAGAACGGGGTGTCAATATGTGGAGGAGAAAACATTTTTAGACTTATCGGGTGAATAGCAACCTTCACTTAAAGTTAATTGGGTATCTAACTCAACTCTTCAATATTTCACAATTTTGTTCATTTACGCGTTGGACTGCTACAACAAGTGACATCATCTTATACGCCATTACTTATGCTTATTGCAACGGCGCAACTGACTAATCTTAGCATTACGATCTGTATCACGCTGTACAGCCTTCTATAGTCCCTATTGTTCTATGTACAGTATGTGCAAGATGGTTCCAGGAGAACATACTGCCAAATCAGTGATACAAACTACGCTATTGTCTATCCTAATTTAAAGCTTCGAATGATCACCGCCCCTGTCAGAAATATACTTGTGATTGTTATCGATGATGCTTAACGAAACTTGATTCACCCACGGTTTAGAAAATATCAATCGAAGATAGAAGCTGTTTAATTAGAAGTAGCTCTTGTAGAACAGAATAGTCTGGCCGATCAGATTCATCTTATGCCAAGTAGGAGTTCTATTTTCGTAAATTGCAATACTTTTAAGTGTAGAAAATCGCTAACGAAGGCAAGGGAGATTGCTGAAAAAAAAAATCGAACCGCAATACTGCGCAGTTATCCCCTACAAAAAAATAACGTATATAAAATTTAGTCCGTCCGGTTTATCTTGATATTTTATATAGATTACCAGAAGTTTACTACGAGAGATATAATGCCAATCTCATTTCTTTCTCCCAAGCGAATCTTTAGTAAGAACAAGAAGGATTCAGAATCCAGTTCCTTATCAACTCCGTCAAACCCGCCTGCTCCTATCACAAAGGACGCTAAATTTAGTCAAGATAATAAATTACCACTTCCAAGGTTGCAAACACAGAACTTGTCATCGTCTACAGTTACTCTGTCGTACGATAGTACCCCTGGATCACCAACCAATGGTAAGTACCAAGATTATGGGAAATTGTCTCCATTGAGACCTCCGAAGTTCGAAAATGGATCCGGCGCATCCACACCAGGCAGAAGAGTGCTTAGTGATAAAGTGAAATCGACACCATCATCATTGGTACGTCAACTGAGAGAGTTTTCGAACTCGATGTCAATGAACGATCTTTATTCGAGTCCTTCGTTGAGCTCTTATAGAAGCAAAGGATCCGTGTTAAGTCATAATAGAACGATCACTGAAAATTTACCGCCTGAATTGTCTCCAGTAGTGAATTTGATCCATGCACAGAGATTGAGAACGTATGCCGTAGGCAGTTTTAGGATTCCAGGAATGATTGGAAACGAGAAGATTTGGTTAGAGGTCGAAGCCAAGTTAACGGGGAACGAATTGGCCATCTGGAGGCCTTCGGATGAAGATTTCACTGTTGAGAGTGGACACGATGAATTTAAACCTAAATATATTAACCTCATCGACAGTCATATAAGCGTTAATCCAAAAGAGCTTGAGTTGAATATCATACAAGACTTCAATGAAAACTATACTATGGTTAAACTTGAAACACAGGAAGAACTCAGAAAATGGGTCGCAGCAATCAACTTGTCGAAATTCGAATATACTTCGTTGAACGAAGCATTCACGGCCGTTATGTTGTCTCTCAAAGGACCAAAATTATCTGACGTTCACATTTTGTTGTCGCAAAAGAAGAGATTTCCTAGGTTTGAATGGTGTAACCTTAGATTGCCTCAAATATCGTCTAAATGGGTAAAATTGTATGTAGCCATAATTCCCTCTGATTCTAAGAGGAACGGTTGCATTGAGATTTATGCTGATGAAAAGGTTTCTAAGAAGCAATTGGTTGCATACATTCCTAATCTTTCCAGTATTTTCAATGTTTATCCCGAACACGTCAACATGATTGACTTTAATTCGATCATGAAATTAAACGGTGAAGTATATATCAGCAAACATTTCCAACACTTGTTTGTTCACAATGAACCAACTTCGCCAGCTCGAGCTGCATCATCGAACTCATTATCGTCATTGTCTAATTCAGTCAATTTTACAGGAGGACATTCTAAAAACCAGTCTGTTACCTCAGCTTCGTCATTTTTCAATAATGCGTCCTCTCCTAAATTGCAAGATACTGGGGCAAAATCCCCAAAGACATCTACAACATCGTTTTTCAAGAAACACACGGACTCATTTGTTTCAACAAATTATTTGTACATTATGCCAATACCACACCCTGGTGTTTCTGCTATTGAAATTATGATCCGTAACTTTATACACATCATTGACTCGTTCAAGTTATACGGTAGACCCCAACACTTGAATTCCGATAAGACTAACCAAGAGTCTTTACTTTTTGGTATACCTTCATTACCGCTGTATCAATATTTATCTGTTGAAAATGCCATGGCAGTCATTGGCAATAACATAGGGAAATCATCATCAACTAACTGGGATGAATTTTTCTGGAGACGTGCATTTAAAGATTATATTTCTAAATTGTATCCAATTTATAAGGGAGACAGTAATATTTATGATTTGTACAACAGCTTGGAGCTTGATGCCAATGAGATATACAACTATGCAGTTGAATCGCCAAAGATCCAGTTTCCACCCTCTGGTGGAATGAGATCCCAATCTAACTCTCTCTCAAATCTGGAAATCAGGAACGTGGATTTCGATAACTTTAGTGAGCCTCCTGAGAGTCCTCTTATCAGCAACTACAACCAAAACCAAGAATACACTCAAAGCTACAGCGAAAACTACAGCGAAAACCTTAACGGAAACTACGATGATGGTTATAACCAAAATTATAGCCAGAATGGTACTTTAGGTGAGCCTATCGATTTCGGTTCTCCTAACCTGTCTGCTCCTTATGACAGAACCTTGGATCCTATTGTAGATTTACCTACTCCAAGAGAAGAAATTCACCCATTCAAAAACCTTGCTCCTGCAACTAATCAATAGAGTTATACAATCATCCTATTAGGGCAGTGATTCACGATTATCTATTTGATCACACTCGCCTAAACTATAAATATAGCTACCTTTTTATAAATATACATGTACTTCCGAATATCGGTCCCTTTACGTTCTAATCTGTACAAAACCCTTAGCAATCTACCTGTTATTCTTGCAAACCTGTCTTATATGCCCAACCTGCCCCATTAAGTCTGATCTTCGGATCGAACAATCACGTCTTACTAATATTATAATGCCTTGGTAACACGTCTCGCGTTTACGCGTATGCCTTTTAGGAAGTATGTAAACAAACTACTGCGTAGGTCACAAAGAAAGAAAGAATTTCACCCCGTAGTTTTCTATCTATAAACTATATCTCTATATCAGTAGCTTCAATATAGGTATCGGACCGTTAAGGAATCCTTCAATTGAATTTTACGCTTCAAACAGTATATATAACACGTATGAAAGTCCTAATTTAAATCCTCTTTACGGAAAAGTAGTAGTATAGATTTTACGCGATGATCCAAATCGCGTTTTGTGTAGGCAATTGCTTCTACATCAACTGGCAAGCAAATTTACAATGGTTTTTATGTATACGGCCGTAGACGGAATAGACAACATTGTATAATCAGGAATTGATATAAAATAGTTGATATCCCAGTATTTCAAGTGTTTAATTTTTATTTATTAGCATTTGATTATTATAAAATTCATTAGTTGCTTTCACACATTATTCAAACAATGTCAATTCAACAAACACCAACCAACGGTTTAACAGGTAAGATTTCAGGGTTAGATGTTTCTAACATGAAGGGAAAATCATTAACGGATAAGTTAGCTGCTGAAGCACAAGCTAAGGACGAGTCACAAACCAACTTGATCGACAAGAAAGTAGAAGTCAAGTCCATCAAAGATATAACCCCACAAGGTGACGGCAAAACTGCCGAAGAAGTGACTAAAGAATTGGAAGAAGCAGAAAGAATCCACAAAGAGTTTTTGACCAAGCACAAGACCCACCGTCACCAATTAAAGGACTTGGAAAAGGAAGAACCATTATTAATCGAAAACACCCGTCGTTTCGTTTTATTCCCAATCAAGTACCACGAAATCTGGCAAATGTACAAGAAGGCTGAAGCTTCCTTCTGGACTGCCGAAGAAATTGATTTGGGTAAAGATACCCATGACTGGAACGAAAAATTGAACAACAACGAAAGATACTTCATTTCCAGAATCTTGGCATTCTTTGCTGCTTCTGACGGTATTGTTAACGAAAACTTGGTTGAAAACTTCTCTGCTGAAGTTCAAATTCCAGAAGCCAAGTGTTTCTATGGTTTCCAAATTATGATGGAAAACATCCACTCTGAAACCTACTCGTTACTTATCGACACCTACATCAAGGATCCAAAGGAAGCTGACTTCTTATTCAATGCTATCGACAACATCCCTTGTATCAAGAAGAAGGCTGACTGGGCTTTAAGATGGATCAGTGATGATGATGCTTTATTCGGTGAAAGATTAGTTGCCTTCGCTGCTGTTGAAGGTATCTTCTTCAGTGGTTCATTTGCTTCCATTTTCTGGTTAAAGAAGAGAGGTTTAATGCCTGGTTTAACCTTCTCCAATGAATTAATCTGTCGTGATGAAGGTTTACACACTGATTTCGCATGTTTGTTATTCTCCCACTTACAAAACAGACCAGATGCTGTTATTGTTGAAAGAATTATCACTGAAGCAGTTACTATTGAAAAGGAATTTTTCATTGACGCTTTACCAATCTCATTATTAGGTATGAACTGTAACTTAATGTGTCAATACGTTGAATTCGTTGCTGATAGATTATTGGTTGCCTTAGGTAACAAAAAAGTTTACAACGTTACCAACCCATTCGACTTTATGGAAAACATTTCCTTAGCCGGAAAGACCAATTTCTTCGAAAAGAGAGTTAGTGACTACCAAAAGGCCGGTGTCATGGCATCAACTACTGATTCAAAATCATCAAACTCCTTCTCCTTTGATGAAGATTTCTAATTGGATCGCTCTGTGGTCACTATATTTTAGGTAATTGGGTTTTTGTATTTGTATTTGTTTTATTGGTTAATGTTTAAGTCTGGTTACATATCTACATTGCTTACTTTGCTTTCCATTGCTTTTTCACGTTTTATTTCTTATTTAATAGTTTTATAAATTTGTATATTATTAAAAACATATTTTTATTAAAAATGATTTTGTGTAAGATACTATTATTTGAAGCTCATCAGAAGATTTTAGAGATTATGAATATATATTGATATGGTTATCTAAATAATGGCGAAAGGAAAAAATAAGACATCGGAGGAAAGAACCAATAGAACTAAGACTTCAAATGGACATAAATCAAAGCAACATCACATAAGAAAAGGAAGACAAGAAAATGGTTCACAAGCTCAGGAAGATGGTGAAAAATTCCCAGTAAAGTTAGCTATGTGGGATTTCGACCATTGTGATCCAAAGAGATGCTCCGGTAAAAAGTTAGAAAGATTGGGGCTTATTAAAAACTTAAGAGTGGGCCAAAAATTTAGTGGAATTATCGTATCTCCTAACGGAAAAGGGGTCGTTTGTCCAGAAGATAGAGAGATTGTCGAAAATTTTGGAAGTGCTGTTGTTGAATGCTCTTGGGCGAGGTTAGAAGAAGTTCCATTTAACAAAATAGGTGGTAAGCATGAAAGACTATTGCCATATTTGGTTGCAGCTAATCCAGTGAATTACGGAAGGCCATGGAGATTGAATTGTGTTGAAGCTATAGCTGCATGTTTTGCTATTGTGGGTCACTCCGACTGGGCAGAGCTTCTCTTAAGTAATTTTTCGTGGGGTTTAACTTTCATGAAAATTAACAAGGAGTTGATCGATGTATATTCCAAGTGTACAGATTCTGACTCTGTCCAAAAGGCCCAAGAGGAGTGGTTGATTAAGATTGAGAATGAAGCTAAAGAACGTAAAGAACTTGCCCTGAAAGAGGATGTATGGATGATGGGTAATGTAAATAGAGAAAACATAGACGATGAAGATGACGACGAAGAGGATGATGAAGATGAAGATGAAGATGAAATCGAAGAAGAAGACGTGGAGTATGATAATCTTGGAAACATAATACCGAAGAAAGAGGTGAAAGTAGATGCCTTAGGAAATATAATAGAAAGTCATGGTGAAAGTGATATGCTGAGTGAAGATAGCACAGAAGAAGTTGAAGATGAAAGTGAAGAAGAATTGTATGACAAGTTAGGAAATCTTATTATCAAAAGTTAAAAATATGTCGAAGTTATCTTTAGTAACCTTTGAAGACCGGGCTTAACAATATCCATAAAATTTTAAAAACGATGTGAAGTAGAGTACTTGTCGAACAATTTTTATGTGACTAGATTCTTAACTATGAATTATTTGCGGCAATTATTAAATACAATTTACATAAATATAATTTGGACATTTAAGCTTAGCAGATATAATTGTAAGAATTATACTATAGATAATGTAACTACTTGTCATTAATAGTGCTTTGTAGATAATTGAGTCAAAAGTCGGTCCTCGCCAAATTCGGCCGATATCGCAGACATCAATATCAGAAACCCCATAGATAACATATCTAGAATTTTTTCTTCAATTATCAAGACCATTTATAACTAGTCAACCATGAAAGGGATCAAAATTGCTATTGATAGAGGAGGAACCTTTTGTGACTTCATTGCAAAATTTCCAGATAAACCAGATTATGTATTTAAGTTATTATCCGTGGACCCCAATAATTATAAAGATGCACCTACAGAAGGAATACGTAGAATATTAGAAAGAGCACAAGGTATGAAAATTCCAAGAGATGAAAAGCTAAGCTTGGAATTAATCGCCAGTATTCGTATGGGTACTACTGTAGCAACAAATGCTTTATTAGAAAGGAAAGGGGCTAAGGTTTGCCTCATTACTACCAAAGGTTTTAAGGATGTATTAGCTATTGGTAACCAAACGAGACCCCATATTTTTGACTTAACTGCCAAGAAGTTAGGACATCTATATACTGATGTTCTTGAAATTGATGAACGAGTCACCATTGAAGGATTTTCAGAAGGTGGTGGTGATAAATTGAAGATTCTGGATTCCGGGGATCCAGAATTGACTCACGGTGTAACCGGTGATCTTGTTCGAGTTATCAAGAAACCTGACTATGAGAAAATTACCGAACAGCTCATTGAATTATATAAAGTTGGTGAAGTAAAGACGATTGCATTGTGTTTGTTACATGCCTACACCTACCCTGAGCATGAATCAAAAATTGCTGAAATTTGTAAAAAAATTGGATTCAGAGTTTCTGTGTCTCACGAGTTGCAACCCATGATTGGTATGGTAAATAGAGCTTCATCTACAGTTGCTGATGCGTACTTATCTCCTATTATCAATGATTATATTGAAGGTTTTGGCTCTGGATTTAAGGGGGGGTTAGAAGCATTTGGAAATAAATTATTATTTATGCAGAGTAATGGAGGATTGTGTCCATGGTATAAGTTTACTGGTTTAAAAGCGATCTTATCAGGCCCAGCTGGTGGTATGGTAGGTTATGGGGAAACTTGTTATGATAGTCTTTCTCAGAAGGCTACAATTGGTTTTGATGCAGGTGGTACGTCAACTGACGTCTCAAGATATTCAGGCAGCTTAGAACATATCTATGAAACTGTTGTAAGTGAAGTCAGTCTCCAGACGCCCCAATTAGATATTTCAACTGTTGCTGCGGGGGGAGGATCCATGTTATTCTGGAGAAATGGTATGTTTGTTGTAGGCCCTGAATCTGCAGGATCTGATCCTGGCCCTGCTTGTTATAGAAAGGGTGGACCATTAACTGTTACTGATGCAAACCTATTTTTAGGAAGATTATTACCAGATTATTTTCCTAAAATTTTTGGCCCAAATCAAGATGAAGCATTAGATTTTGATTTAACTTCACAAAAGTTTAAAGAATTAACGGAGGAGATAAATAAGGACAAGGAATCTGATAGCATAAAACTAACTCCTGAAGAAGTCGCAAGTGGGTTTTTGAAAGTCGCAGTCGAGTCCATGGCAAGACCTATAAGAAATTTAACGGAGGCGAAAGGGTTTGCAACTTCAGAGCATAACTTGGCATGCTTTGGTGGGTCTGGTGGTCAATTCTCAGTCTCTTTGTCAAAGAATTTGGGAATTTCACATGTTGCAATTCATAAATACTCCTCATTATTATCGGCATATGGTATCTATTTGGCAGATATCGTAATTGAAAAGCAATCACCGACATCATTCGTATACTCAAAAGAGAATTATAAGATCTTAGATCAAAAAATTGAACAATTGATTGACCAAGCATTTGAGGAATACAAAGAACAGGGTTTGAGTCCTCTTAAGACTTCAGTTGAGACTTATTTAAATATGAGATATGTTGGATCTGATACTCACTTATTAATTCAAAAAGGAAAGGATGAATATAACTTAGAGTCTAAATTTATTGAGAGGCATAACAATGAATTTGGTTTTACATTGGATAGAAAAGTCTTGGTGGATGACCTTCAAGTTTTGCTTATAGTTAAAAGTACTGACAAACAGGATATTAATCCATATGAAGAATTTTCTCAATTGAATAGCACAAGCAAAGCGGAGAAATCCAAGATAATTAATAAAGTTTATTTTGAGGGCCAAGGATGGCTCGACTCGTCAGTTTACCACTTACCAGACTTAGAGGTTGGTACAACAATATGTGGTCCATCAATAATTTTAGATGATACGCAGACAATTTTAATTGAACCCAAATCTCAAGCTTCAATCTTGTCGAATCATATTTTGATTATAGTTGAACAAGAGGAAAAGCCGAAGCTTTCAAATGAAGTAGTGGATCCAATTCAACTATCAGTTTTTGGCCACCGATTCATGTCTATTGCAGAACAAATGGGAAGAACTTTGCAACAAACGGCCATTTCAACAAATATCAAAGAAAGATTGGACTTTTCATGTGCTTTGTTTGATAAGCATGGTGATTTAGTTGCTAATGCGCCACATGTTCCAATTCATTTAGGAGCTATGTCCTTTGCCGTCAAAGCTCAGAAAGAAATGTGGGAAGGTAAGTTACAACAAGGTGATGTTCTAGTTACTAATCACCCACTGGCAGGTGGATCTCATTTGCCAGATATCACTGTTATTACTCCCGTTTTAGGTAGAAATAATAACCCCGTATTCTGGACAGCTTCGAGAGGACATCATGCTGATATTGGATCCATTTCAGCTGGTTCGATGCCTCCAAATTCTAAGACAATTTTTGATGAAGGGGCAGCAATTATCACGCATAAATTGTGTTCAAATGGAAAGTTTGATGAAGAAGGTATTACTAAGCTTTTATTAGAAGAGCCAGCCAAACATCCAGGTGGCTCTGGTACAAGAACATTGAGTGACAATATTTCTGACTTGAAAGCTCAAGTTGCGGCTAATTACAAAGGTATAATTTTACTAAATAGATTGATCGAGGAGTTCAGCCTTTCTGTTATTAACCTATATATGGGTGCCATTCAGTCAACTGCAGAAGTTGCTGTTAGAAATCTATTGAGATTAGCATACGAGAAATTTAATGGACATGCAATGCAAGCCATTGACTATTTAGATGATGGTACTCCTATTTCTTTAAAAATATCAATTAATCCAACTGCAGGAGATGCTGAATTTGACTTTACTGGCTCTGGTGATGAAATTTATGGGAATTTGAATGCTCCGAGAGCAATTTTGTACTCTGCTGTATTGTATGTCTTGAGATGTCTTATTAGTTCTGACATTCCATTGAATAATGGTTGTTTACGACCAATCAGATTCAAGACAAGGGAAGGCTCGGTTGTTCATCCGTCTATTGAGGCTGCGGTTGTTGGAGGAAATGTTGAAACTACCCAGCGAATCGTTGATGTAATGTTGAAAGCCTTTGAAGCTGCTGCTGCTTCTCAAGGTACATGCAATAATTTTTCTTTCGGAATTAACGACAAAGAAAATAAAATTTCGTTTGGTTATTATGAAACAATCTGTGGTGGGTCTGGTGCCGGTCCCACCTGGGAGGGGCAAAGTGTTGTTCAATGTCATACGACAAACACTAGAATCACTGACACAGAATTATTTGAGAAGAGATATCCAGTGATTATCCACGAGTTTTCAATTAGACACGGATCTGGAGGAAATGGTTTACACAACGGTGGTAATGGTGTTATTAGAGATGTTGAATTCACCTATCCTAATTTAGAAGTTTCATGTCTTATGGAAAGAAGATCCATGGCACCATTTGGATTACTCGGTGGTGAAAGTGGTTTGCGTGGTGTAAATAAGTGGTATAGAAAATCAGAAACTAGCGATGGATACAGAAGAATATTCCTTGGTGGTAAATGTACTGTTAAAGTCAGTAAAGGTGATCGAATCATAATTATGACCCCTGGTGGTGGTGGTTTTGGTACAAGCTCTCGGAAAGATGAGAAAACTGTTAATTTCCCTGTTGATAGTACTAAGCCTAGTATTTTGACCGGTTCTGTTGGAATGAGAAGTAGAATTCAGGACACTAATTAGATTGAATAGCTTTTGATTTTTAGTACATTTTTGCAATAATTAAATAATTTAATTTTGTGTTATATTTTTGCAACCTTAACAAGAATAGTAAAAAAATACTCTTTGTTTTGTCTACTCTTATAATAGAGGCATTCGTATACCATGTTGCCTTTAATACAACCTAAAACAGTTCCGATACAGAACAATCTTTATATTACTACCGTTCATTATATTCTTGTACAAATTTCATCTACTATAGCACTTTCTACAATAATTACACAAAACCACTAACATAGATCACACGGGCCTTATCAAGAACCGTTTCAGTCTATGAATACCTGTTCTTGTTTCGTTTAAAGATATTGGAGGAAAAGAATAATGAATGTATAATGCCACCCGAGTCAAAGTCAATAAAGCATTTGCCACTTCTCTACAATCCCTTTTTAAATTGCATTTTCAATAATCCGCATCATTCGAAGAATCCATTCAGACAGACAATTCAAGAATTGTCAGAGAACCATAATGACTATACGATCTTAGTGCCACCAGCACATATACTTCACGAACTTTTTGATCCCAGCACAGAAAAATCATCAAGTAAAACACGGTTACTTGATTTATGTTATCATAATGAGGATTTCATACGATCTCATATTATAAAGACCAATACCTCATATCCATCAGTTGCACCGTCTAAGTCTCTGCTGACTATTTATGTGACAATGAATGGAAAACAGATACTAGTAAAGAATGGAATGGTTTTCACAGGTAAAGGCTTCAAAAGGAGCTTAAGGCTAAAGATATTGGATATAAACTATTTCAATTCCTTCTGTGACTATTTTCCAAAAGGTAGTAAATTTATGATGCTATATATAGAAGATTCTTTGTTTGGGAGTTTTGATCCTAATGCAACGGTAACTACGCAACCAAATGAAACAGACGTAACTCAAATGGGATCTGCAACAACGAAAGAACAACAATTTAATGACATCACGTTTGAGAAGCTCTTGAGGAGCTTTCCGCTATTGTCCAATGCTGTGTCTGACAAATTCTATAAATTATTCCACCATAATAACTATCAATTCCGTTTGTTACGAACAAATACTCGTAAGAAACTAGTTAGCATAAAGTTCGAGTTTCAAAGCATGCTAGAGGAAGCATTTAAGATTGTACTGGACAGTGTGAAAATTGATACACCAGATAGCGAACAAACCTATCATTTAATTAATTATATTCTTAGGCTTTATCCTGGTTTAGATTTAAACAAATTAGTTCATGAATACGTGGAACTAAATTTGTATGATAAACTTTGGGCTCAATTAATATTCCAATTTGACATAATTGATGATGACAAGCAAAATTCGGATTCGGATGCAATAAAAATCTTAACTAAAGAAAAATATGATCAATTGGCGTATATATCATTGAACCAATTAGACATTCCTACAGACAAACCATGGCATATTAACGAATTGCATAAGAGAATATACAAAGCAATTAGAGAGTTTTCGAAGTTGTCAGACGCTTCTATTCTTAATCTGGCTGGCAAAACTCAAATCTTAAAAAGTACGGTAAATATATTAACAAATAACGCAAACCACCAAATCGAGTTAGAATCAATGACAGAAAAAACAGTTACTGATGATATTATTGTAAATGCAGACATTTTGATTGGAATGCTAATTATGGTTATTGTTCATGCGAAGATGGATAATTTGGAGGCTCATTTATATTATATAAAGCACTTCAATTCAGTAGACTATACAAGTGATGGTTATTTTTGTTATATTCTAAGCAACTTTGATGCTGTTATCTACCACTTATCGTCTTCTATGAATGACGAACCGCAGTACACCGGGTTACTTGAGTCTTCCGAATTAAATCACAAGTTTTGGTCGTTGATTGATTCAGGCGATAATGATAGTCTTCTAGTATTACTAGATGAAGTTCAGCAAGAATTGGGTGATTCCAGGCTCCCGGATAACCATTTCTTAAAGAGTAGAAATGTTCAAGGCGAAAGTTGTTTGATGATGGCCATCAAAGCTAATAACTCAGATGCATTTAATTATATAATCAATTATAACTATCAGTGGTTCTCTATTGATGATATTTTATTTGATAAAAATACAACTACGAACCAGACTTTGTTGATCGCTGCACTAACAGAAGAATCATATAACATTATTAGACAGTTAGTTGATTTAATACTTCAAAATGCAACATTGGACGAACAGATTTTGTATTTTAATTCACCGGACAATTCAGGAAGGTCTGTTGGGCATTATTTTCATCATTTCCCTGATTTAATTGATCAGATAGGATTCTTGATAGATTGGGAATTAAAAGATCTTAATTCTCATACTCCTTTATTTAGCCTATGTCGATGTTATGATCATCTAAACTATGCAACTCTACTTGAAAAAGGGTTTGACTGCATTTATAAGAAGTATAATAAGAATTCCATTGATTTTGATAAACATATTGATAAAATGGGAAATACGCTATTGCATATTATGCTTAAAGATTTATCAAAGACAAAATTATTAGCATATGAAACTAATTTAATTAATTTGAATCAATTGAATTATAAAAACTTAACTCCCCTAAATCTATACGTGAAATACAATCGGCTAGAAAATTTAGAAGAGATCTTAAAGGATGATAGGTTAGATTTCAAATACGAGGACAGCACTAATTTTTATTCCGTTTTTGATTTCTTAGGTAGCCTGACTGTAAAGAGTACCACTGACAAGACATTGAAAGAAATCGAGAAGTTGATTTATAATTACTATTTCGTGAATTATTTCCCAAATACAGATACAGAAAAAATTGCAGCCTTGAATGCAAGGTATGATAGTGCGAAGAAAGATTGGGTTTTATTCTTCACTAAAAGTAATAAGACGCCAACAATTAATACCGAACCTTTAAGCAGATTACGAAAATTTGTTTACATATTCAAATTAGATAATAACTATTCGTTTTTTCCAGATAGTGAAACATTTTGGTTAAATTTTCCTCAAGAGAAGGCGATGGTTCCAATTTTTACCAAATTCAGAATTAACAGAATTATTGAACATATGAATATGTATATGATAAATTTAGCCATGCATCCAGCATTGGCCAAGACACAGTATTTTGAAAAGTTCTTTGTCGAGAATAGAGATAAGCTGACACTAGAGCTAATTAATGACATTAAGAATCGCCAAGAATCAGTTAGGCGTGAGTACGGAGATTTGGTTTTGGGGATAGGCCAAGTTAATGAGATAGATTTCTTCCTCAGATTTTCGTTGACTGATTTACAGAATTTTCAAACTATTATTGCGAGATTCAATAAATTAGCAGCCATAAGTGATATAAAACAGTCAGATGTAAGGATAGTAACTGACAGGATGATAAATAGATTATCATCCAGCCACATCTTACCAGCAGACGTGTCACGAGAGTTTACTTTCACATTAACAAACCAATACAAAAGCCAAGATTCCTCTTATAGCGAACTTCTCTCATTTACGTCTTGGTTAGAGCTTTGCTCAATAGAACTTACGAAGAATATCCACCACCTCTTACTCAAGCTTGATGACTGGAAAGAACTCCACAAGAATATCAAAGAGCTCAATATTGAGTTGACTAAATACGAAGAAGATTTACCTGCACGTTATGCTACTACTACTACTGCTGCTGCTGCTGAATCTACAACAGAAACAAGCACTGGGGCTAATACCTCAGGTTCTCTCCCCAACACAGCCAATGATGGTAACTTGCAACAAGCACATCAATTAGAAGCTGAGGCGGAGGAAATTACAAATACGTCGTCTTCATTTTTCAACTTTGGAAATATCATAGAAAATAAGAAGGCTAGATACAAGAAGCTTCTCTTAATGAAAGCAGAAGAAATAAAGAAGATCATGAAATTGAATGCTGAATTGAAATTTGATCATGAGGCCATTGCAGCTGAAATATCAAATTTTTTGAAATTCAAGTCAAATTTCATTAATTTGGGTATCAAGCGTTACGTTAAGTCATCCTTATGCTTGCTGAGGATACGGAACTATGAATTAGCAAAACTATTAAATAGCTGTAAAAGATAAAGGTAGTATCATCAAAAGTAGTGCAATACACATTATTTATACCTAGAAACTTCCAGAATGAATTTGCTTCCACGTCGATCTGGTATAATTAGTAGCGGCAATCCAAAGCAAAAGAGATAATTATAGCTTAGTATCAATAATGTCAGTTAACAATAAGGATATTGCGTTAAGTGTTATTCATTTCTTGAAGCAATCTGTTTCAAAAAATGAAATCCCGGAAGATTATGCTGAATCAATGGATGTAGCCATTGATTGTATCGCTGATGCATTTGAAGTCAATAAGGACGACGACGCCAAAACCGTGGAAGCAAAGTTCGGCGGAAAGTCATTAGCAACTTTGCTTAGTGCTTCAGGTAGTTCTAAGAAAGAAAGTGAACCAGTTGCTCCTGTTAAAGAGGCTGATGCTGCCACGAAAGAAAAGGCGGATGCATTAAAGGCAGAAGGAAACAGAGCTATGGCAAGCAAGAACTTCAGCGAAGCCATCAGCAAGTACACTGAAGCCATTGAATTAGACGGCTCTAATGTTGTATATTTGTCCAACAGAGCAGCTGCTTATTCTTCTGCTTCCCAACACGAAAATGCTGTGAAGGATGCTGAAAAGGCAATCGAATTAAACCCTAACTTTTCTAAATCTTACTCGAGATTAGGTTTAGCCAAATATGCATTAGGTGATGCTACAGCTGCCATGAAGGCTTACGAACAGGGTTTAGAAATCGAAGGCGACAAAAAATCCGATGCTATGACTAAAGGATATGAGACCGCTAAGCGTAGGGTCGAAGAAGAATTAGAAAAGTCTATTCCAAAATCATCTGTTGCATCTAATGACGATTCAACTACCAGAAGTGCTGGTGCCGGTGCCGGAGCCTCTGGTATGCCCGACTTAGGATCTATGTTTGGAGGAAATGGCGGAGGCATGCCATCATTTTCTGATATGATGAACAACCCTCAACTCATGCAAGCTGCTCAAAGCTTAATGTCAGACCCGAATGCCATGCAAAACTTGATGAGTAACCCTGCTGTTCGTCAAATGGCCGAACGTTTCGGCGGCGGCGGCGGTGGTGATGGCTCCGGTCCAGATCTTTCTAATTTAATGAATAACCCTATGTTACAAAACTTAGCTGGCCAATTCATGGGTGGTGCTAATAATAACAATAACAACAACAGTAGTGGTGACAATAGCCAAAACTAGACGTTGAATTTAATTCTGTTGCATATATAATTATGGGTTTTTAGTTTTAGATTAATATTTAATAATTTTTGCGTTTGAATATGTTTCTGTAGAGAACATGAAGAAAGTTATCTCCTTGTTTGGTCTTTATTCTGAAATGGATTCTAATGATTTGTGAAAGAATCCGATTAAAGTGAATAAAAAAATCGCGTATTAAAATGTATCTATGATAAAGAAGCTTATAATTAAGAATGGATAACGACTCAAATAACATAAGCAAGGATTCAGCTGGTATACCTATAGCAACCATAGCCAGACTATTTCAGAGTGCAGCATTTAAAAATGAGAAAACCCGTATTACTCAAAAGACTTTACAGCTATCTTCAGAATACATCAAATTATTTATAAACGAAGCGTTGATACGATCAAACGAGGAAAGATTGGCAGAGGGTGACTCGTTGACTAAAGTAGATGGCATAGATAATTTAAATAAGCCTCGTGAGATTGAACACAAGGACATTGACGCAAGGGTTGCTGATGATACTATGAATGACGGAAGTGAACCAGAGGACGAGGACGATTTGGATGATCCAACACAAATTGGCACCCAAAACCAGACAGCATATAACTCGGATGTGGATCTAGGGAATGACACTTTAGATGTAAAACACTTGTCTAAAGTTGCCGGAATTTTGGTGTTGGATTTCTGATCTTCTAGAGTTGCAGGGTACAGCTGTATTGTGATCATGAGTCGTTAATTGCTATTAAGCAGTCTATAAGGAAAAAGCGATCTATATAGTAATGATTTAGTTCTCAATAAGGAAACTACCAAAATTGAGAATGGTCCAGAATCCATACGAAAGGTGCAGACTTGGTAAATTTAGGTCTTGTATGGATTGAGGTACTTGGGACTTCGTAGTAATATAAAATGGCATTTTAATATCTATCAGCGACTGTTGTAGATCTGATGATTCAACATTGATATTAATTGGAATCAGGCACCAATTATCGCCCTTATCTACTGTGATATCAGATACTTCTAAAGAGTCATCACTTGAATTATGAGAAGAATTTAGTTTGCCCAAGCGCAGAATTAATTCAGTTCGAGAGATTTTAGTACCCTTTGTTAAAAATGGTGTAGGTATTGATTTAACAATTGAACCGATATCCTTTTTCTGCTTGTGGCCTCCGATCTTTAGATGTGACACTGGTAATGCTACTTGAAGATTCAACAGCGAGTCAGATAGAAATTCCAGAGATACCTGTGGCATTGTGGTTATTACCATGTCAATGTCAACAGGTAATGGATTAATAATATTTATGAGTAGGTCGTACAGTTTTCCAACTTGTAATGATTTTGGGTATTCTTTATTGATTAAACCGGAAATTCTAAGCATGGGCAAGAAATCAGTTGCATTCCATTTGGTTAATAATTTGATCAGGGAAGGTTCTTTGTGTGGCATTAAAAGAACTTGTCGACATTTCAAGCACTTATAAGACTTTTTGGAGGATAGTTTCTTTGGAATTGGTACTTGCTTCGAAGCCTTAGGATTTAAAATTTTACTCTGTATAGTCATTAACGATCCATTATTTATAGTTGAGTAGAAGTTACCATATTTCGATTGCTGTTCTAATGTAACGAAACTTTCTAAACTATTCTTGGACGCAATTTGTGAGGCATTGTCCAAATCTTGGCTCTCATCTATGGCTATCAGACCATTCAGATCGATCTTCGTTCTCAATACGTCTGCTTCATCAGACGAATCTTTCACCGAATCAGCTAAATTTGTTAATTCTAAGTCTTTCAACTTCTGTAACACTTCACTTGACAACCGCGGTACGTTTTTTTTCACTCTTTGTTTCCCTTCAAGCTTCATGAGTGACTGTTGATCAACAAAGTTTTCATGAAACTTAGAAAACAACGATGCATATCCACCATCCCCACTCTTTTTCTCCGATCTGATTATATTCACTAAGGATCTAGGTTTCAAAATAGTAGCCGTGCTGTACTGGTACTCGCAATATAAACATTCGAACCTGAATATTTTACCGTCTTTTTCATCACAACGACTATCAATTGCACTTATTGCTAACCCTGCATCACACAATGGGCAACTAAAACAGTTTTTTGTACATACCACTTCATTAGAGTCAGTGTAATCTGTCATGCAATTGGAGCAGTATTTACTTTCGACATTAACCTGACAGCATGCTTTGCATTTATGTCCCTGGCATGTAGGACAGAAGAATAGATCACCAATTGCATGGTTAGCATCATTGTGAGTAATCATCACGGGGAGTTTCGTATTAGAATTCTCATACCTCGTTTCTGCCTCTTGTTCAAAGCATGGGCAGAATACCTTGCATTCTGTATATATCTTGGACATTGTTGACCTGAAGGGTTGATAACTGATTGTTACTGCACGTGGTGGTTAGTAGTTATGGTCACCAGTCCTCAGGAGATTCCGTGAATGCTATAAATACCAATGGCCCAGCTGGTTAAGTTGGTCAACTAAAGTTCTATTATAACTTCCTTAGAAAAATGCTCTATCAATTATTAGTTGGTGTGTTTTTGGTGGTGAAGGTGATTTCGATTTCGGTCTCGGTTCCACGTCAAAATTTTTTGCAATTGCGAGACCTGAATGATGTTCCAACCAAATACGATGTCGTTAAAGGGCTCTTTGTGCAAACCGATGATGATACAGATGCTCTGAAGTTCGATATTAACAAGGACAATTTTGGATTAAAAAAAGATACGTCTTGGGATGACGTCTTGGGTAAATTGAAGGATTTGAATGATAATGATAATGGTGAGATTTATAAGTTATTCTTTTTAGCTAGACACGGTGAAGGTTACCATAATATTGCTGGTGATGGATACCCTGAAAAGAACTGGACTTGCTATTGGTCAATTCAGGATGGAAATGGAACTATGGAATGGTATGATGCGTTGCTAACAGATAATGGGCATGATCAGATCAGTACCCTTTCCGATAGTTGGAAGAACCAACTTTACACAAATAATGCACCATTACCGCAATCCTACTATGTATCTCCGATGAGAAGATGCTTGCAAACTTATAATTATACCTGGTCGTCAATTTTGAATGATACAAAGGTGCCACTTATTAAGGAGTTTGCCAGAGAGACATACGGGATCGACTCGCAGAGTAGACGTCATAATAAAACTTACATTGAGGAATTCGTTCCTACTTATAAGTTTGAAGATGGATTTACGGAGGAGGATGAGCTTTGGGAAAAGGATAAAAATGAGTCCAGTGAACATAGAGAATACAGGGCAACTGTTTTATTCAATGATATATTCTCAAGTGATACCAGTGATGTTATTTCTATTACATCTCATTCGGGTACCGTATCTTCGATGTTGAAAGTTTTAAACCATAGAAAATTTTCTTTGAAAACAGGCCAGATGATTCCTGTGCTTGTTAAGGCAAGCGACTTCGGTAAATATACTCCCCCAGACTTAAGTGATAAGGATTGGGCAACATTGCCAAAGGAATGTGATTCGTTCTCCGAGTTTTGATTTAGAAAAGTAACTCTACAATGTAAAAACAATTATGTATGGTTAATTTACAATTAAATATATGTATTTATACACAATTACATGAAGTCATCATCTTCGAATTGGTCGTACTTCGATTCATCCATATCTTCGAAGACATCCTTCTTGAACGATGAGTTAACATTAGTCTTCACAGCTGGCTTAGCCTTCTTTTTACCAGCACCACCAGTGGCAGTACCACCAGCCTTCTTCAATCTAGCTTGTCTTTCAGCCTTTTCTTTTTCTTTCAGAATAACATTCAAAGTCGATATGACTTTTCTTATACTTTCAATGGATAATGGCTGGGCTAAGTCTCTTATCAAGTCAATAGCTAACCCAGACGTGTAGTTCATTAAGGAGTCCTCTGCTAAGTTGGTCAAAACTGGACCCAAGGATTTTCTTAACCTCTCGTATTCCTGTCTATCAGTAGGTTGGAATAATGGGTGGGTTTCGATTGGCGTATCCTTGGTCAATCTAGCAGGTCTAGGAGCCGAAGCAGCAGCAGCAGCAGCAGCCTTAGCTGCTCTTTCTCTTGGATGCTCATTAATATCAATTTCTCCATCATCCGCAACTCCTAATCCACCAAATAAATCTGCTGCATTATTCAAATCGGCTTCTAACTGGGCCTTCTTCAAGAGTTCTTGTCTGGTGTCTTCGTCAACCAAATCAATATCCAACAAAGCCTTTTCTCCCTTGTTCTTAGCCAGTTTCTTAGCCTTAGCTTCTTCTTGCCTTTTCTTCAAAGCTTCTTTTTCGGCCTTCTTTTTAGCTTCTTCTTCCTTCTTCTTACGCGCTACTTCTTCTTCATCTATGTCCCATGAATCTAACAATGGTTCATCGTTAGCTTCTTCTTCCCAAGATGCAGCAGCGTGCTTGGAAGTGCTTGGAATATCAAAGTCTTCATCGTCCCACGACATGTTTGAGTTCTATATCTATTTCGTTGGTATTTGGTTTGTATTGTACAAGTCTTCTTCTTTTGATAAATTTTTTTAGTGCTCTCTCCAGCAAACAGCGATTTCCGGGTTACTATTTTTTAAACACTCCAGAAGCTTCAAGACAACTCCTATCTACTTCATTATACATAGATTACAGTCGGGAAACTCATAGAATCCCGTTCTAGATGTTTTAAGCTGTTTGAAGGTGTTGGGTAGATATTTGTCTTAAATTTACGTAATAAGACGACAAATCTTTGTAAATGCGACAAAACTTAAGTCAAGGAAGCATTCCTCAGGACATATTTAGTCTATCTGGCAAAGATGCTTATAGACAAGGCTACAAAGATCCCTGGGGTTTTAAACAATGAAGAATTTGCTAATTGGATACTTAAGGATAATCGTATCAAAGTACATCTGGGATTAACGATTGGATCAAGTAAACTTGGAGGAATTGGGCTATTTTTCAACCAAGAGAAGGATGCCGGAACCAAAGATGACATTGAACTTGCTAGGATACCTAAAGACGCTACTTTTGATTACATGAGCTTGTTACAAGTTTTAGAAGGATTGAAAGATAGTGAAAAAGAGAAACCGGAAACTGGAGAAGAAATTTCTGAATCAGGCATTATCACGGCTGTATTGAAAAGTATACAGCCAAGTAACGAAACGGAAATACTAACATGCTATTTTATTGGCCTTAGAATATGTTATAATAGACGTCTTCTGAATGAAATGTTGACCGAGTCACCTTTGTCCAAGTTTGACCCATATTTGAGCGTTTTGGCTCACACCGAGATTTTAGGCTTACCCCAAGAAGATGCAAATTATGAAGATGAGTTTATTCAAAAGCTAAGTACAAACGCTCAGAGATTATTCGATGAATTCAATGAGCTTATAAACGATCTTGAGAATGTGCACCCTAGCTTGACATTCGAAGAATATTACCAACTCTGTGGAGCCATCAAATCAAGGGTGTTAGAAATTCCACATAGCAGTGAGGACGAGGAAGAAGACTATTACACTAATATCACATTGATTCCTTTGCTTGATTTTGCTAATCACTTGAATACTTCACGAAGCCATGCATATTTTGATGTAGACAAAACATCCAACGACGTTCTATTGAAATTGAACCGTCTGAGGATGCAACAAGGCATATTTGAAGTCACTATTAGCTACTCTACTACTGAGTGCATCCAGAAATTTATACAAACATACGGGTTTATTCCGCAGAGTGATGATATTCAGCTCTTTGAATATAGAATACCTCCTGATATCTGCAACTACCATATCAGCGAGATCATGAAAACATCAGGTGAACCATACGATAAAATAATGAAATGGTTAAGAATATTGCCCCAATTTCAGCTAGTAAGGACTTCAGATGATATCTTCGTGAACTTCTTTAGCAATAGTCTTCCTCTTGTGTTCATCGATGGATTAAAGCATGACTACAAGTGGACCGAAAATGCCTATGATTCTTTTAAAGAGTTTAATGAGATTGAAATATCGCAAGATGAGTTTGCGCAGTCTGTTTTGCCAATGTTGAAAGTCCAAGAGTCCGATTACGACTTCATCAATGCAATTAGCCAGATAGGTGTCATCTGCAACGAGAACTACCCAACGCAAGATTCAATCCTACAAGTCTCCAACAACGATTCCGAAAAAGCATTCCAACAACTCATATCCTATTGTACTGCATTTATCGTTAAAGTAGCTCAATCGGTACTCAATGCGAAACCTCCATCTCCGTCAGCGAGCAGCTTCTCTCAAATGACCACAGACTACTTTAAAGTGCAACAGAGCTTCTTTCGGGCCCTCATTGAGAAATATGAAATGACAAAAGATTTATCGTTACCTGTTGAGCTAGCAAAAGATGAATGGGAAACAGACTACAGGTCTGCACCTAGACAAATTACTCTAAACTAATAATTATTAAGATCTTTGAAATTTTAATCATTTCTTAAAACCTTTTTTAACGTTTACAGTAAAAAGTAGTCTTTTATATTTCTATACACTTCTATATACTTCCAGAACTCATTAGAACAGTCATCAATATATTATTAATTCATTTAGCTGCAAATCAGAAGTGAACCTGGAACTGTTACTAAATTCACGTGCGGTTGGCGATTTGTCAGCCTCAACACATTTTCGAATTGCTGGATCCTATAAGAGTAGATGGAAAGAACTTTCAATTGATCAATTGATTAAAAAAATAACATTAGATTTTATACAATGGTTGCCGCTATTACTTCTAAACAAGAATTTACTGACGCTTTATCTCACGATGGATTAGTCGTTGTTGACTTTTTCGCTACATGGTGTGGACCATGTAAGATGATTGCTCCATTATTGGACAAATTCTCTTCTGAATACAGCCAAGCTAAGTTTATAAAGGTTGATGTTGATGAATTTGGTGAAATCGCTCAACAATATGAAGTCAGTTCTATGCCAACTGTTATCTTCTTCAAGGGAGGTGAAGTCGTCGGCAAGGTTATTGGTGCCAACCCAGCTGCTTTAAAGCAAGCCATTTCCGCCAATGCTTAAGAAAATAAATAAGTAGATTACAATATATATAATTATAATTGAAAATATTATTTGTTAACTAATTAAAATGTCAATGTAAGAAATATATAGTAGTGCAAAGATCTAGGTATGATGGGTTTAGGTGATACAATTTAAGAAGTCATTAACGATATCAAAATGAACGAGATCATCCCAACCAACCGAGGGATCGTTTTCTGCCTGGAGATTGAGCTTCTTGCGTAAGTATATGAGTAAAGTGTCGTAGATCAAGTAGTATTGACGTAAGTTTTGGACCATCGAAACACGCTGTCTTCTGAAATTATCAACCATCAAGTACACCGGGTCAAACGCCAAGTCAAAACTTGGGTTCTCATTGAGGATATTTATGAGCGAATCAATTGTACATAATGTTCCTGTTCTACCACAACCAGCAGAACAATGGATGATAGTTGGAAATTCTTCCAATATAGAAGAACAGCTCTCAAGAATATGATGCTTTAATTCAATGATCGATATCAAGTCTTTCGGCTTCAATACTGCCCCCATATCGGGCCATGACAATAAATGAATCTGGAAAACTTGATGAGATTCGAGATCATCCATCGACACTTCAAACCGTCTGAGTATAATAGTATTTTCATTTTTGTAGTTCATGCTGTCAATCATTTTCACTTTGATTATGTTATTATTAGATTTGTACTCTCCAGACTTCCAGAATGGTGAACATTTGTTAACGCCATTCTCAAACTCATCTGTGAGTGAAATTATTAATGGACTTCTGTGATTCACAACACATTTCCAGAAGTCACCAGTTGTTTCGTTTAATGGTCCTTGGGCGCCAATGTACTTTAAATGATGGATGACTTTACTCATTTCCGTGATCCTTTCCAAATCCTTTAATGGGTTTAAATATGATGCATTGATGTAATCACATAACTGTCCTTTTTTAGTCATAGAAGGTAAATCATTCAATTTAACTCTAGAATGCTCGAAAAGAAAAATATCCTTGTATCTATTTTTATGTCCATATTCAATACCGGAACTAATAGATGGGGCCTGATTATTTTCAGAGTCTATAACTGAACCACCTGGAGACAATTTTTCTTCCTCTATTTTGTCATTAATAGAATTCGTTTTATTAATAGTGAATGCATCGAGTAATCTATGCTTCTCATTCTTCTCCAAGTTATTAAAGTCCTCAATCAACTTTGTGCGTTTTGATAAACTACTGCTTATCCAAATCGGTAATCGATTTTGATCAGTACCTGATAGTTTATCAAAATGATGAGATAAATTAATTAAACTTAAATCGGATGCACCTTCCAAATTATCAGTCAAAACTTCTTCGTTATGTCTAAGCTTGAATTGCTTTTTTGGTGTTTGAGGTAATTGAAAATTAGACAAAATTGGCGTGCTCGTATCTGCCATGTTAATGGTTTTAATTGTTGGAATATCCGATAAGGAAGCCGATCTGTATTTTTCGGCAACATTGTTTACTGGCAACTGGGGAACTGAACCTTGTCTACTGAAATTACCATTTCCAGACTCTACTAAGCTCGGAAATCTTTCGGAAATTTCATTATACTTACTATCGAGTATAAAAATCGAGTCCTCCCACGACTTAAAATCCATAAACTTCTTTGCCATATGATACAAATTTGAGGAATTATTATAAGTGTCATATAATAGGATGCTAGGGAACTCCGTGGAAGTACCATCTGAATTTTTAGACTCGGCTGTGTTTAGGTTATTTAAATTTTTGCCACCATATGTAGAAATATGCTCTTCGAAAATGCTTTTTTCATAAGCAGGCAATGCCTTTATGCATCTGTTCAAGTCATAATTTGCTCTTTTTAATAAAGTCAGGGGTAAGCAAATGTTGATTGATCCCTTTATATGCGATTTTACGTATTCTGTGAATGGTCTAATATCAATCACTAAAATTTCTGACAATTTAGATGTAGAATCCATAATTTGTTTCATTATATCATTATTAGTATTAATCGAAATCGACTGGATTCGATTTGAGTTTTGTTGTGACAATGTGTCTATGAGATCTTTACAATCGACATTCATCATTTTATTTGGTTTTTTAAATTGCTCATTCTGGATCATTTTGAAAGAATCGTTAAGTGTAAGTGATGTAGTAGTAATATGCTTTTTTAATGTCGGTGGGTTGTTATAATTCAAGACCGGGTTCATTTCGGGTAATGAATTAGTGGGAATTAGACTTGGCTGTTGTTTGACTGGTGACCGATGTATGTTGAAATCGAACTTCGGTTCAACCGCCGACTTTGATCTCTCTTCGTCTCTACTCTGAGTCTGTTTATGCTTTCCTGTAGGAAGTTGTAAATTAAGTGGATTCTTCTTTTTTGCGTATTCTATTTCTTCCACTAGAGTTTCTGTTGAAAATACTGAGTCATTTCTAGTATTTTTTGAATTAATAGACCCCGAGGAAGAGTCACACACGGTTGTATCCGAGTTAATCGATGATAATGAAGTATTCATCTTCGTATGTACTGGTGGTGGCGCTATGTATTCAGGTACCCTTTTATCAGATGTCGGGATCTGTGGATATTCGGCCTCACGCGTAGATGTTTTGTTCGTGAAATAATCGTTAGATCCTCCATTTACTCTTTCATCATGCAGCGTGGGTGGAAACGTAAAGTTTGGTGATGCACAAATACTTGGTGATGAACTCATCTTTGCCTTCTCTATTCTATACTCCTTCCGCTTTTTGTTTTTGTCTCTCGTTTACACAAACAATAAAAGTGCTATGAAATCTGTTCAAATATACTATTAATACCTCTTTGAACAGCCTAACACGCTTTCGGTCTCTCCTATATTGTTTTTCCTATGTCTCTAAACAATACCTTTGTATTTGGTATATCTTTGGTAACTTGTTCCTTTTTTTAAAATTTTTTTCTTCCCTAGGGTTTTGCTAAAATCACTTCTTTTAAATAAATAATATGCACCGCCTTAAAATAACATTAACTATGTCACTATATTTTATATTCCTATTATGTTTGGTACTTTTGTATTATAGCCATCTATATACTTTTTGTAGGAGTATTTTTAGAATAAACCCTTTTTTAGATTATAAATAAAGCGATCGTTATAGCCAAGCGGCTTGTTTCAAGACAAATGATGAAAAAAACTAGATCTAATTATATGCAGGCAGTATATAACGGTTACTTATTATGGAATAATTATATAGGAGACATACACATTCTATTGCTACTTGCTTCTTCGTTTAGAGTCCTTCGACTTTTCATGGGATATGTTTCGTAACTTTAGTTTAATTTTAGGTAAGGGTTCTTCCACGGGAGTGTCAGAAACTTCAGAAGGAACCCCTACGCTCACACCAACGCCACCTCTCGACTTTCTGCGTTTGATGGTAGATTTAGGATCTAAAGGATCTAGTGGGGGGTGCTTGTGTTCAGATGTATTTGTAGAAGATGCCAGATTCGATAATTCATGTTGGCCGTTTGAGTCTTGATTTTGGTATCTTTGGTTTTTGTTCTGTTTGTGGCCCCGTTGATGTTTCTGTACTGTAGGCGCTGGTTCCTGTTGGTCATCCTGCTCGCCCTCCTCTTCGTCATCAAAGAGATGAGGGTTATTGACTTTGTCGGTGGCGTCGTGGATCAAAGTAGCATACTCTGACTCATCCTGCGCCACGCCATTTTTGATCATTTTTTTCATCAATTCGCTCTCTTCTTTTTTGGTTTGGGATGATGATGAGGGTCCTGACAAATCGGCTTGGTCGAAAGGTGAGATGCTTTTGTCTATGCTTACACGATGTACCGTATTCAACGTGTTACTCAAGCCGTCGAAGTAGATTTCGTTCACATTCAAATTTTTGCTGGGGTCCAAGTTTTTCAGTTTTAAATTTTGCAAGCTGCTTAACCCCTCCTCGTCCTGCTCGGCTTCAGGTAATATTTCACCACATTTCAACGCTGCCCCATCTTGCGATGTATATTCCTTGGAATGGGCTATCCTGCTGTGGTTCAAGAACCCTTGTGCCGAAGAAAAATTGCTTCGGTTGCAATCTGGACATGTGAGCTTTACAATCACCCCGTCTGTTCTTCTGTATAAACACCCCAAACTGGACGATGGCTTGCTTATTGATGTACTTGGCCTCAATGAAGATGTAGTAGAACGAGTTCTGTATGAATATTTGGGTTCACCTACGTACCCTTCTTCCAGCATAGATGCCTTCGGAGTATGTGAATCTGGTATTCCAGAAAGATTAGAATAATTAGCTGATAACGATTTACTGAGCAAGTTATAATACTTCACCGTGAAATCGTTAGGCTCATTCTCTAAGCTTGCCAGTGATGGAACCTCGAAAAACTTACGTAGTGTAATCATTTGTGATTCACATTTGCCTATTTCTTCTTTCGTGAGTGTCAACTCTTTGTGCTTTAACCGTATCTCCAAGTCTATTTGATTAGTAATGATATCTCGCAACTTCTCAATAGGTGTGTCTTGAAGTCTTTTAATTAGCAATTCTCGGTCAACTGCCATCGTCTCCTGTGGTGCTTCTTCGCCATTATCATGTTCTGCCGCTTCTTGTACACTTTGCCCTTGTGGTGCCACCTGGTCCGACTGTTCCATTTCTGACCCAGGCAAGTGAAAATCATCTATATGTGCCTCTGGTGTGGGTATAGACGTAGGCGACATATCACTCATTATACTTTATATTAATTTTCTACTCTTTGTCGGTTTCTACCGTTGCATTTTGTTTATAAGCGGATTATCTACAATTAGACGGTCAACCGTGTTCCTGCATACAATCACTCTGATATCAAAGAATGTTGCTCGCTCACACTAGTAAGTCGATAGGGTCCTTTCCTTTGGCACACTTCAGTAATAATTGCCTGTAGGTAAGTTCGCTTTTGAAGCGTACTTTAGAAGTTATTGTTCCCTTTATAGCTAGTTTTGGAATTAGCTTTGGTTTAGACTTTGCAAGTACTTTTTGTGTTTGGTGTAAGTTGCCCTTCGACTTGGATTCCAGTCTTGTTCTTCGTTTAGATACAAGTATGGAGTTGTGGCTTTCTGTTTTCTGTTTAGAGTTCTCGCGCGATTGGTTTCTCTTATTTACCACTGGCGCAGACTCTTTTTTGAGTTCTTTTGCAGAGTCTGCTTTCTTCGAACGTTTATTAGGTTTGATATCATTAATTGCAGGGTGTTCAGGAGGCTTTCTCGTATCTGATTTGGATGCTTTTGGTTTTTTTTCAAGGACAGTGTCTTGGCCGGACTTTTTAGGTTTAGCTTGCTTTTTCTGTCGTCTATCCTTCTTATAAGTCAGTGCGGGCTTAGCTCTGTTATTGTTTTGAGGTGATAATTCCTCTATTAGCAGCATTATACTCTCCTTATTTATTGAATCGTGTATTTTATTGATCTCAAGATCTAGTTGACGTTGATTGTTGATTTGCTCTTCTTGGATTATTTGGCTATTCACTAACTGTGAATCAAATGGAGTAGAAGTTGCTTTAAACTCAAGCTTCTCCTCTGCTTTCTCTTCCTCTTCAAAAATAGCCCGTAGGTTTTCTAGCGAGTATTCGTCTTTTCTTGGTATCCTAGTAGCGACTGGTTGATGGTTACGCTTTGGCCCCGATTTCTTACTTGCTCGTTTCCTACCTTCATTTATTCTATTTGGTGCCTCTTGTAGCGGAGTTCTTTTCTTAGCTTGACTACTTGCTGGTCTCACTTGTTTAGCTCGTGGGTAAGGCCTAACAGCTTCTAAAACAATTAGTACTAATCTAAGCACATTTTTTCTCACTAAAATAAGTTCATCTCTTCAACAGTAAACTTACTACTAGCATCCTCAAAGACTTGAAATGCTTTTGGAGGCATTGATGTTTCTTAACAATACTACGTAGCTATTATAATCAATGGTTGTAAAAAAGTATGTAAATAGAGAGCGACATTTTCCAAACTCCACGACATTTGACGATACTGTTCAGATCTACGACATTACTTACCAGGCTATATTTGATAGATAGTGGCGTTTATTATACCATATTCACAATGTCCAAGGAGGATATTATATTACCATCAGCATCATCATTGTCTACCTTAACCATTTCAGATACATCACAGTCTGGTTTTGGGTATAATCCAGCGGTAGGTCCAACATCTAATACCATAACTCAAGAAACATCAAATATCTTGTTGAATAAAAAAACAGTAAGTTTAACGCCAACGTCATCCAATTCTATATATGATAGAAACTTGAATAAGAAGGCTCCGGAAATCAGCATATCGTCCTTATCATTTTTGTTTTGTGAAATTGTCAACTGGGCACATAAGAATTCAAAAGGAATCCAAGACTTGGAGCTGAGATTAAATGGACTTGGTTATCAAATCGGCCAACGGTTTCTCGAGCTTGTCAAATTCCAGGAAGGTATAAAGTATGGTAAAAGAGAAGTTAAGATTATTGAAATATTACAATTTATACATGGTTCCTTGTGGAAGAGTGTGTTTGGTAAGACTGCTAACGAATTAGAAAAATCGCAAGATGTAAATAACGAGTACATGATTACAGATAACTTGCCTTTAATGTCCAAGTTTATAAGCATTCCTAAAGACTACAGTAATTTAAATTGTTCTGCATTTACAGCAGGAATAATCGAGGGGGCACTTGATTCAGCATATTTCAACGCTACTGTAACGGCTCATTCGGTTCCTAAAGAAGGTTATCCCTTGCGAACTGTTTTTTTGATCAATTTTGACGATCTGTTATTCGTTAGGGAGGAACTACGCTTCAATCAATAGGTTTATATAATGAAATACATGAAAATCAAACATGACACAAAAATGTGATTCCTAAAATTTTGATACTTCGACATTTATTCAACGATTGTAAAATATATCGTAAATTGAAAGAAGTAATAAATTATAGAAGATAATTGAATTATAATGGGTATAACTATCAGGCAAGCTACGATAAATGATATCCAAGCTATGCAAAACGCCAATTTGCATAATTTACCGGAAAACTACCAGTTGAAATATTATATGTACCATATTTTATCGTGGCCACAAGCTAGTTTTGTCGCAACAACATATGAAGATGTCTCGAATGATCTGAATCTGAATGAAGAAGTAGAGATAAAAGATCCAAAAGGAGATACATCGTATATTAGAAAGGGAGAGAAGATTGTGGGATACGTCTTAGGGAAGATGGAAGATGATCCAGAGGCAGAGGATAAGACTCCACACGGACATATTACATCATTATCAGTGATGAGAACGTACAGAAGGATGGGAATAGCTGAAAAGTTGATGCGTCAGGCATTATACGCGATGTGTGAATCATTCAACGCAAAATATGTTTCACTTCACGTTAGAAAATCTAATAGGGCTGCATTACACTTGTATAGAGATTCCTTAAATTTTGAGAACACTTCAATCGAAAAGTCATACTATCAGGATGGAGAAGACGCATATGCAATGAGAAAAGAATTGAAACTCGAAGAGTTGATACCATATTTATCTCAAATGTCTGAAGAAGTCGATGATTTCTCCAAAGATTTGTTAGAAGACTTAGAGATACCTATAGCATAATTTAATAAACGTTAATGTATTACAGATATTATATACCCCAAAGTAAGAACCATGAAAACAACTATTCAAAATGCAAATATAAAACTGAATTATAATAAGAGTGGTAATGTGTAGAAACAAAGGGATTAATAACGTTCTTTCATTCTGGATGCAACTGTACGTAAATTACCGTAGACCTTACCTGGTGGCGAACCTAAAATCAATGAAACAACTGCTTCTCTGGCCATTCTAATGTGTGTGAAACCACCCAAAATATGTATCTTGGAATCTGCCAACACAATTCTCGTTCTGGTAGCGTTTTCAATCGCAAATTTAGTTTTACCATCTTTACCAGCAATTCTACCGATTGCTCTCGATAAATGATCTCCATTTAAGGTCTTAACATCCTTAACTTCAAATGTTTCGATATACAAGTCATCCAATCTCAATAATGCAATAGCATCGTCAACATCAAATCCTAACGTGAAAGCCTTCACAAAATCAGCTCCTTTTTGTAACGCACCCTGATCTACGGTGTTCTTGTTGGTCTTCATTTCGATCGTCTTGGTCTTCAAGTTCATTCTTACTTGCAACTTTAAGTGGTCCACTAATGGTGGATAGATCTTAGTCCATGTGTTCTTCAATGGTGTCATTCTGTGTGGTGGTACCGGCACCTTTCTGCTTTCCAACTTCACCTTCATTCCTGATTTTGATGCTGCTGAAAACTTTGGCTTCCCACTCTCATCTAAAACCATTTCATTGCTTTCTTTTTTCTTGGTGGCTCCCTCTTCCTCTTCTTGTGGAACTGAGCTTGCATCTATCAACATTTCTTCTTCCCCGTCTACTACTTCGTTAGAAGTTGCCTCCACTTCTTTTGGTGGAGGAATGTTCTTGATTGCTGTTGGAGCTGCCATGTTTATCCTTTATTCAACTACCCTACAAGTGAATCAACTGTATATTCTTCTTATCATGAGTGAAAAAATATACTCATCTCAAATTTTTTTATTGAAACTATCACGTGAGTTTTGTAACCCCATATATGTCTAATAGAGGCCCATTCCTTCATCTACATAACTAGAGCCATGTGCTACGGTATGGCCTTGACAGATTATAAGGTCGAAATCCAACTTGGCCAACGATTATTTTCATAACTTCATATAATATCAATTTATGCCTATAATTGGCCCAAATCAACTAAATAGAAATTTTTCCACTGGCTGGTGCGAGAATTTTGTGATTAGCCAGTAACTCTTGCTTGAAATTTTTTGGAACTTAATTAGCAATATACACAAAGATAGATAATATCCTGTTAATAGTGGTCGGATAAGTTAGAAGTGTGTTCACAGATCCATATTTTTTTACCATTTTGAAATTAGGAGTGTGGTCGTTCAGAAATGCTGATATTGCTAAAGAATATGGCATTTTCACGGATGGTATCACGTACGCCGCTAAATGGTCAAATTAGCAATTTTTCCCGTTCAATGGGACGTTTGCATAGGTCTCTGTCAGGATCGTCTGTATTTACAAGAATAATGATGTGTCAGCCGGTCAAAAGTGAATGGCGTTCTGTATGTGGAGTTAAGCATCAAGCGTTTTTTAGCACAATGGCAAGAATACAAAACCAACATAAAGACAAGGGAGTCAAAGACAATTCAAAACTCACGAAGGCAACGTTACTTTCACAAGCTTCAAGTCGTTTTTCAAAAATTTTGATCCACATAAAATGGCCACTCATGAGAAATAACCGTCCATTTACTGTGGATGATTTTTCAGCATTTTTCTCATGGCTAGTTATGGGTAATGTACTATGGATTATATTAGGGACTACCACATTTGGATTGGTAACTATGTATTCTATTCATACGTTTGACAATATCCGCAACTCGATCAAAGCGTATTACTCAGATGAGGATGAGGATGATAGTGATAAGGATGGAAGAAGACGTACTGACGACAGCATATTAGGATACATTACCAGTAGTATCTTATCCCATGGATTGGGGGTTGTGATTGAGTTCAAGAAAGGAAATGTTCTACCCGAATTAAAAGATGGCATGTTAAGATTCAAGAAATTAAATGTCTATTCCATGCATATCCCAACTTCTGAAACAGATGAAAGTGCTGATAAGTCAAAAGAAAGAACGGTATTGAAATTTAAGGCAAATGTAGAGACTATGGATATTTCATTATCATTCGGAAAATGGTACGAAGGCAAGGGGTTAATAGATGAGCTTGAAATATATGGAGTTAGTGGTAAAGTCTACAAAAATAGCGAGGAGCATCAGGATGTTTCTGTTGAAGAATATTTAACTTTTTCTGCTGGAAGATACAACGAAAACCTCCACTTCCAATATGACATGAACGACCATAGCGCCGAAGAGTTGGAGTTGGTAAAACAGAAGCAAAAGAACTTTTTAATGGAGTCTAATTATGAAATTTCCCATGTTAAAATTCATGATTCTTATGTTGAGATAATCGATAGAGCGGATAAAAATCCATTGAAGATTTCTATATTTAACTGTGACTTGCCACAGCTAAGAGGTAATCGTTTATTAATTGACTTTTTCAATGCCAATAATGTAACTGGTGCCATTAACGATTCCATGTTCACTATTCATAAGCGCCAAGAATTCAATAATCCAACAAACGATAATAAGATTGTGAGATTTAAGTTAGATGGCATTAATATGGAAACTATTTCACATAACCAAAAACTGAAATTTAATTGGATTGTTAACGGTAAAGCTGAGATAATTGCAGATATTAGATTGCCTTCTGTGAACAAAGAATCGGAGAATAATTTCACGATTGGGAATGAATATAAGAAGATTTCTAATATATGTTCAGAAATATTTAATGAGTTGATAGATGTGACAAGCCCTTCTTCACCCGATAAATCACCTTCTACAGAAAACAATGATAACGATAATACTCTATTGAAAAGTGCTTTAGCAGCCATTTATCAGACATTCTCCCCAAATAGTACTGAATCGAAAGAGGCTTACAATACAATAGATCCTTCGTCGGAATACGTGATCGTAAATTTTAAGGTTAAATTTTATAATTTAAAAGCATCCTTGCCTCAACATTTGCCAATGGCATCGTCCAGCTCGCTTCCATTTATTAGTCTACAAAATTTGAGATCATTGATTGCTTACGTCAATGATAATACATCAAACAAGCCAATAATAATTAAAACAACCGTTATTGAAAGGTTATCAGACTTATATAACATAGAAAATTTGAATCAAACTAAGATCTTCGATGAAATTGTCAGTGATGTATACGATAATTTATTGAAGATTGTCAAATTAGATGAGAAAAGGATTATTGATGAAAAGTCATCATTGTGGTCTCACTCTGTTGCAAGTCAGCTATTATTGTTAGGATTAGGAGTTCTCGCTTAATTTCTGGTAACAGTTGTGAATTAAACACCATGAAGATTTATGATTTATGATAACATACTTTGCAAGATATATTGTAATCCTCACATGCGTAGGGTTTATATTTTGTTTATTTATTTACTAGCTAATACAATATATTAGTTCGCGTCCTATAAAATCCTTCTAGCCCATTTATTTGTTATGCTTATCTTTCCTTATTACAGGAATATCGAACTTAGCACCTCTTTTTCCGGACAAATCTGCCATCAATTCATCTTCAACTGCTTTCGCTCCAATACCCAATAATACACCCTTCTTCCTTCTTTCTAATAAAGGCATTCCCGATGATTCCACGCTCTTGCTCTTATTTTGTTTCCATCCCATTCCTCTAAGTAATGCTGCCCCAAATTGATCTACTGGCACCTCTTTGTATTGTTCTATGGAGTCTTCGTCTGGTTTTGAAGAAATATCCTGCTCCACTATTTCGTCTTCGCGACGAATCGGTATTATCAATCCCTTGTCGTCTAGCTCTTCGCCCTTTAGCAAAGATATTCTTATGCGCTCCTCTTTGGATAAATGCTCGTTAGGCTCCGCATCCTTTGCAGGCTCTTCTGAATGAGATTTATCTGGCACACTTAGCCCAAATTGAAGATTGTTATCATCTTTGGGCACTACTTTTTGTCTATGCTCCAGATTAGGGACATACATACTACTCTGTTTCTTTCTTATCTCTTCTTTCCAATCTCTATTTGCAGTAGTAGGTTTAATAGTTAATGGTTCAGTGATCTTGTAATTAACGGCCTTATTTCCTGCGATGGCTCCCCCCTTTTTTTTGTCGAACGAATCAATAGCTACCACAGCATTTTCATCTTCTGATTCTGATTCTGATCCAAGTAATGTATTATGATTAGGTCTTATTGTTCCATTCTTTTGCAGCGACGAAAGTGGCTTCTTCGGCACAATGTTAGCTTTCGATGCCCCAAATGCAAACGATATTTTTGGTTTTGTTTGCAGGTTTGGTTTATTTACCTTGTCCTTTTTAAGACTCATTTGGAAACCGGCCATCCTTTCTTCAAATATCTCCTTTCCAGCGTCACTTTCTCATCAATATATGTTGTACTATTATGACCTCATCTTATACGTGAGTTGATAGTGACACAAAAACACGTTTAGTTAGCGCGTGCAACACCACTATCAGTAGTGTTTAGTTTTGTTCACCTAGAAAGCATATTAAGCGTTACATTTGAAGTGGATGGTCAAGATATGCTTCCTCGATCCCGAGAGCAACATAACAAGCCAACTGAAGTTGAAAATCAAGAACCAATTTACATTTCGCTGTCACCGGACCAGAATCATATATATCAAGACAATTCCGAGTCGTTCAACTCTACCTGTTTTACAACAACTTCTTTAAATATGAGTTCTGATGAGTCTGTAATGTTTCATGACGGGGAGTTTTCAAAATTGGACTATGAACTTCCAGAACCCGTAAGCAAAGATGAAGTTGAAAATATGGCTACTCTTGATTTTCTAAACAAATCACAACAAACAGACCAAGACAAAGCTTTTACAAATATGGCAGAAGCAGAGTCATCTGACGCATTGACTGACACACATAGTATCAATTCGCAAACAAATATGACTGAGGTTCGTCCGTGCAAGCCTAATTTAATGTCACTTCTTTCTGGTAAACAAGCATCAAAAAGGTCTAAGTCGAAGATACGAACATCCGAAGATAAACGACCAAATCAAAATGAAATTCAGGAACCTGTTACAAAAGAAGATAATGAAACGAAACATGATGACGACTTGAGTTTAAATGAATGCATAAATGACTCTTTCACAGAGTCAAAGAGCAATGACCTACGAAAAGAGCACGAGTTGATAGAACTAGAAAAGAAGTTTTATAATGATAATGTAAAATCTGTCACAGCTAAAGATTTTTTAGCAAAGTTGAATCAAGAGAATTTAAAAGACAAAAATAAGGGTGCTGATAATGTTGAAGAAGCGCCAATTTTCATTAACGAAGATGGCAGTGATTCCGTTCTCATAGAAATAGATAGTGACGAAAATAAAGATGAAATTGAATTATTAGAATCTAAAGTCTTTAACGGTAATATGAAAAGAACATCTGCAAAGGATATATTTCAGTCTTTCAAGCCATTACTGAATAAATCACTTAAAAAATCAACCTGTCGCTCTCGCGTGGTTTCATTCAAGATGAATCCAGAAACCCTCAAAGAAATTCAAATGAATAGTAACCCATTTTTCACTAAGGGAAATAAGCATGCAGCTTCGTTACCAGGCGCTAAATCCCTTCTTGAAACTTTAATGCAAAACCCAAATTCTAAAAAGAAGAAACTAGTAACCCTCCGAGTTGACCTGAATAGATTAAGGGAAATAACGAAACCTTTAAACAACCCTTTATTTTCGAGAGGCACTATTGGTACGAAAGGCAAGAGTGCTAACAGTTTCTTTAAATCAATGATGGAAAATGCGTCAGGAAGTACGCCAAAATTGACTTCCTTGCAAAAGTTAAAGGAATTATATCCACCCCCAATATCAAGAGAGCAATTCCATGTTTACGATCATGAAGATGTCCAGAAAAACGATAATCAAACACTTCAGGGACTTATATTGAAGCCTGAGCAAAAATCACATCCAATTCTAAATCAAGATATTAAGGAAGGTGATATATCACTGATACTAAATCCAGCGTATATCAATACTACACTGCATGAATATAAAGTAGATGTTGAAACGTACACAAGCAAAGAAATGCTATTAGAATCAATATGCAATGATATGCCTCAAATGCAGTTGCATCCTCCACTAATTAACATATATAATAGATTTTTGAAATCACCAACTAATTGCAAAAATGAAGAGTCTTTATTATGGACGAATTTATTTCAACCTGGATGTATGGCTGATGTTTTAATCTCGTCTACGAAACAAAATGAGATTAAAACCTGGGTCCTGAATTCATTTGCAAGATTAAAATCGCAAACACTAAAGACGCCTAGAAATGTTTTGATTAAGCAACAAAAAAAGCAGAAACAGAATAGTTATAATGGGTTAGATGGATTCATTGTTGATGATTATGGCGATTACTTTCAAGATGGGTCCGAAACCGAAGAAGACATATTTGTTCCACTTTTAATAATTCAAGGTTCTACCGGTTCGTGTAAGTCAAGTTCTATTTATGCTGCTGTCAACGAAATTAATGGTTATGTGTATGAAATTAATTCAGGGCAATCAAGAGGTAAGAAGGATATTTTAGGGACTCTAAAGGAAATGTGTACGACTCATCTAGTCCATAGACAAAATGAAGAAAAACAATTCCAAAAGGGTATTATTTTACTCGAAGATTGTGACATTCTTTTTGAACATGATAAGAATTTTTGGCTTGCAGTTCATGAAGTGCTCAACATTTCTCGAAGACCGCTAGTTATTACATGTAACGATCTAACTGCTATTCCGAAGAGTATTATAGAGTTAGCTAATGATGAAGATGCTATAATAAGTCTTGATGAAACCGATAGTGACGCTTTAGCAAATTTTAAATGTTATTTACTGTTATGTTGTCTTAGTCAGGGTTTTCGAATAGATGATCCTATTCTTGAGGATATTTTGAAAGATTGTCACTCCAGGACCTACGACTTGCGGAAGGCTTTGATGTCCTGTCAAATGTTATGTCAAAATTATTCCATTCAAATTGCTGACGAAAATACAAGCAAAATAAATATCAGAAAAATTAAATACAATTCCTTGGAAGTACCTAAAAGAGAATACTCCCTTGATGAACTTTCGGCGAATATTGATCTTCTATCAGTATCTGATGTAATTTCTTCGAACTCATATTCATTAATTGAACACCAACCAATCGCTAATGAGCTTCTTGATATTTATTTCATAGATGAATCGACCAAATTAAAACAACGCACTATGCCACATGAATTAAATATTGGCGATTTCATTCTGGAAGCAAACTTTGTTGAGGAACGGCCCATGGTGAATGTTTTATCCTTCAATAAGATAAGAGAAGCAACTACAACTTTCATATCCTCACGTTCGAAAGAGTTGCCCAAATTCGTTCAAGATTTATATTCAGCTAGGAGCGTCAGAGCATCTACTAGATCAATGACTGATTCAACTGAAAGTCTAACTGAATGGCAGCGCGATGTTACAGGAATTTCTGATTCGTCAATCTGTAATCATTTGTCTCCTTTGCCATATACTTTAGACCTTGCACCATTTGTTAGGCAATGGTGTCGCTATCAAGATTCTCTAGATATTGTGGAAGAAGATACTTTAAAAAAGCTGGGAGTAAGTGTTAAGAAATTCATTGGTTGGAGACAATTTCAAGATAAGTCCAAACAAGTATTGAATACTTTTATTTAGCATACTGTACAATAGAAATAAACATATATATATATACAATTTCTCGTTATGAAGTTTGATTTCTAGATAAATCTAGTCCTAGTTTTAACAAGTCCCCCACCAAAAGATCTAGCAGCCTTATGTTTAAAATCAGTTGATTGTAACCTTCTCCATGCCTCTTCTATATGATAAGGCATAATAGGCTTAGCCAATTCGTCGGGTTTATCAAAAAGGTATTTTCTTTTTCTCTTGTTCAATTCTTTGTTTAAGTTTCCTGCTTTAACAATCAGTTGTTGGATCAATTTTTCCTCTGCATTTTTAATTTGCATCGCTTCTTCCGTCAAGGAACAAACAATTTCAAACGTCAAAAATCCTAAGATATCTATAACATCATCGTTTGGTCTAGAATCACATAACTGTGTGATTTGGGCCCATTCTCTAAACCTCTTTGCTTTTCTGAATGTAAATGATGCCTGACGACATTCGGACCAATGAACATATTCTTCCTTAGTCATATTCTTAGTCCTATCATCAGCCATCTTTAGCCTCTTCAAAGATGCCATTGTCGCTGCTTTTTCATCGTCATCCACTTGCTCTGATTCTTCTGCTCCTTCAAGATGTTGCTCCGAAAACATAAATTGAAGCTCCCAAGGAAGTCTGATTTTCAGCTTTTTATATTTAGTCAACATCTTAGAATCACTAGCTTGTGCTGCTGGTGCACCTGCTGCCCCGCCACTTGCATCACCTTCCATCAATGATTCAGTTCCCCCTCCTTCTTGATCTTTTGCATTCTTACGAACATCTTTCCAAGAAAGATACGTTCTCAACCTATTTACCTTAGCCTTATCATGTCTCATCAAAAATATAACATCTTCAGGAGCTATTGACTTAGTTCCTCTAACACCAGCGCTTTTGGTGGCCTGTAAAAGTATTTCAATTACTTGGCCTCGTACAATATCTTCAATCAATGATGTTGTTTCTATGGGAGCATCGTTCGATTCTCCCAGTACAAACATCATCTGCTGAATCTCTACACGATACTTGTGTTTATTTTCCTGAGATGCCATTATGAAAGTGTATATCTATCAAATAGTATAGGCATAAACCTAGCTCCATATAACCTAAATGAACCCTGGTTAATTATGTTATGGCCGGGTAATCCACAAAACTATATAAAAGCGATTTGGATGCTCCCTTTACTGATATCGAAAATTTTTCATAGTATGAAGAGTTGAATATATTTTACTGCAGAATAGCATTATTCAAATGGTATGTACTGATGTATAACCTCCCAAGTAAAATTGATAAAATGATGAATCTGAGTGCATTTGGCTCGAGACTTTTTGTCGATGTGGAAAAACCCTAGCTACCTTATTTTTTTTTGTCTGACATTTTCAATTTAACTTGATTACAATTATGATTTCATTTAGTTTGAATCCATACTAACAAATGTGCAGCATCCTAAGTAGTATATATTTAGCATGATAATGAATAAATGAATTACGTCGAAGAAAAAAGCCAATGTAGAATACTATAAAAAGAGAGACAAGCTCGATAAGTTGAAATCTTTCTCTCTCTATCTTTACAATTCCATTTAACGTAAGTCTGCGCCTGCGTTTGTATATGAATATGTCTAGTGATCTAAATAGGTTACAAAGCTTGTAGTAAAATAGTGATTGACTTAAATGTCTTCTCGTTGGTTTTGTGTCGTTTTAGGTGGGTGTATACCTACTTGCTACAAAAGGAGATGTTGGTTTATGTCTACTTAGAATAAAGCCTAGCCATCGAGATGTAAAGAGTGGTATGTTGATGGTCTCTATGTGACATGGATTGTTTTTGTATATATATGATCTATAGATGCAAAATATTAGCTTTGTGTCCGAAAACACGAATCAAAGTGTATCTGGTTTATAGTACTTCTAACGAAACATTTTTCATTCTTTAGATCATTCTTCTATGTATTTGGTTACGGCCGTTGTGATCAAACCTTCAGTATCGACTATGTTTGTTAATTAAGTAAGATGGAGCATCTTGAATTATATGTAATTTTATTATATTTATGGTATTTTGCAGTAATTCTCAAAATTTGTCAAATGGCTGAAATTGTTCATTAATATAGAACCATGCTTTAATTCCAAAAAGTTGGGATTTTGGGTAGTTACCAAGTACTTAGTATTTCCCAAGTAAATGCCATTTGAAAGACAATTTACAAAACGATGATGTAATCCTGGCGTAAATAATACGAAACAAGCCTATTGAATCATTGGCAAGCTATAAACACAAGAATCTATAATTTGAATCAAAAATTAATATCGATCTTAACAATCAGGATTGCAATGACAGAAGCTTACAGGTAATAGTAAAATTCATTATACATTAATCTACGATATTTTACAGCTAGGTATATCATAACGCAATAACTAGAATCAAAAGGATACATAATGCAACCACCAACAACGCAATGCAACAATCGCTTGCCCGTTCTCTATTTTTTTCGAGTATAAATCCCACTCTCTTTAAACCCCGTTGAACCTTGTTCCCTACTATATCCATATCCTGATCCAAACCCTCTAACATAAACCCTTGCTCCTCTAATTCAGACCCCATCATTGTGGCTTGCTGGTTCAAGTTCTGCATCGTTTGGTGAATTGAGTCCAACTGTAAGTCTTGGTTCTGTATGTATTCTTGCTGCTGAAATTGTTCAAATTCATTATTCACTCTATGGCTGTCATTGAATGGGTCTTCTTGTCCAGTGTTATCTTGCGAAATTCTATTTGACATAGTCGTTATCTCTCTCTGTCTATTAGGATCGGCAAGTTTTGTTTGCCAATCATTTTGAAGCGACTTGATCTTGCTCTCTAATTCCTTTAATACATCTTTACGCCTAGTTATATCTGCTGAATTCAATTGAAACTTCTCTGGATTCGTCTCACTTACTGTCACCGCCTGTGATAAATCTTCTAGTGTTTCATTGAGATCTTGATACGAATATTGAAAGTCAGTCTTTGCATCTTCAGTCATATACTTCGTTTTCCGAATAAAATCTTCAAGATTACGAATCTGTGACCAGCAGTCATCTTGAACATCATTGAATGGATCCATAATTGCCTGGTATAATGATGTTGTAAGACGCTTAAATATATTTATCTACTGACCTTGATGATGTTTAGGGACTTAATCGAGGTGTGTCCGGGATAAAATTCTACTGCCAAATAACTTTAGGTAGAAGGTTTATCTTTTTGTCTAGCACCACTAATTACTATGGACGCATCGGAGGAGACCAATAAGAGAGAATTGGAGAAGACTGATTCAAGCAATGCTTCAGTTGAAAACGGAGGAACATCTTCGCAAGCGAAGCGCCCTAAAACTATTTCTGAAGATAAACAAGATCCGAACCATGGGAATGAATTGCCAGTCCATGAAGTTGTAGGAGGATCTTCAGTGAGACAATATTTGAATAAGCATCTAACACAACATCTATTAGAGGCATTACGTGATGTTAGTAAGAATAAGCCAGAAGATCCTTTGAAATATCTTGGTGAATTTTTGATCCAGAGATCGAACCAAATTGCCAACGGAGAAGCTACTAGTCGTAGCATTCCTCCAAATAGTGACGGAGCACCAAAATCTGATACTGGGGATGATACAGCAGTGAAATCAGAGCAAGATAATTAATGTTCTGGTAGCTTACCAGAATTTAGTGTACACTAGATGGGCTCTCTCGAGCCTAAATTTATACAGCAGAAAAAATTGGATACAATTATTCCAAATTTTACTTTTAATAGTCTATATATGTCTAATAATTCTATATTTCATCGTCTTTTAATGTGGACTAGTTCTTAAGTACGATCGATTTTGCGCAATATTTATGCCTCACCAAAATAAATGATATCTAGCGGTAGCGCCATCCATTATATTCCAAAAGTTAAGCAATATCAGTATAATGGCAGGTTCTAATACATTACGGCCATATTATGACCACGACACGTTTGATGCAGGGTATTCAGTTATTTTTAAACCGGGGGTAGGGTTAATTGACACTGAAACAAACAAACCGATAACGTCGTCATTGGCATCTTCTATTGCTAAGCAGTCGTCACAAAGAAATTTTAAATCGGGACAAAATATAGGGTTGTCAGGATTATCAAGTAAGAAATCGATAGGCGATATAGGGATTGGTAAGACTACAGCATCAAATGGCACCGATAAAAATTACATTTATGATTTAGAATTCCAGGAGTATTTTGACTTTAATAACTTATCTGAATTGTTGAAGAACTTAGTATGGAATTTTTGTAAAAACTACTTCAAGGTTTTGTTATCGCAACCGTTAGAAATAGTTCGTTTGGTTTTACAAGTGGGTACATTTGACTTTAGTGATAGTCCACCTAAAAGACCTTCACGTTACTCCAGATTGTTGAATAAACTGAACACCAAAAGCTCAGATACACCACAACTCACCGATATATCTGATGAATCTGACGGGGAAGTGAATTATTTTGAGTCTCCAAGCCCGTCAATGAATTTGCCCAAGGAGAAATCGAGAACAAAATCACCATCTAAAATTCGCAAACTGCGTTATGACAGAAAGACTAAGAATAAGAACAAAATTCAGCCTGTTTCTCTTCATACAGTAGATATTATGTCATCTATAATAGCAAAAGATGGTCCTTTTGCCCTTTTCCGAGGTATTAATGCATCATTTATACACCAAACATTGTCGCATACCATAGAAGCATGGATCACCGGGTTCATTTCGCCATTCTTGGGAATACCAGATCCATTTTTCTTGGATTTAACGCATCTGACTGAACCCTTGAAATCATTGTGGTTATCAGTACTGGCATGTGTGTTGACTGGGTTAATTTTGATGCCACTAGATTTGATTAAAGTGAGGTTAATGATCACTCAATTTAATAAGCCATCCTCCAATGAAGAAAGTGGCGTTTCGTCTACCGATTCTCTGGTCACAAATATCAAAGAAGAAAAAGTGCCTGAAACAAGCTCTCGTTCTATCCGTGATTCAATATGCAACTTCCCTATCCATTTCCTTGTCCATCCGCCACCTACCATATCCTTCTTAACCGTATTGCACCAGTTTTCAACCAGTATCTTCCGCAAGGCTGCCCCATACATTTTGTTCATCAGATTTAATATTGACTCTTACCTGTCACCAAACTTGTACACTTTTGTGAACCTCTTCCTGTTGATATTGGAGTTCTTCATAAAATTGCCTGTGGAAAACTTGCTAAGAAAAGAACAAGTAAGGTTCTTATTAAGACCTAAGTCGGTATTGGAAGATGAAAAGAAAGTTATTACTATCGACAGTGAAGAGAATGATTTGATTATTGACTTTAATAATGGCTGGAAAGATGATATTGATAACGAAGTAGAGGACTCTGATGGAGAACTTAAACCTCTCAGATCAGTTAGCTTATGGCAAAGAGTTAAGATCCTAGGTTTGTTCAACGGTTGGAGAGTCGGTGTTCTAAACGTTATTGGTTTTTGGGGCTATAATATTTTAAAGAAGAATGGCACAGAGTTGAAAGAAGAACGCTTATAGGTGTCTATTTAATGAACTACTTTGATATTTGTATATAGATATTGTCATGTTTTGAGCTTTTCATCTTATAGTAGTTTGAGTCTTTCATTATCTTCACGTGATCAGACGTTGTAGATGTATTCGTAATTACTCTTGGACTTAAAGTTCTCCTTCTACTAGTAGCTTTTTATATTTGTACAATAAATCACAGAAAAATTGCTATAGTATGGCTTCAGCAGAACCATTTAATCCCGATGATTTTGAAAACAATAATCCGTTTTCCTCTCCAAATCATGATGATCATATAAATCGTGTCGAGGAGCCAGCATATGAAGAAGAACCAACGAACGAAGAAATAACGAGCGAACAACAAGAAAACAGCAAACAGGATGTACAAGGGTATGATCAATTATCAGAGGAGGAGTTGCACAAGTTACTACCAGAGAGATTTACGAATAAATATCAGATCAATATCAAGCTCACTGCAATTGAGAAGAACAAGGCTGGAAATCCAATCTTAAGATTTGATTCCACTGTCAGAGGGTTACCAAAGTTTCGTAGCCAGAAATATAAGGATGTTCGCCGAACTTACAATGAAATTGTGAAGTTTAACAAATATTTGACGGTTTCCAACTTGGAAGTATTTGTGCCAGTGATTCCCCTGGCAATCACGTCATATCCTGCAAATGGGGAGGATGAGACAAAGCAATTACATAGTGTATGGCAAGAATGGTTTAATAGGATCACTAGCAATCCAATTTTGATTCGTGATGAAGAATTTGTTTATTTCATTGAAAACGATTTTGGATATTCTGTTATTAACAGTAGTCGTAAATCTTCGGTCGCCAGTGGATTGGTACGTAAGACTTTGAAGCAGTTGGCGATTCCTTATGATCCATATGAAGAATTAGCCGAGTTTCGACCATTGATTAAATCGTCTTACTTGATATGCCAGAAATTGCATAAATTATTGGACAGGAACTCCAAAGCTGAGAAACAATTATCGCTACACATCAATGAGTTGGCGACGAAGCTCGTTAATTTGTCCGAATTTGAGATTATACATCCAGGTATGAAGAATATGTGGGAAAAACTTTCAAGAGTGACTACCATTCAATCAGATTTGACATTAATTCAACTGATTAATGATATGGGTACTTTGGGAGACGGAATACAAACCTTAGTTAATGATTTCTATGAAATTAAAGAAGCTCTCACCAATCGTCATTTAATCATGAGAGAATTATTACAGGCAGAGACCCAAACGAAAGCAAAACACTATCAAGCCACGAAAATTAAGAACAAATCTGCGTTGGATCCTATAAAAGTCGACGAAGCAATAAGATCGTTAGAATATGCTACCAAGACTGAGGAATCACTTAATTTACAGATAAAGAGAATTTCAGGAGAGATGTTGTTTGAAAAGGAAGAAGTGCTAAACCATGTGGATCAAAAATTTCAAAAAATGTTTAAAGCATACACTTTAAACAGAGTTGATCAACATAGAAAGATCCTCAAGCATTTGGAGCACATACGGTTAGATATTAGGATTATCGATGAAAAAGGAGGATTATCGAGATTAAATAGAGACAATTTGAGCAATTTGAAACACAACTTGACCCAGTCACAGTCAAATAACGGCGATTCGTGGTCATCTCGGACTTTCCGATCATTAAAGAACGACAGAGAAGCACAGAAGGAAGCATCGAAGAACCAAGATAATGTAAATGACAATAATATCGTGGATGCAAAGCACGCAGCAAGTATATTAGGAGTTGCTACATTTTGAAGTGTCACCATAATTTTATATATTTAGAACATATTGTTTAGTTAACTAAGTATCTCTTCTCAGCTTCCTTCCAGTTAATAACATTCCAGATAGCCTTGAAGTAATCAGCCTTAACGTTTTGGTATTGTAAGTAGTAGGCGTGTTCCCAAGCATCAATTGCAAGTAATGGAACCAATGGTCCAGTAACAGTGTCTTGGTTGTAAGTAGTAACCACATCTAAAGCACCACCGTTTTCCTTGTTTTTAACAAGGAATGCCCATCCAGAACCTTGAATACCGGCCAATTTAGCGTTGGTAACCGATTGCAAGTTTTCGATAGAACCGTATTGAGCAGCAATTCTTTGGGCCAATTCGGAATCTGACGATGGTGGTTCACCACCACCTTGCTTTTCTGGAGCTAAATTCTTCCAGAACAAACAATGGTTTGTGTATCCACCACCGTGGAAGTTGATGTTCTTTTGTAATTCAATGGTCTTCTTGACTTCACCCTTAGACTTAGCTTCGGCATGTTGCTCAATTGCAGTGTTATATCCATTAACGTAAGTTTGGTGATGCTTAGTGTAATGTAATTCGTTAATTTGTCCCGAAATGTGTGGCTCTAATGCACCAAAATCCCAGTCTAAATCTGGTAAGGAAACCTTGGTTCTAACTGATCCAATTGTGCTCTTAGCAGCAGTTTTTGAAAATCCACGGGAAACGGTATTTCTTAAGGTAGATGAAAGCATTATTATTCTGATATTACTATTATCTTAAGATTAATTCGATAAATCAATTATTGTTGATCGGAGAAAAATGTCTTCCCTTTATATACTATTTAAGATTGCGATTTAAGGAATGCATATTTAATTGGTTGCGCTAACAGTCGCATTTACACGACCCGATTATTAATAGTAGGAAGCCATTAGAGTGGATTCGGACCTATAGAGACTCGTATGTTAACGGTTACAACAATAATGGTCCTGTAAGAGGAAGATATACGGCGTGGGGTGATATTCTAAGGAAAAAATTGCAATTATAGTTAATAGAAAATGCATAGTCTGTAGATAAACGTATGGAAAGGTTGAGATTGTAGTTGATGAATTGTCCAAGCATGGGGACCGAAAGTCGCCGGGACAAACGGACTTGGAAGGGCCAGGTTAGGGCCAGGCAGGGCCAGGTAAGAACCAAAAGGAATACTACTTATATGTAGAGATCAGTTCCGCAAAGCTCTCAATCTTTCAGCCAAACGGTCTTCTTTTTCTTCGGTCATGTTGGTGGTGGGAGGAGCCGATACTTCGACGTTGGTTTCATTGAGTCCTTGTTTCATTTCGATGCCCGCCTCGTCCGCGATTTGGTTCATGAGTTCGTCCACCTCTTCCTGTGGGGTGGTCAACGCATTGACGTTGTTGGTGGCACCTTCGTAGTAGTTAGTCGATGCATCCAAATCTTCAAATTGGTTTTCAAACTTGTCCATAACCATAGAAATTCGCTCGAGATTCATGGTCTGGAGGGCTTTATCCATGCCCTTGATCACCAGGGTCATGTTGCCTGTAACCGATCTCATGGTCACAGCCGTTTGAACTCTCGAAGCAACCGCATCTATTCTCGATGCTAACCTTAACAAGTTCACTCTTTCATTAGATTTTCTTATAGCATTTTGTGCATACAACAGCGCAATATCATTATTACCTTGCATCATCGCCTTCTTGGTTTTGGCCTTCTCTTGCAATTCCTCCTTGGCCGCTTTTGATGCCTGCCTGTTGAGTTGTTTGGCCGTAAACTTAAGCTGAAACAAAGATTGCTCTAATCCTGCCATTATTCTGTCTATACTTCTTTATAATGTTTGTTTTTCGTGCCAAAGATCTCTGTATTAGCTTGGTCTTATCAACACCGGGCAATACAAAAATCTGCCTCAGAGGATCGATCACGTGTAACACACCTATTCTACAATTACATCTACCATTAAAATGTATGGATTACCTATGTGCTTTCTATCTAATCAAGATTTGAGAACTCTGGCATATCTGTATCTTCATCAGAACGAGGAGCAGAATTGCCTCTTTGTTGAGTGTTATTCTCAGCCGGGGCAGCATTCTCAGATCTTGAAGCTTGGCCAGAGTTCAAGTCTTGTGTCCCAAAAACAATGTGGCCTTCGCCATTTTGACTGTTAAACGATTGAGAAAGAATGTTGCCAATGCTACCGGCCATGTTCTCAGGCATTATTCCACGTAAAACATCACGCACAACATTTCTGCCATTTATAGGTGGATTACGAGGCTCGCTTGCATTAGTAGTACTGCCTGTGCCTGTGCTGGAAGATACATTTGGATTACGGCTGACGTTATTATCGTCACTGGACCTATTCTCAGGGCCCGGGGTATTGTTGGTTGGAATATCAATAGAAATCAGACCGGTTCCTTCAAACATATCACCAAAATCGTTAAGAAATCCGCGCATACCGGATGCAGCATTACGTGGACCTTGTTGTCTTGAAGCAGTTGCACCGGCCTGTCCGTTTGTAGCATCACGGTTTCTAGTGACTCTTTCGAAAGAGGTGATTGGGGTGGCTGGGAGCGTTATGGCGGACGCTTCAACACCACTATTGGCAAGCATATTTTGGGCAACATCTTGATTGAGAATGCTAGGCCTTGTACGATTGAGTCTTTCAGCTGTAGGTCTAAATGCAGAGTCTTCAGCGCTTGCTGAGTATGCGAAATATTGCATATCCTCATTTGATGCCGAAGCTCTTAATTTGGCGAGAATGGAGCGAACGTTGCTAACAGCAGCCTTGATTTCGAGAGTTGGCTCTCTTTGCTGATAAGCACGTTTTTCTGTAAGAATAACTGCTTGAATTAATCTTTCCACAAATTGAGGCAAAATGGTTGCAAGCTTATTTTCTTGATATTCAACTACGAAATCTTTGTTCTCATCAATCGGGAAGTTCTCTGGTAAGATCTCACCTATTGCCGCCTTCAACGATGTTAAGTAACATTTCAAAGCAACCAAACTTGTACCCATATATAGATGACAATAACCCAATTGAACCCATGCACTAGTGAATGTTCTATCATAGTTGACTGCCTCGTTTAAATCAGTTATAGCTTCAGGAAAACAATTGAGACCAATATATGCTATGGCTCTGTTGGTTAATAGCTGTGCAATGTTATTTGCTGTAGATAGTGAGCATAAGTTAAGAGCATTTGTATATATTTGTATAGCCTGAGCATATGACAGACTAGACATTAGGTTGTTACCTAGTTCTCTGAGAGTATTAATCAAGTTAATATTTGTCTCTTTATCTACTTTATCAGAAGAGGTCAATTCAATGTAGGATATCACCATTGATTTGAAGCCTTCGTAAAGTTCTTGCAATGGCAATGTTGGGTACGAAGCACCATCTCTTAATTCATCAACCACAGCATCAAGCTTCATAATCGAACTTTGCGGCATTTGCAACACATCTGACAAGTTTGATACTAAACCCCTAAGGTATTCAGCCGCATACACTGAGATTATGTCAAAATTCTCTAAGGAGGATTCCTCATTCCACAATGTCTTCTTTTGAATTTTCAAGGTGTTTCTCAATAGCACCGCAAACTTGGACCCTAATTCAGATTCACGCTCTGCAACAAGCCAGAAAGGCACCTTGTCCTTGCTTGTATCACGCTCTATTTTTTCAATGATTTCTCTGGTTTTCAACTTGCTAGGTATGTCAAATGAACTCACCTTGGGTCCCAAAAGCAAATCTTCAAAATTATACGCCAAAGAATTAGCGAAGCTTCCATTAGTTCTATTGACCTTAATATCTTCTTCTCTATAGTGCATCAATACCTTTTTGAATATAACCTGTTTTACATGCTGAATATAATATACGGTATCTTGGGCTTTGATACTAGCATCTGTCGTTTGATCGCCTTCTGGAATTCTTCCATTTAACTCAGATTCAATGCTAACCAAATGCTGTCTTATGGCTAGAGCAAAGGCATAGTTAAATGCTGACTCATTTGATGGAGAATATATAGGTTGCATTATCTTTTATTCTCTATAATCAAGAAAAAGTGGCTATTGCTAGCATACCTTTGAAATCAACTTTTGTCGCCCTCAGTGCGATCTAAAATCAATCTCACGAAATACGAAATAGAAGGAGCAAGAACAACATAATACTGGATAGATTTATCAAGGATTTGTAAGGTAACAATGGCATACACAGAGTCAGTAACTCCCAAATCATTGCTTACACCAGAAAATTGCCTCTCGTCATCTCGTATACGGGCTTTTCTTCGCCTCTCAAGAATAGCCACAGATGACACTATCAGACAGCATTTGAACGAGGTGAAATCCAGCAAAGAGTGTGACAATTATTTTAAATCAAAGATAGTTCCTCAATGGGAGGCTAGAGCATCGATAATTCAGTATTGTAACGATTATTCTGCCCATTTGAGACAAGAGACAACTAAAGGTAATACGGTGGTGCAAAGCAGCAAGCAAAACCCTGAATCATTTGACCTTAGGGTTGATCCATATGCGGTAAAGAAGTACAATCAGCAGTTGCAAGGACAATATTCACAATGTGATTCAATTGAGAACTGGGTGAATAATGAAAGAGTAGTAGAAGATATTATACGGGAGCAGACGGTAGATGTGCTTAATGATAAATGTTACTTTCAAGATTGGATAGAGGAGTTTAAGAAATTAAAAAATTTAGCTTGAATATATTTCAAATAGCATTATATATGTATGTATGTATGTAAATAGTTACACTTGATAAACATTAGTGTAAATCATAAAACATGTAGTTGCTATATCTGGTATATTTTTAATATATGTCATGCAAAGGAAAAAAACTGAGTTAGAACTAATAATACACATGTTGAATGTAGCGAAAAAATGTATAATATGGATTACTTGTGAGCGGCCGCAGCAGCAGCATAAGCAAATTTACTAAGTGTGTTAGCATTTTTAGGTGCACTAGAAGAAGTCTCTGATCTTGTACTACCCGAGCTAGGCACTTTTTGCTTTTGCTTTTTGCTTGGTCCTTTAGGTGCTTGTTTTGTGGCTTTCTTTGTTTTGCCATTACTGGATGTCTTATTACAATCCACCATTTCCTTAGCCATAAGAAGGCATTCAATCCACCCGTAGTTTTTCCCAAGTTTGATTTCATGTCCATCCTTATCGATAACTTTTACAGAATTCTTGATTAAAGGCGAATTCATATCACTTACTCTCTTAAGAAATATCAAATCACCTTTTTCTCTTATTAACTCCAAGATTAGATATCCGTATATCTCTTGTCCTTCTTCAATACTACCATCCTCATCCTCGACACTAATTCCTTCGAATTCGTAGTCATACATCAGATAATCTCCACCTTGATTCGCTTTCAAATCAACCATCATGACATTGAGTGAGCCATCAATAAAAAATACTCGAGCTTGATTTGTAATTACCGTAACGACAGGTATTGACGTGTTCTGTAACGTGCTATTAAATCTTGTGATCAAATCATCAATCATGGAATCATCTAGCAGTTGTGAAGTATCTCTTTTAACCTCCTTATTACTCAAAGTCAGTCGCATGATGATGTCCATCTTCAAAATCTTCTCAGTAGGTTCGAGAAGGCCATGTATTTCCCTGAACAAAATACTCTTATCATCAGGCTTCGGACTAGACTTTTGTTGAACAGATGGTTCGTTTCCATTCATTGCTGATTGATTGGCTCTTGTACCACTTGTCTTTCTTACAAATCTTGTGGAGTCTTGTTGGGGAGACTTTGGTCTTGAAACAGGAGGTGATGGACGTTGGAAGTTAGCCCTTTCTACAGGAGAATTCCTGTTCATATGAGGTCCCGTTGGCGCATTGGGTTTCTGAGATACGTTTGCAGCAGCAGCAGCTGCATACGATGGTTGATTCACTTGAGAACTTATTTGTTGTTGCTGGTTTTGCGCTTGTGGGAATTGTTGCACTTGTTGCACTTGTTGCGCTTGTTGCACTTGTTGCGCTTGTTGCACTTGTTGTGCTTGTTGTACTGGTTGTGCTGAAGGTCCTGGTTGCAGGACTGGTTTATTATAAAATTGGGCGGAACCTGTTGAGTATTGTCTATTATGAAAATTTCTAGCCTGCAGCGAATTAGGTATACTTGCAAATGCAGTGTTAGAACGCAAATTTGCACGTTGTCCTTTATTCGAATCCGGAGATGGGTTGGGCTTAGGAAATCCATGCTCTGTTTCTGGAGTCTTAGGAGCATTTGACATATTTGGTCTCATCATATTATTGGCGCTATTGTTCACTTGTGGAACCATTGGTGCACTATTTTGACGTTGCTTCTGAATTGGCCGTTGATTGAATTGAGCCGATGATTTATAATTGTTTATTAATGGTGGAGTTAATGGAACTTCCGATGATGTATTAGTTGGTGGTTGCATAAAATTCTTCTTTAATTTGGTTGCAGGCTGATAAGACTTCGTGCCCATGGATGGAATTAAATTCAAATCTAGTTGTTGAATTTGAGAATGTAGCTGATGGTACGAAGAAGATTTGTTCATATTTCTATTCGATCCTGTCTTCACAGCAGGGATATAAGGCGAAGCCGATGGTGTGGGTAATGAGCTGCTTGTTCCATTATCCATGCTGTAAGGCTCAATTCTTGGAACCTTGCGTCCCCAAATGTAAGTCTGGTCAGCCCAATGAACGTCACGGAACCACTTACTTGCCATAATTTGGGGGATTGTAAGCCTCTGCAGAGGCTCAGCTACTAACAATTGGTCAATAATACTTGCGATATCCGGTGGGATTGCGTTACGATAACTGTATTCAACGTTGATTATCTTCTCAAAAGTCAAATATTCAGTAGAACCCTTAAATGGCGGATTGCCATGAAAAAATTGATACAATATACAGCCGAGAGCCCATACATCAGATTCAAACCCACACAAATTATGCTTTAACAATTCGGGAGATACGTATTCCGCAGTTCCCACAAACGAACCTCTGCGATCATGATCGTGGTGTCCGTTACTAGACTCTTGATTTATGCCCTTATAATCGATTTTTTCACCGGATTCATCAGAAGTGTCAGAAGTGTTACCAAGAAGCTTTGCAGCCCCGAAATCAGTAATCTTTAAATTGAAATCATGGCCCACCAAGATATTTTCTGGCTTCAAATCTCTATGAATGACTCCCTTCAGGTGAATAAAGCTCACTGCATCCAATATTTGACTCATGTAGTACTTCAGGACCGATTCTGACAACGATCCAAACTTTCGGATGATGGAGAGTAGCTCTCCGTACTCGGCGAAATCCAACACAAAAAAAAGACTACTCTCATCCTGAAAGGTATAGTACAACTGAACAATCCCCGGGTGCTGCTGTCCCAATCTGTGTAGCGTAGTTTTTTCGATATTCACATACTTGATCTTATCTTCCTTGACGATGTGCTTTTTCGAAAGTACCTTAATAGCGAAGGTTTTGTTGCTATGAATGTCAACAGCTGAAAACACAGTCGAGTATGATCCTTCTCCAATTCGGGTTCCAAATTGATAATCTTTAACTGATTTCTTCTTGAGTACGGGTCCATTGCCATTTGGAGGGTGGCTATCTGTTGGTCCCGACATAGCCAGTTTTGAAATATTAAGATCAATACTGAACGAGTTAAAAGAAATTAATGACTGCTTTTAAGCAAAATGATACTGCTGAATTCCACTGATTCAAAATATACTTCGAAATAGCAAAACTGTCTGCCAAAATGTTACTTCTCTTTACTGTATACCGCTTTGCCTAGGAGTGGCTCGCGTGTGTTGACATTCCATAAATGGGTTTGTGTCACTTTAGAATCATATACAATACTACGGCTATTCCATAGCCCTGCCATCAAATAGAACACGATGGAGAGGTTTATCTTTACTAAGGTAAGAAATAAAAGATATCCGAGACATAACAGAGAAAGAGTCAACTTAAATGAACTTACTAGCTGGTTTTGCTTGTAGATACGACGTAATTTTCTGATTTCAAATAATAGGTGCTGGCATGGCCAAACTTTACCAGATTCAAAAGGTAAGGCTCTAAACAGCATCTAATGTATTTGAAAGATGAGATATCTCACTTAGAGTCTTTTGGCTTGGTATTGCGATTATTGTAAGGGTACAGAGAGGTTGATTCGAATCATAGAAGTTATTGAATCATCACGCTATGTGCAGTCCCATATGATTAAGTAGTTTTTCAGACTTCAGAAGACGACTAACGGCAACTTTGAAGCAGTTTTTCAGATAGTGTATAAGACAGAATGAAAGTAACAGGTCAGCGATTACTACAAGGTGGGCTGTTGGTACAACGGGTGGTAAAAAGAGGGTTATATAATGCGAGCCAAACCAAGAAAGGGTGGTTTTCCACTCGTTCGCTTGCAGATTCGAACGAGCACTTGAGACGAGTGTTTGATGATCAGACATACTTTGATAATTTCACGAAAAGCGGGTCTCCGGATGGAGCGATCAATTCGCTATTCGGAGGAAACGGGGTTGGGCTCTTTAGGAACAGTGCCTTGGATTCGCCACAGGGACTAGTTGATTTTTCGGAAGAGTCTCTTGAGAGGGCAAAAATGTTGGTTTCGAGTATGATGGCAGAAGTGAAGATCAGCGAGGAAGGACGCTTGCGGTACATAAAGAAGCTTGACCAGTTGAGTGATGTTTTATGTCGTGTTATTGATGTAGCCGAATTTATTAGGGTATCACATCCGAGCCAGAAATGGATAGATGCGGCACAGAAGACCCACGAAATTATGTTTGAATACATGAACCAGTTGAACACCAATGTGGAGCTATACGAAAACTTGAGGGACTTGTTAGCGGACCCTGCTATAACTGGAAAGTTGACTAAAGAGGAAATCGAAGTAGGAGAGTATTTAAAGCAAGATTTCGAACGGTCTGGTATCCATATGGATCCCAACACGAGAAATAACTTTGTTGCAATCACCCAGGAGATTTCTCTTTTGGGATCGCATTTTAACAATGATATTCACAACTTAGAAAGCTATTGGTGTAATATCTCAAGGTCCGAATTTGATCGTATAAGTGATACGGTTCTCAAGAGCGAAATTTATGGTTACCAATCGAGCTCGCCTGCTAGCCAAAATAAAGACTCAAGCAGCATATATATACCCTTAGCGGGGCATATTCCTTACACTATTCTTTCGAAGTGCGAGGTTGAGTCAGTCAGAAGAAAGGTATGGATATCATTGCACAATTCTCCTAAAGAGCAAATCGATACATTAAATGCATTTGTAAAATATCGTGCGTTGCTAGCCAAAATGTTAGGTTATAAGTCATTTGCACATTACCAGTTAGAGCATAAGATGGCTAAAAGCCCAGAAAATGTGCTAACTTTACTCAGAAATTTACAACAAGGTTTAGTAAGTAAAGAAGATGGAGTCTGTGAAGAAGTTAAAAAATTGCATTCCTTTAAAAGCGGAGGCAATACTGCCATGTCCAATGATGAGATATTGGAGGATGTTAAGCCATGGGATCGTGAATTCTTATTAGCTCAATTTCAATCGCAAAACTTGAAGGACGAAGAACCCTTGGAGGATATATCTGAATACTTTTCTGTTGGAACTATCGTTTCTGGATTATGTAAATTATTCCATAGCATTTACAATGTCATTTTGGTTCCAGAAGCGACATTAAAAGGGGAAACTTGGGATTCAAATCAAGTCCGGAAATTGAACGTTTTTGATGTGACTTCGAATAAAAAGCTTGGTTATTTGTATTTAGATTTTTGGTCCCCCAAAGTTTTGCCCTCACATTTTACTATAGTATGCCTGAGAAAGTTGAATACTGATATTGGTAGCGAATCTAAGAATGAAATGAAACAAATGGTTCAGTTAGACGAGAATGAGCAATACCAATTACCAGTGATTTCCTTAGTATGTAATTTTCTGAAACCTCAAGGAACTGGCATTGGAAGATTTACCGGAATTGATAGCCGCAAACCAACATTATTATCTTTGGACCAAGTTGATACTATCTTTCATGAAATGGGACACGCAATGCATTCTATGATTGGTAAGACCGATTTGCATAACTTGTCAGGAACTAGATGTGTGACAGACTTTGTTGAGTTACCATCAGTACTCATGGAATCATTTAGTAAAGACCCTCGTGTACTATGCAAGATTGCAAAGCATTATCGTACGAAGGAACCGTTGTCAGAGGAAACTTTGGCTAAGCATCAATCACACAAGGTGTTGCTAGAAGAAAGCGAAACGTTCATGCAATCTAAAATGGCCATGTTGGATCAAGTTTTGCATAACGAAGACATCATAAATCGTGGTATTAAGGATTTTGACTCAACTGCCATTTATCATCATTTGGAAAGTCAATTGAAGGTATTTGCGGACAAATGGTCTACATGGCACGGAAAATTCCCTCATTTGTTTTCTTACGGTGCTGTATACTATTCATATTTATTAGATAGAGCTATTGCAGAGAAGATTTGGCATGGCCTTTTCAAGGATGATCCATGGAGTCGTGAAGCAGGTCAGAAATATAGAGATAGTATTCTTAAATGGGGAGGCACGAGAGACCCATGGGTATGCTTGGCTGACGCTTTAGGTGATGAGAGGTTAAGCAAAGGTGATTCAAAAGCCATGGAGATAATAGGCCAAAAGGTTTAGATTTGTATAATTTATTTATTTATTCTGTACATATATTAAAATTGTCAATTCATAAATGCGAGCCTATTGTAAAATCTGTTTGTTTACATTTCGAAATCAATTTACAAATTTGTTATCTTAGGATTTTTCGGCAGAAGAAAAGGTAACATATTCTGAATTATGTCTAATGCAAACGACAAAGAAAATCCTGGTACTGGAGTCAATGACAAATATGATGTAGGAGGAGATTATTCGCCCAATACATCGAAAAAAGCGTTGAAACCAATATCACCAAATAAAGGACCAAACTCTTACGTTGGCAAATTAAATTTCTTGCAAGGCGACAATATAGACAACCACTTCAATAATATTCACAGTTCACATCTGCAGATTCATCAGCAATTACACAATTTGGAAGTACAGACCACACAAACAGGTATCGACTTGGGGCAATTATGTGATAGACTGAAAAACAATAACCAGTACTTGAATAAATTGCTAGAAAACATAACAAATTACTCGAACGAAGTTATCACAGAAGGAAATGCTACTAAAAATGATATTACAAACATAATACATAGATTAGATCTATTCAATGAAGAGTTAAAAATGATCAGAACATCGGATAATTCAAAAACTTTAACTGACAATATAAATGAGATTGTTAGTGAAGAAACGAGTAAGAACATGACTTCATCTCAGCATGTCATATTAGATAAAGTTAAGGAAGTGGTGACCGAATGTTTAGGAGAAATTCCAGCAAATAATGATTTCAGAGCATTGAGCAAATCTGTCCAAGAATCACAATTGACCAATGAGCAAAGACATGAGAAGCTTCTTGGTGAAGTATTGCAGATTCAACAAAGAGTCCCGGAAAGTGACCTTGTTAGACAGATAGTAGATCCAATTGTTGCAGAACTTAAATCAGTTTCATTGGATAGCGACTCTCAGAAGTTATTGGGAGATATACTCAATATTTTAAATAGAGAAAAAGAGACTAACAATGCTATGGAGCTGTTCCAGAATACGTCTACTGAGAAGCTTGATAATATATCTAAGGAATTATATACGCATAATGAATCAAAGAAAGTCATGAATGAATTAATTCATCGTCTAGATGATTTGCATCAAGAGACACAGACTCAAAATAATGATATTTTGCTACAACTATCAACTGGTGCAGTTCAAAGTAATGAATTGTCTAATCTTCAAAGTTCGATGGTGGATGTCAAGAAAGCCTTGGAGTCGAAAGATATACATATTTCCAAGTTGACTAAACTCGTGGAACATCAGTCTACGTTAATCAATGATTGGACTTCAAAAACTGAAAAATTGGGAACAGTGAAAGATTTAGAAAAGAACATAGCTAACCTTGAACACAAGTATGACTTGTTATGCAAAAATTACGAGCATAAATTTAATGATCTTAAAGTACTTCAAGGTGAATTTAAGGAACTAGCGGAAAATACAAGAAACATACACAGCAAGATTGCCACATCATCAGATATCAAACAGCCTGAAAAAATACGTCAGCTTCAGAAGATTCGTCAATTACACAACTCAAAGATGAATGAGATTCAAGAACATAATCATTCAAATAATTTGAAGTCATATAAAAGGATAATGAGTACGCCTACAAATAAATTACACAATTCACATCAAATATTCGACAAAATGAATGAATATAGTGAATCTCTGAATAATTCGGAAGAAGAATTTTAAAATTCGATCTATACACAAGATTATTTACATAGTATACAATGATTAGCTAACTTCTAATTTTGATAAATTCTCTCTTTGCCATCCATGTATTGTCTTAAAACTTCTGGAATTAAGATGGATTCAGTAGCTGGGTCATAAAATTGTTCTATTATAGCAACAATTAATCTGGGTACGGCGACGCAAGTTCCATTCAACGTATGAATGTATTTTAATTTATTTTCATCCTTACTATCTTCATATTTAATACCTAATCTCCTTGACTGATAATCCCCGCAATTTGAACAACTTGTTAATTCACCCCATCCTTTTCTTCCAGGCATCCATGCTTCACAATCAAATTTCTTTAGAGCAGGAGCCCCTAAATCTGAACTTGGCATATTTATCATTTTTGCACTCAAACCTAAATCCTCAATTATGCTAATTTGAAAATTCTTGATATCTTCTAGTTCTTGCGAAGCCTTGTCTGGCGTTGTAAAATGGAATAATTCGACTTTTGTAAATTCGTGGACCCTGTATAACCCTTTAGTATCCGACCCACGAGCACCAGCTTCCGCTCTAAAGGATCTAGATACACCTACGTACTTTATAGGATAATTCTGTGTTGAAGGAAAAGTCGAAGATGAATGATAAGCACCTAATGGAATTTCGGCGGTACCTATTAAAGACAAATTGTCATTAGTTAATTGATACACCTGCTGCTCTCCATTCTGATCATTAGGCTTGAAACCACATGCATTAACGATTTCATTCTTTACAATTGATGGAGGGGTAACCATAGTATATCCATTTACACGAGCTTTTGAAAAACCATACTGAATCAATGCTTGCTCCAACAAAGCACCATCTCCAGTAAGATAATACCAAGATGATCCAGAAACTCTTGCTGCAGTATTGAAATTCATAATATTTAACTTTTCTCCAATACTCTTATGATCAAGTTTAGACTTCGGTTTGGATCTTTCTGCATCTTCTTCCGATGCACAATTTATGAACTTTACTATATCACCTTCTAATGTGTTCTTAGGTACTGTAGCATCAAGTAAATTAGGAAGGGACTCGGCATGCTCATGTATAGTTTGAGACAATTCATCACGTTCAGTCTCCAATAATTTCAACTCACTTTTAGCTTTAGCTAATTTTTCCTTTATCTCTATTGGTGCATTACTTTTTAGTTCTTTCATAACTTCACTTAGCTTTGATCTTTCATGCTTTTTAGTATTGATTTTGTTAGTTAACTCGATTTCAATTGGTCTGCGAGTTACCACATATTCAAGACTCTGGATCAATTCTGGAGTATTTCTTCGAATTATTGCATCTTTATATTTTTCGCTATTAATAATAATATTCTTCAAATCAAAATTTGGTTTCCTTAAAACAGTTGAGTTTTTGAATGAGCTAGAGTATCTACGGAAAGATACATGCAAGGCTTTATGACATAACATTTAGTATATAATGAATAAGATCAAACTCGAATAAGTTGAATTTTTCTTCTACTGCGAGATTAAGCTAACGACATTGCAAGAGTAGAAAATTGAAGATTAAAAATTCAATTTTAGTCTACATTTCAGTTATCTGTTAATGTTCATTTCAAACCGTTAATAATATACAATATACAAAGAACTATGTAATGTGTTTTATCTTTATAATAATCTTACGACCATTTAAATGCAATGATTTTAACCTCTATTTAAAAAGGAAATCTACGGCTTTCACATGGAAAGGACTTCTCTTCAATTTTTCTTGATGTTCTTGCTTTTCTAAGTTTAATACTTCTTCGTCAAATATAACTCTATCCGCGTTAATGTCGATTTCACTGGTCTTGAAGTAAAATTTCCAATTTCTAGTCCAGAGCTTATGACAAATGTAGAAAACAATTAATACACAAGCACCAAGATAATTCTCAAAGAAATTCTGGGCATCTGGTTTACTAGATCCAACAGGGAATAAGGAAATATAGAATTGGGCGAATAAAATCAACCAATGCCATACGATAGCGTAAATCGATCCCCATACACCAGTAGATGCAACATAACCTAACGAATCAAGTGAAATGCCATTATACTTCAAGGCCTGTCTAAATCTAACATGGGAAACAACAATAACATTCCATGTAAAGATTTGTGATAAACCTGAGATAGACAACAACCAGGTGAAAACTTGTTCTTCTTGGTCATAAGCAGCAATGAATGAGAATAAACCAACAATAGAACAGACGATTAATGCTCTTAATGGTCTACCAGATTTGTCAATGTAGTTGAAGTAACTTGGTGCAAAACCTTGTTCAGCTAATGATTGTAAAGTTCTCGAAGAAGAATATAAAGCAGATGACGCAACAGAAGTGACGGACAACAAGATGACAGCATTGATGATGTCTGGAGCAACCCTAACCTTATGCAATTCTGCAGCAAGTACATAAGGAGAAGCATGGGTAGCATTACCACCAGAACCCATCAATTGATCGGAAGTATATGGAACCATAAGCCCAACCATAGTTAAGGAGCCTAAGAATAACACCACGATTCTCCAGAAAATTAACTTACAAGCAGCAGGAATAGCCTTTCTAGGGTTAGGCTGTTCAGCAGCAGATAATGCAACGAACTCAGATTGACCCAATGAAAAGGCACCAGTAACGAAAACATTACACAACCCTTTAAAATTGGTATAGTACCCAGGATCACGCCAGTATTTACCACCGATATATGGAACAGGTCCACCACCACAATTCACAATTATAGTCATGAGAATAAAACCGCAAATCATACATAACTTGATACTTCCAAAGACGAACTCACCTTCACCATATCCCTTGGATCCAACAAAGTTGATGAGCAAAATGACCACAAAGAAAATTGTCACCCAGATATCAGGGTTGTACTTTTTGTCCTGGTCCCAGAATTGAATAGTCATGGCTGCAGTGACTAATTCCACTGCAATGACTGATAACCATTGAATACAGTAGTTCCAGGTAACCGCAAACGCAACAGACTCATCGATAAATTTACGAGGGTAGTTATTGTACCCTCCAGAAAGATCACTGTAATTCACAGCTAACTCACCAGCTGCTTGCAAAGTAGGGTACAAGAATGACCCAACTATAGCGTAACCAACTATCAAAAACAAAGGACCCGAAACATGCAATACCTTACCTGAACCCACAAGCAACCCAGTACCAACACCTGTTACAAGGGCCATGAGGGTCAAATGTCTAGTACTAATCCCTTTTTGTAATTTCTTACCTTCATCACCGTGTGCGACCTCTTGTCTTCTAAACGAATCTTTAAAACGGTCCCATTTACCCATATCATTATTATTAGCAGGAGTTTCGGAATCCGAAACTGACCCAGAGAAATCTCCTCTCAATTCAGAGACTATTGGTTTCATTTCTAAATCTTTAGCGGACATCTTATAACTGTTGGTTATTACTGCACAACTAACTTCTTATATTTCTGATATTATCAAAAAAAAAAAATTCGATCTTGTCGATGAAATGTCGATAATTTTTCAACGAGATAGAAGAATAAATGTTATGCTGCAGAACAGTTAATCAAAACAATAAAATATTTACTTCAGATCTTAATTATAGGTATCTGAGTAATATATATATATAATCGTGCTCCGCTTTCCGAAAGTAGGCTTACCACAAAAGAATTGCAAACTCTCGTTATGAATGGTAGATTCATTCATAGATAGGCTGCACAAATTTCTTACTCATCTTTCACGGCAAAATTTTTTCTAACGGTCGCGCAAAAATTTCTTTTACTTTGACATGCATCAACGCCGCATATAATCAGAGAAGAATTGGACAGAAATTATCCGTAAAATAGGCCTTGTTGTATGTAATATCACAGATAAAATTTCACCCATTAAACTACAGGGTCTGGAATCTAATTCTTAGAAATCTAAAAAAGTTAGATTGAAAAGTAGTACTTTTTAGCAACTTAATGTTCTAAAGTTGGTGATGCTTTTTTGATAATGTTCCAATGGAAAAAAAAGTTCTCCAATCATATAAGGCAATTGCTCGCCTAGATGCATAAAAGGCATTTTTTTGTTGATAGCACGAAGATCGCTACGTGACCCCGACGAGACAAAAGAAAGAGCAAGATTCGGATAGTTAATATGTAGGTCTGACGTAATTACATGAAGGAAATGGATCGATACACCCATAACAAGCCACGGAGAATTGAAAAGTGGCCAGATGATATGCCGACGTCGTATATATGGCGGAATAGCTCAACTGAGATGATAGCGATAAAGAGAAACTGTCAAATCAATGGACATTTATAAAGTTATCAGGGCTTGCGAGATTATTGCAACCAAATTTCTGAGTTTTTTGCACATGAACAGTGGGAATGTATTAAGAGAAACTAAGAAGCAGCCAATAAATAGAATGTGTACAGTTACATGTTTGGTGTTTTGCAGACATAGTATTAAAAAGCAATAGAGGAGAAACAATAGATAGCTAATTATATACAGCGCCATTCAAGCAGAAATGGAGAAAGAAATTGGGATCGAGGGGAAAACATTACCTTAGAACCCAAGTTTGTTTTTAAGTGCTGCATTGAATACAGCCTTTTTCAGACTTGCAAGAGATTCGTTCATGGATTCACTCATGTTGTTGGCATACCCATTGACGGTTTCTTCCATTGATTCGACACCCGATTGCAAGTTTCTCATAAGTCCACCGCCACCCATACCATATCCGTAGCCTGGGCCTGTTGCCTTACGAACAGGGTCTTTGTAGTCTTTTTCTGGTTTATCACTCAGGTACCCCTGAAACCCGTATCCAGCATTCGGGTTCGCTTCGGGGCTAATATTGTGGGCTAATTCACTCTCAATATTTTTGGTGGCTCGTCTATTGGGCCCTGCAATCAACCCGATTAAGTCCGAACTACTAATATACCTTGTTTGACCCTTAGCCCATTGTATGGCGCCAGCTGCGGGTCTGGGGGGTATAATGGCATTTTCATTAAATAACAAGTCTGTAGCGTGGGGTTCCTTCAGTTTCTTCTCTTTAGACTCGGAAATATACGCAGAGAGATTTATTCCCTCTGTAGGTCCTAATCTGACAAACATTTCACCTGTAACTAAAATGTCAGATTGTGAAGATATTTCAGAATTCAAAGTATTTTTAAGCTTGTTATAGACCTCCTTTGGTAATTTGACATCGGCGATATCATTCAATGATGGAATTGAAGAAAACTTAATGAATCCCAGTTTAACAAGAGACGCCAAAACAATTCCTTTATCTCTAACCCTAATAACACCACATGCAAGACAGGATTCGTCAATAACCTTGTGTGATAACTTTGTTTTAGGCAATTGCAATACTCTGATATCTCGATTGGATGTTGTGATAACCATACCTGGAATAACTATGCCATGACTAAGCTTTTGGAACATCTCCATGCTAGCCACAGCACTACCACCACTACTGGAATTGATAGGAATAAGTTTGTCAAGTTTGGAATTTCCGGCATCTTCACCTCCAAGAACTCTGTAATTAAGATTGGTGGTCTTATTCATGAAAACTACTTCAAACCCACCGTTTCCTTGAGGAATGACCTTGAAAACCATTAAATTTCCTCCGCCGTTGGTACCACATAATAAAATTACAGATGAGTACCCATCTTGTCCGTATTCCATTATGGCAAACTCCATAGTAGTTATGTAACAATTACCTTCTGTTGTGATTAAGTGCTTCTTAATCGACTCGATGTTGTAAATAATTGCAGGACCTCTAGAGATATCACAGACTACCATTCTACCAGATTTATACCCGATTGCTGCAAACCCAACGTTACTCATCTTCAAGCATGATATCTGGTCTGGATTGTCTAACTTGAGTAAAGATACGGGCAAGAAAGTACTAGAACTAGCGAACATACCGACCACACGATCTTTGATATTGTGGATTTTAGCATCAGAATTACTATGTTGAACCGGACAATTACGATAATCAATGCCACTACTACTCCCTTTAGTATGAGAAATATTGATTTTACCAAATTTACAAATCACAACATCACCATTTCCCATACCCACTAACATCTCTTTATTCTGTAACCCGAGCGATACATCAACAATACTCATACAATTTGGTTCACCATTATCATACATTGTATCTCTTAAACTGACTTGTAACAAGTTATCCTCTTGATATTCTCCCCTGGATATATCCTTTAACCTCACTATTCCACCTTCGTGACCGGTTATTAAAATATTACGTGAGCCATCATCATAACCAGTGGGCCTTGGAGCATTTTTATGGGTGACAGGAGCTCCTCCCTTAAGCAACAGCAAATTACTAGCCCCACCACCAGATGAAGCTTTGGTACTCAAAATACTATACCAGTCAATTCTTTTCACCGTAATTATACTTGCACATATGACAGGAGGTTGGACTAATGACAAGGACAATGGTAAAATCAACCCACTCATGTCAGAGGGTGGTTCTCCAGAACTCGAATATTCTGAGATATAAAGAGATCCAATGTTACTTAACATCATCAAATAAGAAGGGTTATGGTTACCACCGAAGTAGGGCAGACTATCAATTGGAACTGGCAATATCTTAGAAATATACTCGGGTTCACTATCAGTGTTATTGTTGAGTGTAATGGGAATGATTCTTTGGCCCGAGCTTGGCTGAGCATAAAATTGACCTTGTTTCTCGTGTGATGTTAACGAATATTTTAAGGTATAACCGAAGTCTAAAATATGAATCAAATTCCCCTGGTTTGAATCACCACCGCATATGATTAATTGTGTCAATTCTGGATCTTGGGAACATACCCATCTGACATTTTCAAATGGAGCAAAATTCAATGGTGTCTCGATTGGCTCACCTGGCTTTTGTAAATTAGTCTCAAAAAGGTTTCTGGCTTCCAACAATGTACCATCATTACCGTCCCAAAATGACAATGTGTTGTCCTTGTGAACAGTGACTACATGTAATCCATTCGGGTGAAAATGAGCTTCAAGAAGTGGAACTATAACCTCTTTCGATGATCCGAACATTTTCTTTTTACCTCCATTAGTAATATTTAAAGAGTGGGCAAATCCCTTGGCTTCTCTAGATATTTGATAAATTAACGAACTCTTAATTTCTCCTGTTGTCAAAGAATATATGATTGCAGAGTGCGAATATGTTATTAATATTGTACCTATATCTCTTGGGTGCCACTCTATTCCTAGTACCAGAGACATTTTTTGTTTAGGCATTATTTTTTTTTGCAAATTATCAATCCGAAATGGTGTAAGTGCCAATCTATCCACATCGTAGAATACTACAGACCCATTTGACAACCCGACGATCAAAAAATCGAGTGATGGATCCAGATCAATGGCTGTAATTGTTCCTGGCGGCAGAAATGTACCTAAGATATTCTTGGAATGTAAGGATAATACAGTGATACCGCTCCCTCCCGGCAGAATTCCTACCAAATAGATACCCTTGATAAACCTAAGTTCAGTCATTGGACTTGACGTATTGAACTCAAACACAACTTCGACAGATTTTTGTCCATATACCCTTACGTCATTACTAGTGGTAGCAACAGCCAACAATGATTGAATTGGATCGTAAGCAATAGCTGTAATGGAATTTTTGGGAAGGCCAAACTGTTCGTTAATGGATACGCTTAATGTCTTAGCGTTTAGCGATTCCGGGGAAAGATTTGATATTCCTGAAGTTTTGATTATATTTGATACCGAACTAAGTGATAGTGGTGCTTTTTTCAGTTTTAACTTCGAAAACATTGCTGTAACTGATCAATAATACAAGACTTATTAGCTGTTGAAAATAATACAGTAGTCAAGATCAGAGGCTAAGTATGTGTTTTGATATTTGTGCTTTATCACGTGATTATTATAGAATTCACTTAAACACGTAACTGGAATTAGTTTCAATCAATAGGTTTCTTTAATATTCAATAATTAATATCTTAGATCTAGACAATGGTATGTATTAAATAGAGGAACGAATGATGAATCAATTGAAAAGAACTATAAACTAACATTTTATTAGTCCTGTGATAAATTAGTTGGACTTATGATGCTCGCTGTAGCTACCGCTGTATTTACTTACTACACTGCATGGGTCTTTGTTTTGCCTTTTGTTGATGATTCCAATGCATTGCATTCATTCTTCTTGCCTAGGGATTATGCTATTAAGTTGCCATTTTTGTTATTATTATTATCAGGATTAGGAGTGGCTACTTTCATTGGAAAGGTGTTGATTAAGAATGCCGAGAAGGAAAAACAGAAAAAAAGTAAGAAAACCGAATAAATGCAGTGTTCTAGTTTTCGTTTGTATTTTAGTTAAGAGAAGAATCTGGCTAAACAATTTACTAGACTCGGAGCAAAATATTAACTAAATCTAGGGAGGAGGAGTGACCCAGATCGTGATGAATTAAATAGGGCATTATTACAGTAAGCCAAATAATTAATATAAAATGTTACGTTTAAATATTTATATTTAGTCTGTAATTACGAGCGTATTATAAAATTACCGGTCTTAGCAATGTACTTAACACCCTTATAAGGTTTGACTGTGTCTCCCAAACCTTTGGCACTAACTATTTTCAACGAGTCAACCTTCAATCCACTCGGAACACACCCCTTGTGAGCATATGATAACTTTAAGTAAATTGGCTTAATAGCTTCTGCTGCAAGTGGTGTTGATTCCTTGTCGCTCAAGTTAGACTTATCGTGTTCTTTGAGGGCACTTGATAACTCCAGGGACTCATAAGATCCATCTGACACTATAGATCCGTGAAGCATTGGCTGTGTGCCGGTAGCTATATTGCGTATATTCCATTCTCCTTTACCTTTTCCCTTAAAGGAAAAATCACCATGCGTTATTCTGCTAGCTCTAATGTTACTAACATTTATATTGCCATTTCCACTTGAATCATCAGAAGATGTGGCCTTATCTTCATTTACATTATCGCAATGTATTTCTATGCACAAATTTTCAATTTTGGGTACAGATTTATTGTTGTTAATGAATAATCTAATCTCAAATTCGTTTTGGTTAGAGCCCAATCCATGTTGATAGTCTATGTCAATAACTCCAAGCATATCCTTTTGATCTCTTTTATTTATTGAGTTCAAATCAATTTGATAACTCATTAAAGTAGAACTTCCATCAGGTGGAATAAATGATAAATTACCTGGATCATTGGTCCATTTATCCAATTCTATACATTCGTGAAAAGATGGCAAATCCATTTTTAACCCACCTTTATTTAATATCATTTGTAAATAAGGAACTCCTGTCAAATGAGAAATAAAATTTATCTGTCCATCAATCGAGCCGACAATCGGTATCAATTTTGATGACGTCTTTAATGACGTTGAGTAAAATGCTGAATCAAATCCTTTTGATGATGCTAACAAATTAGATTCCTTGCCAATATGTTTAGGCAATGGTTTTAAGATTACATTTATGGTTTCCACAACATCAACATACATTTCGTTGTTAGTATACTTAACATTATCCCTCCTCCAAGGAACAGAAGCTTGCTGCATGTTTGAAGAGAGAATTTCAGCTTTTCTAGTGTTATGTGTTATCGAAGATAATGACTTGTTTGACACCGCACTTGCCAACTCATTGCTAGTACTCAACAATTTAGTAAACAAATTACTAAGAGGAATCAAATCTCTCAACCGATTGAAATCTGTAACATTAGGTATTCCGTCATCTATCATCTCATTTATGAGTAACGTCAACGTATCAATATTTGCATCTATCTTCGTGACAGCTAATGGTTTTCCAAAATAATCTTCCATAACTTCAACCAAGCGATTAATAAACACAAATGGCATTATAGGGTTCGGATTAGTTTTAGAGGAGCATAGTAAATATATTACGAGGTTAGACGTCTTTTCAAATGCAACGAAATACTCCGAATTGATTTCAACTAACCTCAGTTTTGATTGATCATATTCATCTAATTTGACAAGGTTTTTTAATGAATTGAACTTTGGACAAGATAAATTAATCAAGTACTCAAACACCAACGAATTCGTAGAGTCTGCTATGTATACTGCCTCAAACATCTATGAGCTGTAAGTACCACTACTAAACGGTACATTGAAATTGTACTCGATTGAAATTTCTCATACTGACACTATTTTTTTGTGTCACTTGGCCAACATACATTTTTATCATATACTGAATCATAGATACACGGGTAAAAGATATATTAAACACATATATACCGAAGATTTGATAAGGAGTAAATTATCAATTATTAATTAAAAAAATTAAATAAAAAATTAGAGTCGAGCCATTCAATTATAATTAATTTGGAGTAAGTGAAAAGATTTGTTAAATTGGGGATTTTATAACAGTTGTTTTAGTCTATTCCACAAGGCTATTCCCAATAATCATATCAAACACGTAATCTTATAGCGTAAAAGTTAATTCATTATATACACACACATTTTCTTCGTGACTCTTAGCTAAAAGATGGAGGTGTTTTGGAAATAGGCCTTGTATAATAGAACCTGCAATTAAATTTTGAAATCAGAACTTAATGAGTTCTTTCTTCAACAATAGAGCTTCTTTCTTCAGCAGTAGCAGCTCCGGTAGAAGTATCATCACTTTCTTCTTCATTGACATCGATATCCAAGTCTCTTGCAACCCTCTCTTCGACATCTGGAATATCAGCCATACCATAGATAGCGATCATAGCAATACCTAAGAAACCTGCAACACAAGAGAATACTAAGGCAACAATACCTCTAGCAGTGAAACCAGCAGGTAATGCTTTAACTTGGACATTTTGGCCAGTTAAGTCTAAGTAGTCTTTAGAATTACCAGCAGCGTTACCTTTGTAAGGCATGTCTAACATTTCACAATGCTTCTTGACATCTTCTTGTAATTCTTGTCTAGGATCATCTTGAATTTGTAATGGTGCTTCGACCAAAACAAGTGCTAAACCTTGGATTAAATGCCACTCAATATGACAGTGGAAGAACCAAACACCCGGGTTGTCAGCTTTAAATCTGATAACCATGTACGATTGTGGTTCAACATAAACAGTATCTCTCATCATTGGATATTCTGGAAATTCGACATCATCTTCTACGTCGGCGTAAGTAACTGGATCATCATCATCATCGACTGCACTACCTCTAGCAATCAATTGGAAAACATGACCATGCAAATGGAAAGGATGTCTACCGGTATCACCATTATTCAAAACAATATCAATAACGTCGTTATCCTGTAAAACATAAGTATGAGTATTGGTACCATAAACTAACTCATTGGTAGCATATTCTCCGGAAGATAACACGGTCATCAAAGGAGGAAGTTTTGGTTTAACATAAGTAATATTATTGAAAAATGCGTAATTGACACCATCTCCCAAATTATCCATAGTAAGATCAACTGTAATGGTTTGATCGGCATCATCATATAACTTTTCTTTGTTCAATGGAGTCAAGTAAAAATCATCAAGGAAGTCATCGATACTGTCAACCTTGTATTCCTCTGGCTTAGCTTTGTCTTCATTATATATTATATAGTTTGTTGAGTTCAATTGCAACTCATCTGGAATAACATCCAACATAGTATCATCAAACTTCGACATCATAGCATAGTTCTTATCAGTACTGTTCTTAGTTTTAATCAAAACACCATAACGTTGCGCGACAGTAATATATAACATATCAGTCTTGTTCTTTTCAACATAGATACCATCAACTTCAACAACTTCAAATTCGTGATCCTCCATCCAAAGATATTGAGTGACAAAACCACCAATATTAACAATACGGACAAAATAAGTCTTATTAGGTTCAACAACCCAAGAATTGTTTCTGGTTTCATTGAACAAAAGATTAGATGGAATTGGTTCGGCACCAGTTGGATTATATCTGTCCAAGAAAGTTTTGATTAAATCATCAGAGCTGTCATGGTACCAATCGGAAAGCGACAAAACAACTTCTTCATCGAAGTCAAAAGGATACTCATCGTCTTCAATAATAAACGGAGCTCTCATACCATCACCTAATTGACCCTTAGTATGCGAGTGATACCAGAATGTACCCACCTGGTCACTAACAGTAAAGTTATACAACATAGTTTCACCAGCTGGAATAGGACATTGGGTAACCATTTCAGGGCCATCCATTTGGGAAGATCCGTTCTGGAACATCCCATGGAAATGCAAAGAAGTATTAGCAGTATCAAATCCATTAATCAAGTACAAGTTAATTCTATCACCTTTTTTGACCCTTAAAGTTGGAAGCGGCCATGTATCATTGAATCCAATCACCTTACGCTCCTGAACACCATCTGGGTTAGCATCAACCCATCCGGTCTTGAAATACCAAGTATGAGTCTTAGCATTTACTAAACTCACAATAAATGAAATGAACAATAATTCACACAATTTCATTTTGCTTAGTAGTTATTCTTGTATAATTTACCTTTTTATTACCCCAAATAAATTATTAAAGAATCAGCTAAAGAAGAAAAAAAAAACACTCAATTACCATTGATTTGGATAACGAGCAAATTTATAATAATCAAAAGGGCTAGAAAATTTTGTTTGAACAAATAATGCCTACTCAACGTAGTGCTCATTTAGCATACGCTTCTGTGCTCTCTACTGCAAATGCCTGAATAATCCCGAGTGCTACCTGTAATTGGATTAAATTGATAACAACAATGCAGAATTTTTGACATGCTTTGCTGGTATACGAACCACTACGTACAAAATGCAAATAATATGAAAATTTTTCTGCCTATATGCCTTATCATTCTACTACTTTGATTAATCTGATAAATTTGTGTATGCCGTTCAAAGGTCTCTATTGTTTGCCCGAGCCGGAAAAGTGAACTTGACCAATCACAATTTATAGCCTGTGACAAGATGCACGAGCATCAGGTAGAAATACGAATGGTGCATTGATGGATTTGATTCGTTGGGGCCATAGCAAAATAAGCGGTGACAAAATCCATCCACCTACTTGAGCATATGTAGCCAAGAATCAGATAATGTAGAATTAGTTTTGGAACAGATGAGTTGGGAGAATATTCATATTTGACACTTGGTCAAGAACAATTGCGGTTCCGTTCACCGACCCAAAGGGGGTCATAATGCAGACAAGCACAACATCCCGTTGAAATGAAACTATTGTTGAATTTTATAGCTGAGAAAATTAATATATACATCTATGGGATACGTGCTACTAAGGGAATATAATATGAAATACGTTATGATAATTGAACCATTATTTCTTTATTTTTGGGGTGTAGAAATTCTCCAGATGCAAGGATGTACCTGTCAACATCCTTGCCTCTAATAATAATTTTATCTTCAGAATCACTTTTCTATAGCCTTATAAGTCACGCTACACTGGTCTACCTTGTCTATTTGTTGTTATATTCAGAAATTATCCAACTTAGTATGACGAATGAAGATTGTTGTTTGTATATAGTTCATATCTGTTACGTAAATATTCACAAAGCGTTGGATTCTCTTATTCAAACGTTCCCAGTTTGTTGGTTTTCTACTAATAGCTTCCTCGGATAAGATAATTTCCATATCAATTCTAAATTAAAACAAATCTATCGGAAATTTAATCCCAAAGGAAATAGTCATTCTAGTTTTAGACCTTCTCTTTTATCTGCAACGTAAGAACATGTTGAAAAATAATTTTCGATTTGAGAGTAGCAAATGGCGGGTCATTGTAAGTATGAGAAGAGAATTGCGTATTGAAGCAAGTAAGGAGATTTAAATACTGGTTAATTGCACAAGAAAATGTTCGAATAGCAAAAGAGTGGAGATTATAGAGCTCATGGAACTTATTTATAGTGTCCTAGTTTAAATTTTGGAGCGGCTGCTTAGCGGATCGCGCCTAATTGAGAAACCAATTATTAGTCAATGTTTGGATTTAGTGTTCTGAATTACCTTTATACACTTTCTTTTTGCAATGATATAATAAAAAATGGGTAAATTTCTTCCTTTTACTATTGCAGCAGTAACACCATTTACAGAACAAGGTGATTTTGACCCAAAATCAGTCCCTGGTCTAATTCAGTATTTGGTCAAAGAGGCAAACGCTCCTGGTTTATTGATATGTGGCTCCACGGGTGAACAACATATTATGTCGATTGAAGATCGCTTAGAACTTTACAGTTCTGTTAGAAATACAGTGGGCACCAATTATCCGCTTTACGCAGGGGTTGCTGCTTTTACGACAAAAGATGCTATTAGGTTGGCTAAAGGAGCTGAAAAAGATGGATATCAGGCTGTTATGCTAGGATTTCCTCCCTATAGAATTCCTACACAGAAAGAAGCAATTGAGTATGTTATAGATGTTTGTAAGGCAATTCCGTCGACGCTTGTATTTTTATATAATAACCCTAAACGAACTGGGTTTAACCTTAGTGTTGAATCATTGGTTAATATAGTAAATCAAGTTCCGAATGTTGAAGGCTTGAAACAAGCGGGAAATAGAGCTGATGTACCTTTGGCTATACTGCAATTATCCCGAAAAATTCAATTTCTTTCCGGTTTTGATGCAACCATCGTTGAGGACTTCCAAATGGGATATTCTGCAATTACCTCTATTGCAGGAAACATCTTTCCAAATCAAACTGCCGAGTTGATTCACTGGATTGAAAACGGCGAAAAAGGCAACAAGATTGAGGAGCGCCAAACGTTAATACGTGATGCTATTACTTTTGTGGGTGAAAACGGTGCCCTACCTTGTTTGAAGTATATTTTGAGAAAAAGAGGTGTTTCTGCCGGGTTTTGTCCTCCTCCTTTAAAAGATCCTTCTACAGACTTAGCTTTATCTTTAGACAAATATTGTTAAATTGATCTCGCACTTATGAAAATATCAGCTGTATAGGTTGCATCCGTTTCTGGTTCTGGTTTTAAACCTTCTCTTAGTCTGTTGCTGGAACTATATTTAATCTATGAATTACTTAATATTTCATATGCATAAGTCTATTTTACACTCTGTAGAGTAATACTTCATTTCAATCCTTTTGCAAGCATTTTTTTATTATTTCCCCTAGCGTTTTTTCGTCTTCAGCCTTCTCTTCATGATTTTTATGAATCCCAAAACCCAAATTCCTTATTTACAAGAATGAAAATGGATTGCATGACTCTGTCAACCCCCCGATAATACAATAGTATACTATGCACGTTCAGTAAACAAATTTTGGAACCATTTTGGAACCGTGGTTTGTGCACGACTGATGATCATCTATGTTTCGAACAACATACATAAACTAAAAGGTAAGCTCTTCTACACCAGACCCGTTCGCCGGAAGTAACAAGGTTACCGAAACTCGTAAGAATACAAGTCTAGCCAAACAAAAAGTCTAAACACTTTTGAAATACGTTTTATGCTTTAGAATTTATCCGTCTTTGAGGAGTGATCTTCTATTCGAAATGCTAGTTGTCCCACAAAGGCTCTTTAGTGTTTCCACGGTGGTTAAAAACTCGTCGTCGTCAGGGTTCCCCAGCTTCAACTTTAATTTCAATCATCTTTTGAATTCAAATCTTAAATTTTTACCGAGTATTAGAAGGAAATCAATAGCGCATGACGAAACGGCTGCTATCGACACGTCAAGCAAAGTGAGGGCTATTCAAAATCGCTACAAGAGATCAACGCATCCTACATCCGTACCATTAAACAAGCTATTCTCAAACAACTTCCCTTTGTCCATCAGTGATTCTATTGACGATTATGCTTACAGACATAACCCATTAAAATTCCAACATGACTTGTTATCTCTTTTACCATTTTATCCGCATCCTGACTCGACAGGAAGGTCAAGTCAGGTTCTCCAGGTTAAGCTTGATTCGGGGAATTATATTAACGAGTTTGTTATTTATCCCCCTAATAAAACAGAAGCGGATTCAAGTACTATGAATCATTTGATAATGATCCATGGTTACGGTGGAGGATTAGGTTTTTTCTTGAAGAATTTCGATGAAATATCCTCTCTTGACAACTGGTGTATCCATTCCATAGATCTATTGGGTTATGGTTGCTCGTCAAGACCACCTTTCAAGCTAGCTAAAGATGATTTAGAACATGTTGAAAAGTGGTTCCACGATTCTTACACAGAATGGCTCGTAAAAAGAAATCTTAGTAACTTACCATCCCTGCAAGTTCTAGTGATGGGACACTCCATGGGTGCATATTTGATGGCTACTTATGGAGTTAAGGTTAATCCTAAGTTCTGTCGTAAATTATTAATGATATCACCAGGTGCAGTAATTAAGCACAGGAAACAAATATTTGTTCCTAAATATTTTGCCAAACTTTGGGAACAAAATATTTCCCCATTCACCTTGGTGAGAAAAGCTGGTCCATTAGGCTCTAAAGTAGTAAGTGGATGGTCTTCTCGAAGGTTTGCAAATTTACCATCTAAAGAATCAAAATTACTACACAAGTATGCCTATGGCATCTTCCAAAGTCCTGGCTCAGGTGAGTATATGCTCAATTATCTACTTGCGCCAGGAGCTGATGCACGATTCCCCTTACTGGAGAGAGATATTCATAAACTCGACTGTGAAGTGTTATGGTGCTATGGTAAAGAAGATTGGATGGACAAACATGGTGGTGAATTATGTTCAAAACTAATAAACAGACAACATAAAGATCCGAATAGAAGTAAGGTTTTAGAAATTGAGGATAGTGGACATCATATATATCTCGATAATATTAAAAAGTTTAATAAGCTATTACTAGACGAAATGGAAAAGTTTTAGCATTTATTTGCTACAACTTTGTATGCCAATTAATATTTGCTTAGATTTTAATATATACGTTTTAGATTACGATAGAATTGATTTTAAGTCATTAGGTTCGTCTTCGGGTCCCACAAAATTGACCACTAATCGTAAAGATATGGGCAAGTTGGGATCAGTAATTATCATTTCTTCTGATGGTTTTACCAAGGTATTCAATTTTTTATTTAAATTAGGTCTCGTCATCTCCTCCAAACTTTTTGGTTGCCTTAAATATAAGTAATTACTTGACGTAGATAATGAGGGTTTTGTCATAGAGATATCTTGTTTACTTGAAACCACTTCTATAAATTTAGAAAGAGTCCACCAATTTTGAGCTTCAACAACTTTTGCAGAATTCCCACAAACTGGACAGTTAGGCTTTTGGGCATGGGGATAAGTATAAGTAAAAATGGAATAATCACCAGAATACATCATATAATTGTTCAATATTGGATTCGAATTTGTAATAAACTTGAAGGCTTCATTGCAGCACGAGGCAGCTATAATGGCATTGGTAGACGCAATTGCAGGTATAATGTTTTTAACTACACCTAAAGTTAATTGCCTTGTGACACCTTCTATATTGAATTCATCAGCTCTTTTCAATGCTGTCTCATACATCCAATCAACTTGCTCTGGGACATCAGCGTCGAATTTCTTTTGTGGAAAATTCTTCGGCCACTGAAGGACACTTGCCCACTCAATACAGTGTTCCGGTAATCGAGGAGTATTTGCAATTGTGCAAACCGGAAATGTAACCTTAGGATTTATCATGTCTAAAGTGCACTCGTAACACGATGTTAGGCGAGGTAGTATAACTCTTGATTGGCCTCTAAAGCCTTCGGTGCCTCCATCAATCAATGGTATCAAGTTATTCAAATCTGAATCAACCATAGATACCAATGTTGCGTTTATCCACCTTCTTGCTTCTACATTATCAAGGCCACATATAACAACATCAAATTGCTTATAATATTCAATAGATTTATCCTGAATCTTGCCAAAGTATGGGACTATGTTCAATGTTTCGTCATTTATCCTTGATCGAACAAAGGTAGCTGCTACCTCTGCTTTTGATTTTCCAATATCATTAGGTCTGAACAAAAACTGTCGATTCAAGTTCGAAATATCGATTGTATCCATATCTATTAAATGTATATTTCTAAACCCCGTTAATGCTAGATTCTTCAATATTTCACATCCTAACCCACCTGCACCAATTACTAATATTGTTGATGATGTCAATGATTTAGTAGCTTGCGCGGAATCATATTCATCTGCAACTTCGTTATAAGGTCCAATGTCTTTTAACAATGGTGATATTGACGAGAGGCTTCTCGTAGCAGTCGTAGATGTCATGGGAATACTGATATATCTTGATAAGTCGTTATCTCTTAGCCGCGTACGATATAAGAACTTTACAAATTGAGACTTACACAAAGTGAGACATTGATCCAATACTACACACATACTTATTTACGTTACTTGTGCCATACCGTTGGGATCTTCGAGACTTTTTGTTAAAACTGTTGAAGCTGGTTGGTTTTCTTTATCCCTAGATGGGTTTGTATCTTGTGGAGTACTTTTACTCATAGATTGCGACGTTTCATCCGGTCTAGATCTTTGGGATGCAGTGGCCCTATTTGTATGTTAGTATTGCAATACACAATGTATTTTAGACAAAATTTTTACTTACTCTTGATGCCTTCTTTTGTATGGAGGCTTTTGAGATGGCGGTAATCCTATCATTCGCTTACCAAGATTGTTGGTATTACTATTTGTTAATGTGGGACCAGGACCAGGACTAGCTCGGTTCATGACCTTGGAGGGTCCAATATTAGTCCTAGGCTTGTCACTTGTAGCTTGGGTCACTTCGGACCTTCTCACTGGCACAGATTTTGAGTGGTCAAGCGTTCTTCTAATATTCGGTGACACATATTTAGCATCAAATTGTGGAATTTTAGATGCATCCTTTGGTGCCTGTTGTAATGCATCTGCCCGTTTTGCGCTCACGAATAATGCTGGTTGGTCTGGAATCTCTTGTGCGTTATTATTTGTGGGGTTCGACTCACTATTTTTGTTTGAATTTTCACTATTTTCGGCATACGAACTTCTTGCTACTAGAGCAGGATCGTCAGTTCCACCATTTTGTCTGTTCTTATGAATAAGCATTTGTAACTCGTAATCATCTAGTCCATCGTTGTGGCTCATTTCTTCGTCATCCATAGGAAGGTCATCACTAAATACAAGTGAATCATCAAAATCACCTACTATGTCATAATTTTTAGGAGCTGGTGTATAATTACTAGAAGCTTTATGGCTATGCTTCTGAGGCCCACCAGGTTGAGATATGTTGTTTGCTCTTGCTTTTGTATTATTATCTCTATGCTGCGACGTGGAATTGGGTATGTTGAAGTTCTTATTAGAAATTGGAGTCTGCAAGGTATTTGTTGAGTTACTCGATATTTTTTGGTTGTTTTGGGCATTATTTCTATTATTTTCATTGCTGTTTGTTGTTTCATTATCATTATTTCCCTTAGGAATGTTGTTGTTCGAAATATCGGTATTACCCTCTCCATTTTCATGGATACTTACTCCAATTGTTTGTCTTTTCTTCATCTCACGTTGGGCAATTAAAGGGTCTCTGTGGAAGTTGTCAGCTTCTAATTCTGGAGCTGGCAACCGAACTTTTTGAATCTTAGAAATAATGGTTCTATCATACAAGCAATTACCCAAAACATTACCAAAACACCTCAAACATCTCTTCAAACCATCTGTGAATGCCTCCTTCTTACATTTCTCAAACGCCATTGCCTTGTTCTTTGCATTGTCGATATATCCGTATCCAAAATCTTCATGATACGTGCCGTCCTTAATCGTAATTCTAACCACGACTGAAAGTCCCATAGAAATACGCCCTGTGTTTCCATGTGTGTCGAAATAATCTACCTGAGAGCTTATTAACTCTGAACACCATCCGTTAAACCCAAATATTTCATTCGCCAAATTAAGCGCTCTCCAACCTTCAATATAAGAAACCTTTTGCCCTCCACCTCCCGGGCGAAAACTGACATACTCTGGTCCTAATACTTTATCTAGCAAATACTGGATTCTCTGATGCTCTTCTTCTGTATAGGGAACTGGTTGAAAGTTTCTGTTTGGAGTACCTTGTGCATTCTTATATTTCGTGTCTTTAAAATGTGAATAATTATACATAGAACTCGCGTTATTTGAAGGAGGCCCATTACTGCCACTACTGTTGTTGTTCATTGTTAGGCTATACGGTTCGCTTTCCACAATCAATGGTTACTTGTCAATCAATCTTCTTTCCTATATTTATTATAAATATAAAGATCAAAACGCCCTCTGGTGTTGTTATTATATTGGTACTCGACACGACTTATGATTTTTACGTGTGCTCCATATTAGTAAAGGAACTATCGATACTCATAGAGACTATATTCATTATTAGAAGAATCTTCTGAGATAAGATAGTTAGTGGACGCTGTTTATAGGTTGGATTATATTATTTTAATGAAATATATATATTCAATCTCGTTTTTTATGGAAGTATGGTAAAAGGAAGGTGAGATATGACTTGTATGACAAGTTTAAAGGAAGAGAAGAGACCTTTAAATCCACTGAATAAAATTGAACGACTGAGCGATAGAGAAAAGGAACATGAGATAAATAACGAAAATGCTTCAGGGTCTGCAAATACTGCTTGTGACCTTGTTAGCCCGGAGAGGAACGATTATGAAAAGCACTTGCAAGAAGTGCCAAAAGACCAACCTACAATGATAGTGAGTTTGCCAGTTCCACGAAAAGGAGTCGCTAATAGTAAGGATGGTAACTCAGATGACGTTCAGAGAAAATCACCAGCTCAAAAGGAATTGAATTCTGTCCAAAGGAAGAAGCAAATAGCGGAATATAATTCACTAAAACTCAAAGAAGAAAGACAACAACGATACAAGACACGATATGGCGATGGGCCAGCGTTTCTATATGGAAACTGTGACCCTTCCAGAGTGTCTACGAGCGACGAAGACGGCACGCCGCCGTCGAAGAGAAAAAAGAGGGTCAGCTTCGAATTTTAAGCATTGCCTACCCATAACACCCACATTATAGCGTAATAATCCTCATCTGAGCGCTTAATAAACGACGACAACAGTCAATAGTCATGAGTTTTGTATTTATTTCCTATGTATTATATTTCACTTTAATTATACTAAATTACAGATATTTGTAGGATTTCAAACCACCATACTCCAGTTTAACGTCTAAATTACAGCATATTATATTATTTTGGTTCTATTCATGTTGATGCAACGGTACATTTCTTAATAGTGTTCTTCTCCTCTATTTTCTAAGCTACACATCTAAGCTGGAAATTAATGTAATGTTATCACCCTTGAGTAGTATCCTCCCTAATTCTTCTTTGGATCCATCATCTGTATTCACCTCTATAGCATCATCAATTACAACGTTCATAAACTCATCAAACCCTCTTATCTTTCCTTGTATTCTCAGATGAGTTTGTTCGTATAGCCAAATAGTAACTGGTGATTGTTGCTGTAAATATTTAAAAATAAGATTGATTGGGGGAATCATCGTCTTCTTATTAGTTTTGGCAGTCGATAACATCTTGATTTTACGTGATTATGCGCTGTTTCTTTCTGGTATTCGATTAGTTTATGATAAAGAGTGCTTTTTGAATTTTATATCGACTCTTCTCGTGCGCGTGATTATGAATGAGGTTTTATTTACATAATATGATTTTGCAGAAACATATCTATAGAATTTACATTCCTTATTCATGGAAGGTCCTCCTGGTGATTTAAAGCACTTGTTTATAGAGTGGCTTCAGGAAGCCGCTATAAATGCTACAAAAAAGGGCACAAAAGCTGCCTTATTGTATAATAAATCACTAAGTAGTGTTAGAAATTACCCGCTGCCAATAAATGATCCCAAAACATTGAAGCTGGTGCAGTTCGTGGGAGACAAGACATGTGTCTACTTAACAAAAAAACTCGAAGAATATTGCAAATCAAATAACTTTGAACTCCCAGTGGCATTCGGAGGTGTAAATAATGGAGGTGCAGGTGAAAAACGAAAATACGAAGTAGTAGATACATCAGACTTGGTTGGGGCCAAACCTAAAAAACAAAGAAAACAAAAGCAGTACATACCTAGGAAAAGATCTGGCGGATACGCCATACTATTGGCGCTATATTTCGGGGATAAAAGGAAAAGTGGTTTAACCAAGGAAGAGATAATTCAGCGTGCAACTCCATACTCAGATAAATCATTTAAATCGAATCCTTCGGCGAACGAATTTTATTCAGCATGGAGTTCTATAAAAAGCTTACAAGCGCATGATTTGGTTGACTCCTCTGGTAGAAGCTCTAAATCGTATTTTCTCACGGAGGAAGGGTATGAACTTGCAAAACAACTAAAGGTTACGGAAGGGTTCGAGTCGTCGCCAATTGCAAACAATATTGCTGATTTATCTTTTGATAATCAAGTAAGAGTAACTCCAGATAGTTCGTATTCCAAATTAAGTCAACAATTGGATAGTTCGCCATTAAAGAATAACAAAGATAAATCTGCCTTCAATCACAAACGGTTTAGCTCCACACGGGAACGCATGGTAGACTTTTCTCTGTCCCCACGTTTAATTTCCTCTCCATTAAAACCCAAAGATTTGCCTCTTAGGGAAAGCCCAGCATCATATAACACTTCACAACCACTACAAGCGAGGGAGTGGGCAGAGGACCCAAATCAACCATTGCAAGAAAGAAAGGTGACTTCAAAAGATGACGATCAAAACAATATTAAAAAGCATGTAAGATTAGTACATGATGCCTCAAATAGGGTCTATGATGGCACAAAATACGATATATGGGTCCCGGGCGAGTATGATATTATTTTAATTATAGATAATAGAGAGATAAGATCACAGAGAGATCGTGATTTCTTTCAGACACGTTTGACTAGTCTTAAGATTGAATGCGATGTAAGGCCATTATCAGTAGGAGATGTAGTATGGATAGCAAAACACAAAAAGACTAGGAAAGAGGTGATTCTAAATTACATATGTGAAAGAAAAAGGTTAGATGACCTTGTGTCATCCATTAAAGATGGAAGATTTCAAGAACAGAAAAATAGATTGAAGAAATCTGGAATGAAACAGCTCTATTATTTGGTAGAGGACGTTGCGACAAGTGAAATGAATAAATTTGGTGATATGACGGACGCAATACAGACTGCTATGTCTATGACAATGACGATTTCCAATTTTTATTTGAAAAGATTCAAATCTATCGAAGATACAATTGCATTCCTCGCGTCTCTAACCCAAGTAATTAAAGATCAATTTGCAAAGAATAAGACGAACCTTTTGGTTCTCAAGGCCAGATCAATAAAGAACCAAGCGGAATACAGTCAGTTGATTGTAAAATTCAAAGACAATTTCGAAAACAGACGTACACTGTATGAATGTGTACATTTATTTTCCACCTTCCAAGATTCTATGGGAAAGACTGGTATGATGACCGTAAAAGAAATCTTCATATTGATGTTAATGGGAATCAGAGGCGTTTCGTTAGAAAGAGCCATAGCAATTCAAAATCATTTTAAAACTCCCAAGAAGCTCATAGAATTTTATTTCATCGAGAACAATCATCTTAGTGAGCTAGAGAAGAAACAGCTAATGATGAACGTTTTCAAAAACGAAATAGGTAACAAAAAGATTGGAAAAGTATTACTGGAAAAGATTTACGATGTTTGGGGATGTAGCTAAGATTTTGTTGAGGTAAATAACGCAATTGGTAACTAGGAATCTATATAGAAGTGGTTATTTATCTATTATTATCATGTTTGGTCGTGTCTGTGATAATTTGGTGAACTGAAAAAAACTTGGATTTTTTTTTCAATACTTGTAGTAACCGTCGTAAAAGATACTTTGATAAGTAGATTAGTATATTACATTTAGACAATATGGGAAAGCGTACCCTCAAATTTGGTGGAAAATCAGGTATCTTACCAAAGGTTCGTCCTGTTTTCAAAAGATATCCAATCAGGCCAAAAACGGATGAAGAATTAGCTGAAGAATCCAAAGTAGAACAAGGATTTGCTGAAGGAGTCCCATTACCTGCTAAAAAAGGATTTACATTCCACCGTCAAACAATAGAAAAGCCAGTTGTTACTGTTGAAGAAAGAATCAAGAAAAACATAGACGAAAGAAAACCCCAAAATATTGATGAATCAAAATTAAGTCAAGATGAAATATGGAAGTTGAAAAGAGACGAAATTCGTCGTGAGCACTTGAGAGAAGCATATTTAAAAGAATCTAAAAGATTACAAAGAATTGATGAGTTGAAAAAAATACAAGCTGAAAAAGAACTTGCTACTAAAGCATCACAATCCATTTATGAAGAAACTGAGGCAACAAAGTTAACATTGCCTACCATTGATTCATATTTGAGTGGTCCTATTATGAGGCAAAGAACTGAAGAAGAGCAGGAGATAGTGACTGAGCAAAGAATCTTGAACAGAAAAACCAAGGAATTATTCGTGAAAGAACGTAAGACGAACCAGTTGTTAGAATTATACCATGCGGCCGCTAACTTCATCACCACTGAAGAAGAATTGGAACAAGCCATCAAAGATGCCTTTGAAGTAAACGTCAGTAAGTTTGAAAGCAACCAAATGATCATCGAAAACAAGCTTTCTGGTTACTCGCATGCTTTTTCCAATATCAACACCAATGAGGGATTAGTTTTAGATGAAGTATTGGGTCAAGTCAATGGTCAACCTGGTTTAGAAACTGTCAAGGATACTTTAGATGGTGAAATCGAGAGATTGAAACGTGAAGCTCAACTTGCGATCAATCAAAGACCTCATTAACATGGTTTTTCCACCCATTTTGCTATAACTAAGATAATATCATACTTAAATAGTGAATATGTACATAGCCTTTCATAATATAAACTATCATTTATCAATTTATGTCTATCTCTTCTATTTATGCCATTTGAAATTTATTGTCGTGTTCTCACCATGATTCGAAGACTAAAATGTTCTGAAAAGTCCTTGAAATCTAAGAAACATGCCTAGCTAACAAACTTTATTAATAAGATACAATGTCATTTAGGCCAAGGTCAAACTCTCTGACTACCAAGAAGGCTGCATCGTATCAATCGTACTTTGCTAAGGTCCTAGCAAAGAGATTGAAATATTTAAATAATATTAATGCGTTATTGGCCATTATTATTTCAATCAGTCTAAGCTTACCATATGGCAGATTTTGGTGGAACTTTTTATTAGCTTTCATATTACGTGGTCCTTTGATATTTATTGCATTGTTCACTATCAAACTTGCTAGAGACAACAATTCAACTGTGGAATTTTCGACATTCAAAACATTAGGTTTGCAAGTTGCTAAAACCTTGTTATCAAGAAAATTTGTATTGAATTCCATTTTCTACGGTATATCAACATATATATTTACCTCCATTTTCATATTTCAATTACCATTCACGTTTGATTACTATCTTCTTTCCAAAGAGTATCAACAAAGACCTTTGGTTAATGATGAATGGGTATATTATTGGTTCTACTCGTTTTACCTTGCGATTGCTTACAGTACTCAACATTTGATCTTTCAGCGTAATAGATTACTGTTTCAATACGGTGTGACTAAGGTCAAACCAGAAGATGCATTGTTGAAGAAAGTTCCGAAGTTGATAGGAAACACTATTGTGCTCAATTCTGTGATTTGTTTTAGTGGACCCATTTTATACTATTTAATCAGATCCTTCATCTACAAATTAAACTGGTTTGTGATCATTATAATAGGATTGGACTCAAATCTTCCTAGCTTTCGTGTTTCGTTGAAGACAATGATTCACCTCTCGTATGTTTCGGCACATATTATATTTGCATGGGAAGTCGTGAATCATATTTATAATGTATATGCTACTATTGGCTGCTTAGATGGAAGTAAACCTATTAGTACATATAGTGCTGATCCTATTAATACATTACTTTCAGGTGTTCGCAATGTTGAACCTGAAAATCAATTGAGTCGCCTAACAGCTTACCAAGAATTAGCTTATATTTCGACAACTAGTGATCCTGAAGGAGTCAAGCTTCGAAATGCTATATATAATGCACATTCCAGAGGAGGTTTTATTTGGCCTGCCATTTTGGACGAATGTTCCTTAATTATTAAAGAGGCAACCCTGAGGATTAATTATCGTTCTGGGGCTGATTTAAAGGCTTTGAAACAAAATCAAATATATGTCAAAGATGATTTCCGTACTTCACTAAAATCTAGTGACGAAATATTTGGAAACTCCTTTACTTTGAGTCCAACCCCAAATTCTCAATCGTCTCCTATACCAAGTATGAAGAAATATGATGAAAAGGTGGACAGCAAACAAAATGCAAGCGTTAAAAATATAAAATATTCACCCATATATAATTTTTTCGACCTACAAATTTGGACCCCTGTCAAGACGATTTTTTCTTCAAATATTAAGATCACAACTAATGAAAATTCGAAGACAAGCCTCCTCAATTACTTTGCAAATATAACAAACGAGGTTAAAAAGCTCTATTTTGAGTATCACAACCACTTTCTCGCGACACACATGGGGGTATTTTTTAGAATAACTATTAAAAGAGATACAGAATCTAGAGTGGTCAATCCCGTAAATTTTGGCAATGCAGTGATTGCAATTACAAATTTGGTCATACATGCAATAGAAGAAGATAAGAACTCTACTGTCACAAATAATCATATTTCGGAAATCTTAACTCTCCTCGAAAGACCAATTAGAGCTTGTAGTAACTATACTGACTTGCTTCCTACCAGTGTCTATTTGACTCAAGAACAAAAGAGAGATAAAAACTTAACTAAGAACCATTTAATAGCTTTGTTACATGATTTGACTATGAATGAATTTTTCCAGGTTTGTATTAAGTATAATTATAAATTAAATGATTTGGTCTTATCATCAAGAGCCTTTAAGTTAGCTAAATGGGTTATTGATGTGGCTATTGCTCAAGAACAACAGAAGCATAAAGGTAAACAAGGGGCAGCTTTAAGTATGCAAATTTAGATCTGATTTCATGTATGTATATTTACACATTATATATTAACTTCATTTAATAAATAATCATTCGAATGCATTTTAACAAAAGAAACCAAATAAAAACTACTTCAATTTTGCCCATGATTATCGTCCTTATGATTTTTTTTATTTTGATGAGGTAAAGTGTCTAATAAAACAGGCTTCAAAACCTGTTCATCAAACTTTGTAAACCACTTCACATGCTCTTCTGCACTTAGCAAAGCCCCCAATACACCACTATTAGCAGGATCGTTTGTACTAATGTTTGAATTAGAAGTCATATGGTTACCCAGTAACAAGTCATCTACATCGCTTGCATTTAGCTCTTCTTCATCATTCATCAAGTCGGCAGATGAACTATTGTGAGAAGGTGTTCCTATTGGATGCGAACTGTTTGAACCCACGGTAGGCTTGAATGATGATAGACTTACAGATGAGTCGTATCTAGCATCATCCTTATAAATATTCTTTCCTGGTGTGTTTATGTTTCTTGAGCCTGCATCAATGCTTGTGGTGGAATTACCAAATCTTCTATTTCCCAACATACTTGGAGTTGAATTTAAGGCTGGGCTGGTTAAAGGTAATCTGGGTGCCTCTATGTCGAATTCATCGTCTGAATCATCATGTTCGTCCACGCAGCCAACTCTAATTCCTAAAAGCTCCAACATCGACGCAGTTGTACCACCAAATAATATAACTGTCAACACGACAACAACTAATACAGTGGCCATCAAAGTCCATTTTGCTTCTCCTTGAATTCCCATAGCCAAAGCGACACCAACCGCACCTCTCAACCCAGCCCAGAAAATCATCATTTGATAAGAATGACTGATTTCATCAGGTAAGGATTGCGATGAAATACCACCGCTCAATGCTGATCTACTGGTGAATTCCTTAAATCTTGCCTTGTACAAGAAATTTAAAAGTCTTGACAATGGGAAGACAGCCAGCCATCTCGCAATACAAATCAGAATGAATGAAATTATAATAAGCAATGGCTTGAATACCAATTCCACTTCGGTAAAAAGGGACAATCCAAGGTATATGAAAATAAAATTTTCGGATAACTGAGCCAATAATTGGAAAATATATTTTGTAGCAATCTGTGTTCTCCTCGACATATTAAAATATGCATAATGTTTTAAAGTAATACCGCAGAATAATAAGGAAACAATTCCAGACATATGAGCACCATTGGAAAAAAAGTACGATTCATAAGCAAATAATAAAACTAGGCATGTTTCGATTTGAGGATATCTTCTGATGTGTGAATGTTTCAAGATTAACGCAACCAAAATACCCACTAAAATTCCAATAATGGTAGATATGGTAAAAGACATTAAAAATAAACCTATACCTTCGAAAAAACTCGAAAAATGAAGTGGCTTTCCGTGGAACTTCTGACACGTCTCGAACATAACGATGGAAATGGCATCATTTAACAAGGACTCGCCAAAAATAATAGTGTATAGTTTTGGATCAACCTTATAAGCATTAAATATGGACAAGATAGTGACAGGATCAGTTGCGGACAAAGTGGCTCCTACAGCCAATGCATCCACAAACTCCAAATGAATCCCATCCAATCCCAAGGCAGTCCATATATAAAGGATTGTTCCTAGCACCAAAGCAGAAATAAATGTCCCGGGAATAGCAAATGTCAAAATCGATCCAAAATTACGGAAGAAATTCACTTGATGCAACTCGTACCCCGAGTTCAAGATAATGGGCGGTAACAAGATGTTGAAAAAATACCCCGAATTAAACTTGACCGCATCTTGGATGTAATGCCCCGGCGAAACCCTAATTATCAACCCTACAATCATCCCGTAGAAAATAGACAACACCGTCTCATGAATGGCCTTGATTCGTCTCTGTTGGAGAAAGTACGATGACCACAACGCTGCACATAGCAAAAAGAGTAAGATAAATAACGCCCACGACGAAAAAATCTCCTCTGTCACCGGGTTCGAGTCCTCAAGCGAATCGTCCGGTTGTGTCACATCTGGAACGTCATCGTCCAAATCCTCATTCCCCTTCAACGCTCTCTTCAATAGCACCTTCGCTGCCGTTAGCACAATACTAGACATATTATATGTTCTATGATTTTGCTTTCTATTCTAGTATGTCTAACCTGTGTATATAGCACAACTGGAGCAATATCTTCAAATGCTTCCACTATATTCAATCAGCTCCAATTTCAAACTAAAAAACGTAAATATCTCACTAGCAGTAAATAACGTGTCAAATCCTATTAAACTTTTCAATCAAACGTCCCAGAGTATTCACGTTTGTCTAAACTTTACAATTCCTTCGGATACACTTATTTTCAGATGTATCTTCTAGAAAAATCAACAATTAACTAATCTTGTTACGGTACCTATTTGTTGTATTCTGGCGGTAATTACAGATAAACGAAATACGGATTTTGTTTATGTAATCACTGGGAATATTCTCATCGCGTCAGAAAAAGTGTCCCATTTAAAAATGTTCTAAAAATACGTCATCTAGCCACCGTTGAAAGGTATCACGTGTCTGTACTATTATGATCTAAAAAAAATTTAACAAGCCACATGGTAATACTGGCTATCCATATTTGTAGTAGAAGCTGGTCTATAAACAAGTATCTAAGTAGCGGACTAGGTAAGCCTAGATAACTGCATTAAGAAAAGTAGAAGACACCAACTTAGGGACTTAAAAGAGTAAAATATTCGGTCGTTTAAAAAAAAGAGATTCATTAGCAGTTGATATCTATTCATTCGCTTATTATTATGACATACGTTAGAACACTTGACGGACAAGAAACAAAGAGAAATATCTATGGTACTAGCACATCGCAAATCAATCCCAACTATTCGAGCTCGGACTTGTCAAATGTAAACTATGGGACCAAGGGACCTAATTACAAGTTCCAGAAGCCAGGGCTGTTGGGGCTTTCTAATAGTTTCGCTCCATTCCAGTTGCCTCCTACGCCTCCGTTTTCGAACTCGAGTACACCTGTGAAGGAGGCTGACTCGTTTGTATTTATTAGTCAAGATACGAAGCAGAAATGGTATTTCAAGTGGCTTCCACCCATGGATCCTAAGATTGTAGGCCTATGCTTGTGCTGGTATTTTTGCTCGATTATATCTAACAATTCTACAAAGTCAATATTGAGAGAGTTTCGCTATCCCATCACGCTTGCACAGTGTCAGTTTTTGTTGAATTCGGCATTCTGCATTATTTTGTTCGCATGTCTCTTGTATTTGAAGAATAAAGGGGGTCAGGACAAAATCAACAAGTACTTTCCGGTGGGGTCAATTCCAAATATGCATGAGGTGAGCAGCATCAAAACACTTATCACCCCAACACCATTGATCATCTCGACCACGTTATCCATGGGAATATTCCAGTTCGTGGGACATATCACATCACACAAGGCCACATCAATTATACCTGTCTCAATGGTACATACTATCAAGGCGTTGTCACCGTTAACCACTGTGTTGATTAACCGTTTTGTATTTCGGACAAAATATAAAATTGTCACGTATATTTCAATGGTTCCATTGATATTTGGGATCATGCTAAGCTGCTATAATCCAAAACATTTAAAAAACGAACAGTTATATTACAAAACTGGGATTACTTATGCATTTATTTCAATGTTAATATTCGTTATTCAGAATATTTCAGCCAAAAAAAGTTTGACATTTACGGAAAAATCGACTGATTTACCGATGTCAAAAGTCAAGGATAACAAAAAGGTGGATAAATTAACTATTTTATTATTCTGCTCTATCGTCGGATTTGCATTTACGTTACCATTCTACTTGTACCTGGAATGTGTAAACCCTCGTGTTTCAGTCACTGAATTGACTTCATATACCCTCTCATTGATAATACTTAATGGTTTGTCCCATTTCTTACAATCATTGCTTGCATTTCAAATACTAGGATCGATATCTCCTATCAATTATTCCATTGCTAACATTATGAAGAAATTGCTATTATTTTGGTCTCATTTCTTTGGGAAAAACAGACTATTTCGTCTAACCAAAGCTATGGATTGGTATTTACCATTATAGGTTTGTACTGCTACGATAGATGGGGAACTAAATAATTGAATATGTAATGGCTTTTAATATATGATATCTACCTAAAATACTTAATGTCCACTGCCATCGGTGTTCAAAAGCTTCTTGAAAATATCACCGAAAGCGACCATGAAGACAGTTTGCCAGACACCTAAACCAATTCTTGGGGTGACTCCTCTATATAATCCCTTGATACCATTATTTTTGTAAATGTACGAGAATGCACTACCAACACCTAAGTTCTTAGGTCTGTTAGGGTCGTTAGTCTTAGATTGCATTTCAACTCTGATGACTTCGATTGGTTGATTCCAAGCAGATAAACCACCACCGACAACAGATGATGCTATCTTTTCAACAGCATTTAACTTTTCGTTTTCCCCTTTACCAGTAAGACTTCTGATTCCCTCTTCAGCCAATCTGGAGAAACCAAATCTAGAACCCCAGTTAGTCATTTGTCTAATAGCAACCGCATTTACACCCTTGTTAATACCTCTTATACCTTCTTTTCTGTAAATATCTTGGAAAACTTGGAATGAAGTTTGTTTAGGAACACCAGCCACAGCCACTTGCTTAGCTCTAGTGATTTCAACGGTCTTCATACATGTACAGAACCCCATAGTAAGATATGCCTGGGCTAAACCACCAGAAACACCACCACCCATACCAGCGAGGAAGTGGTTGGCACCCAATCTTTGGAATTGGTATTCAGCTTCAGCTGAAACGAACAATAAAACAGCACCTTTAGTAGATGCTTCGATCCATGCCCAAGGAATTAAACCTTGGTAGAATCCCAAAATACCACCTCTAGACCAAATCATCTTACCAGCTTGAACAATACTTAACGATCTGTTGGCGGCCATAGTAGTTTTGATAACTTCCAATGGTTGACCTAATGTACTAACTTCGGCCATATTTAACCCGGCACCGAGTAAAATATTGGAGAAGTTAACCGGCTTTTTTTCGATTTGCTTACCCTTCTGTGTTTCAATTGCTGCCATTATGAATAATAGTTATTTAGGTAACTTTGTTTAATGCTAGGAAATATATTGAAATAAAGAATTAGCTGAAAAAATTTTGATAGCGTTCATTATCTTGCCCCACTCTTTCCCGTGAGATTGTTTGTGCGATCGTCGGATCCGAGTACGCGCGACTGTCAGCCTTACTATTTCTCCAGACCCGGTGTAATCAGACGGTTCTGATAGGATATGGGAGTCAAATAGAACCTCTTACAAGATATGAACCTGAATTATACTATCTCAGTCCTAAGTCTTGGTCTCAATGTGTAGTTGTAAGCCATATAAAGTCATTGACTCATAAATGGTACGCAAATACTTTTCGCGTCTAAAAATGTAATTAACCGCTACTAAGAAGTATCATGTCTACACGGATTTACCTCCTCCATTGATATCTAACAATTCAGATCTACAATGAATTTGACTACTGTAAATTATCTAATAACTCATTCAATCTAATTAAATTTATGCTTTTAAGTGATTTATTGATTTTGCGTTCCGTTTCGATCTGACAGGTTCTAAGTTTTTACAATTTTTAACAAAATTCCAGAAATTCCACAAATTCTACAATCCTTACATTTTTCTCATTTTTCACAACTTTCCATCGTTCCGTACTCAATTATCGATTCCTAATTTGGCCGAATCTATTACATCCGTATGTAAAACTCACCCCATCCTCCATTATCTTGTCCACAACTCTAGCTAAAACCTACTTACACACATATACATTTCGGCCTCAATGAATTGATCAAACTTCCATATATTATTCAATTTCTATTTTCTTCGAATATACCTGTCCCTACCCAACTGCCCATTCATAACTCTCCTATTACCTTAGAGATTTGCATATCGTACGCACATCGGATAATACGATATGGATCACATGTTTTTCTCGGCATCAGTAGATATCACGCACGTCCCTTAATTGACCTTGAAAGTATTCGATCAATCCGTCGTACAATAGACTTGAACACAAAAGAAATTGTTGAATAAAGGTTAAAAAATGTTCCGATACATTACCGGTCGCTTATATTGAAAATTTGCACAATATACAGACATTTAAGGCGCGCAATACGGTCTCATTCCGACCTCATTCTAAAATTTTTTTTGGGAAAAAGAAACGCAGCATTATCAAAAATCTTTTCTCGCTCATATATAATACTTAATTTCCCCTAAGGTTCTCAATTGATTAAATCAGCACTTGAATTTCTAAGCGTTAAACTCACAATTATGGTCAGTCAATTTGCATCTTCGACCCAAAGCTCAAGCATTGGTGGATCCTCAAGTATACAAAAAAGAGGCAATGTCGCTACGTTGCAAACCACTGAAAATTTAACTGCCGTTGATGCCCATGGAAATGTATTCAAGGTCCCGGATTATAGTATCAAGGATATATTGAAGGCTATCCCAGCTCATTGTTACGAAAGAAGACTTGCTGAGTCAATGTACTACGTGTTCAGAGATATTTTTTGGTTAGTGACTATTGGATACGTTGCAAATAATTATATCCAATTATTGCCTAATGCGTTCACCCGTTTTGTTGCGTGGTCAGCATACGTTTATGTTCAGAGTTTGTTTCTCACTGGGATTTGGGTTTTAGCCCACGAATGTGGTCATCAAGCATTCTCTGATTACGGATGGGTCAATGACACCGTTGGTTGGGTTTTACACAGTTACTTGATGGTGCCATATTTTTCTTGGAAATTCTCGCACTCAAAGCATCACAAGGCTACTGGCCACTTAACTAGAGACATGGTGTTTGTTCCATACACCAAGGAAGAATATGTTAAGAGCAAGAACGCAAACCATATTGATGACATCGTGGGTGATTCTCCAATCTACACTTTATACCAATTAGTTGTCCAACAATTAGGTGGATGGATCGCATACTTATTCACAAACGTCACAGGTCAACAATATGAGAACAAATCAAGCTGGGGTGTTAGTCATTTCAATCCAAACGGTGCTATTTTCGAAAAGAAAGAATACTGGTATGTTTTGTTATCTGACGCTGGTATTTTAGCACAATGTCTTATTTTACGTACCTGGTACAATAACTTCGGCGGTTTCAACTTGTTAGTTAACTGGTTCCTTCCATATATCTTAGTTAACCACTGGTTAGTTTTCATTACTTACTTACAACACACCGACAGTCAAATGCCTCACTACGAAGCCCATCAATGGAATTTCGCCAGAGGTGCTGCTGCTACTATTGATAGAGAATTTGGTTTTGTTGGTAAGTTTATGTTCCACGACATTATTGAAACTCATGTCTTGCATCACTATTGTTCCAGAATCCCTTTCTACAATGGTAGAGAAGCTAGTGAAGCTATTAAGAAAGTTATGGGTGAACATTATCAACATTCTGACGAAAACATGTGGGTGTCTTTATGGAAGTCTGCTAGAACCTGTCAATATGTTGATGGTGATAATGGTGTTTTGATGTTTAGAAATGCCAACGGCAAGGGTCAAAAGGCCTAAATTAGAACGTGATAGATAAGATATATTTTCATTTCTTAACCTTTATATACATATTTATTCTAATTTGATGACTTATATGAGCAGATTGTAAATAATTACCTAATGAATGGAATTCCTGTTTTCACCTTGGTTTTGTAATTGGCGTAATCTTGTCCGAAGAAGCTAATTAGAAACTTCTCTTCAAACTCTATTCTGTTATTAAAGAAATTCCATAATTTAAAGACTCCTAATGCTAACACAACTAGATTTCCTAACCATAATTGAGTTCCAACAAACCACCAGAAAAACCCAAAATAACTGGGATGTCTTGAATATTCATATATACCCCAAGTTACCAATTTATGCTTATTCATATGCTCCCGCTGAATGTAATGATTGAATGATTCTTTGGCAGTGTACATAGCCAAAGTTCTACTAAATTGGCCAAGAATAACAACAGATAAGCCAACCATTGGAAAATCAACTATTAAACTAGGGCAAAACCAGGCCTTTCCTAATATTTCGAGTATTGAGACCGCATGAACCATGTGTAGATCAGTATCATTAAGTATAAATGAATCATCATCAGTCTCGCTATTGTTGAAAAGACAGGTACTAAAAAATTCTAATAGATAAAATATCAGTATAAAGATTAAGTAGCCATTCACTCTTGTTACAGCTGGACTATTAGTGATTATATTGCATGCATTTAAACCCATCATCGTGACATTTACCAGAATTAATATTCCTAAACTTAATGATTTAATTGCCACTATAGATAGATCAACTTTTGCGGGATCATATCGGGCATATTTGCTATACTGATTGTTACTTTGAAAATCCACGTTGTGTAAATTTGTCATTGGTGTAATAGGCTTAATGGTGAATTAAATTCTGTCTCAATATTTTCAGTGGAGAATTTATCTGATTGAATATAGACGCAACAACTCCAAGCTGATGGCATTATACGATACTAATCTCAACCCCCTACATGAGATAGTATTGACATCACTAGCATTAGGTGCTATTATAGGAACATCGCTTACATTATGCATAGTTCAAACAAATACAAAATTCATACCATTATTTGTGTATTTGATGATACTCTGCATCTATTTCTTTAATGAATTCTGTTCGACCGCAAAATATCAGACCAAAATAGTGAAAGCTAAACTGTTTTTAATATGGGGAAATAATGGAAACAAAGAGTTCCTTTTAATGCAAACAGCAACAATTTGGGAGTTTCTATTCACACGTAGTTTGTTCTGCGTTAAGCTATTACATGCAATTTTTGGAATTACGTTTAAAAAAGAGATAAATACATTTGCCATTGTACTTGGTCTAATGATGATCATTGTTGGTCTATTCGTAAGAACCCTAGCAATGAAAACATGTGGTACTTCATTCTCTCATTATATTGAAACCACCAATAGACAGCAGAAACTCATCACCACTGGCATTTATGCTTGGTTTAGACACCCGAGCTATCTCGGATTCTGGCTCTTCGCTATCGGGAGTCAGATGTTCCTAGGCAATTACATTGGCTTAATAATAAACATTGGTATCCTCAGCTGGTTTTTTAAAAGAAGGATTGAATTCGAAGAATGGTTCTTGATTCACCGAATTTTCGGAGACCAATACCTACAATACCGCATGAATGTCGGTAATTGGATACCGTTTGTTATATTGAAAAAAGATTTATAGTATATAATTACAATCCCTACAAACTCTTGTTCATGAATCTTCTTCTAGTGAATGCAAGCCAAAATTTACTTGGCGTATTTGGATCATCACCGTAGATTCTCTTCAACAATCTATCAGCCAATTCTTGCCTGAATTGCTGCAAATATGACCTTAATAAGTCTGCTTCATTCTTATTTGCTGGTGGTTGATACATTGAGTTTAACGGGAACCCAATGTCACCTGGTAACGAAAAGCTATCCAACGATAAATTATTCAATATTCTTGTGGCTTCCTTAAAATTAACTGATTTATTCAATTTGGACAAACAATCACTCACGAATAATATACCATATATCAATAGTCTATCAGCTGGGCCTTTGATTTCAAAATTCTTGAAAAATGAGTTTGCTCTGAATAAGTCTAAAGTCTCTTCGATAATATCATAGTCTTGCTGTGGTGGATACGATGGACCTCTGAATTTAGTATGAATTGGCAAAAGAGCAATATTTCCGACTAGCCTACTGTCTTCTGTCTGTTCTGTTAAGAAGGTTGAGTGGTATGCTGGCATGATGATGAATTAATTGATTGTATTAATAGGTGTAGTATGGGCTGAATCCATTTTTGATATTGACGGGGGTAAATCGGATTACATAATCTAAAATAAAACATCTATACACCACTCAGTACCCAAGATCTAAATGAAGATAAGTAGTGTGCTATTTTTGTAATAAGCAATAGGTGCAACGCCAGGGACACATTTGCTTCATAACATAAAACATTATATAATACAACTGTTGGACAAGCATTTAGAGAATAAACTGGCAGCGGGGAATTTGTGGATTACGAGGTTTTTCTGGTATCCCCGTGCTTGCTGTAGGCTATTAGGACTCTTATTAAAACTACAAGTATGGATTGGTGGCAATTTCGGGCAGAATAATTACCATAATCCGAGAATGCAATGCTTTGCATTTTCTTCCTTCACTAATTGTGCAACCCCTTTTACTAGGGACCGCCCTACAGTCGAGCATTGCTGCGAAAATATAGTTTCTACTTGGTGCAGCCTTTTGTGGTACTCGAGGTTTAACCCAGACTCCCCTCCGCCTTCTCCCTGAGCCTTGCGGGACTGAAAACAAAGTTGTTGCATACGAGGTTCTATTTGATGTGTACTTCTGGTCTACTCGTCATATTACCTATCTTGTTCGTTTTATTGTCTTATTGCCGTTGCTCTCACTCGCTGAGAATATGCATCCTCGCACAAACAACCCGAATTCGATATACTTATTACAAACTGTGCATATTCTTGTGCTCATGATTATTCTCTAATACATCACTAAAAGTGCCAGCCTTGCGCTATTTCATTTTCTATTTGTAGGGAGACTAGATGAAGAATCAAGCGAGCAGATTGGCTCCTTATAGAGAAATTTACCCTCCCATTACTTCTTTATTGGCTATACTTTAGACGTGCTTGTCTTGCAAAAATTGGTCTAGCCGCCAAGATCCCAGATTAGAATGTCGTGTATTCTTTTTTCTGTCAAGTAGTACAATGTCGTACGATTCTCGGGATTAGTGTAGAAATCTTACGACATATTCTGTAATGGAAACGTAAGTCAAAACATCACACAAAAGCATTGGATAATTTGATCGACTTCCGTATTTATAGTAATTTGTTAAACAAAATTAGTAAACTAGGTCATAATTAACAATATATATTTGTTTTCGATCGAAATATACAAGGATTAGGTTCTAGGAAGATCGATATACGATATAGAAGTGTTTGATTCCCTTTTGAAGATAATTATTGAGCACTAGAGAACTCAAATTACATAGCGGGAATTAATTGATACAAGCAAGACTTTTCGAAGACTGACCATATAGATTGTTGATACAGATCTTAAGGTAGACGGAAAAGACAGATAAGCGAAGTTGAAGGTTAAATTTGTGTTTTTTTTTGATTGAGAGATTGAATTTTAGCTTATTCGAACATCCTTTTAGTTCCAGGCAAATACTAGTTATTAAGTGTACAATCATAGTCAGTGGAAGATTATTGAATAATAATAAACAGACCATTGTATGCATTTTTTGTTTTTATATTGATTGAGTGGTTAATATAATATTGTCAGTTTGATATTGAATCATCAGCACCAAAACAAACCCGATAGATGTCATCTTCAGATTACCCAATTTACTCGTACAAGAGGAATAATGCAGCTCCAAGCCAGCATCCGCAATATAACCTTCCGACCCATTTATTACCCCAGGCGCTTTTAGATGAGCAGAGACAGCGACAAGTGCAGGGGAGTAATTCTCCTCAAAGAGGTCAAGCAGGTCTTAATCAACCTATGCAAGCCAACAATTCTCCCCAGAGAGGACAAGCAGGTCTAAACCAACCGCTACAAGGAAATAACTCTCCACAGAGAAGGCAAGCTGGTTTGAATCAACAGGCACATGGAAACAACTCTCCTCAGAGAGAACAAGCCGGTATTAATCAGCAGATGCCAGGACCTATGCAAAATATTCCAAAACAGAATGTTCCTCATCCACAATATCCGTCTCAACAACACCAAGGACAGCCATATTATAGTCAGCAACACTTGACACAAAATAAAGTACAACAACAACCAACGTACGATTCTTCTGAATTTCGTCAACAACAACATCCTCAAAAGGTACAGCAAAGTGTACCTAACTATGAAGGAGTGGGAAACGGAAGACCATTCAATGGTCCAAGGAATGCTTCACTCCTGTCATTGACTTACGATACTAGTGGAACTGGAAATTACAATAAGAGGGTAAACAGTTATTCTTCACAAGAGTCAATACCTCAAAGTCAAGCGCCTTACCCTATTTCTGGTAACGTATCTAATGCGAATAATTATGGCCAGGACCCACCACAATTTCCTCAGCAACGTCGAACTGCGCGTAAGGCGCCTCCTGGATCTTTACCACCAATTCAAACAAAGCAAGTATTAGATAGTAGTGGTAGACGAATTGTTTCGTCTCCAAGCGTTCCTCAGTATAATTCTTATTCGTATGCAAATCATTCTCCTATATCTCAAACTTCTGGACAGATGAACAACGAAGCTAGAACAAAGTCGTTATCATCGACATCTGCTAAACCTTACCATCAACAGCAACAACAACTGAGAATGAAATCAATACCACAAGGCCAGCCATCGCAGCCAAGCCCACAACAAAATAATTATCAGAACCACAGACCTAGTTCAAGTGGAAGTGGCTCTAGTTCGAGCGGTCATTCATTCTCACTTACATCTAAGTCGAGATCTTTTACTTCTTTGTCAAAGTTATCGTCTTTGTCCACAAAAAAATTCAATTCTTCTACATCGCTACAAGGAGGTAAATTAGACAGAAACCCATCATCAGCTACTTTAAGCTCTCAAAAGACGGTTACAACCCCTATGCCAAGGAAACCTATTGTATACCCTGCAATGCTTTCTAGAGTTGCGAGAGTATTTAAGGAAACAATAATTCTAACTATCAATACTAAAGATGGCTTAGAATATCATGATACATTCACTGGTAAGATGGCTGTTGATATTATTTGTAATATTATCAGAACAAATGACCGTAATTTAGCATTATTAATTGGAAGGTCTTTGGATGCGCAGAAGTTTTTCCGTGATGTTACATATAATCACAGGTTGAGAGATTCTATTCACGAAGTGTACGCTTTTAACCATATCTACAGTGATGTTGAATTTTATCAAGATTTTAACAATACAAATAATAATAGTGCTAATAATTCCAAGCATGGATCTTTAACCGAGGGCCATCCTCAGTTTCAACAGGTTTTACTTCAACAATTACCAGCTCATACTACCAACAGTCAACCTCCTACTCCTTCAACACCGACTATGTCAAACGAAGGTAGTACATATAATTTGAACAACAACAATAAAGATGCATCAGGTAATACTACAAATGTGACAGGGGTCAATGGTGTTTTCACAATTTTAACTGACTGTTACTCTCCAACTTGTAATCGTAACAATCTATGCTACAGTATTGCTTGTCCTAGGAGATTAGAACAACAAGCTCGTCTCAATTTAAAACCACAAGGTGGATTAAAACGGGCTGTTTCAAGATTATCTTTACATGATAAGGAAGAGAATAAAACATTATGGTATGAAACTGTTCCGCAATCGATTTTGGATAAATTAGACAAGCGTGAAAAGATGAGACAGGAATTGATATATGAATTTATATATACCGAAAGAGATTATGTCAAGGATTTGGAATTCATGACTGATTTCTATATTATGCCTTTGCGTAATCCTGCCAATAACATTATTCCTGAAAGAGAAAGAGAAGTGTTTATTAGGACAGTATTTGGAGGAGTTAGTGATCTTTTGAGATTAGCTAAAAATATGAGCGAAGCTTTAACAAGAAGACAATTACAACAGAAGCCAGTGATTGATACATTCGCTGATATTTTTGTTGATTTCGTAGGAGGATTTGATCCATTTATCAAGTATTCGGGAAATAAGGTCTTTGCTAGTTTCGAACATGAAAGACAACAGCAGGTAAATATGAAGTATGCCCGGTTCTTAGATGCTATTGAAAAGAAGCCTGAATCAAGAAAACAAGATTTGTCTTCTTTCTTGATCAAAGGTATCCAAAGACCGGCAAGATATCAATTATTGATTTCTGGTATTATTAAAAATACGGACGAGGAATCTCCAGATTACAAACCATTGCTAAAGGCGAAAGAAGAAATTGAAAAAGTTTTGGTTCAGATTAATATTCAAACAGGAGAAAGTACTGATCGTCATAAAATTATGGTTTTACACAGGTTATTAGGCAAACAAATTTTGGAAACTAAGAATCACTTTAAGTTGAATTACAACCATAGAATAATATACCAAGTTACGTTGAATAGAAAGAGAGACAATGAAAAGATTGACTTGTATTTATTTGAACATGCATTATTATTGGTTAAACATAAAATCCAAAATAAAAGGGAGCAGCATAAGATTTTCGAGAAGCCAATTTATTTACCCTTATTGTTTGTAAACAGTGGTTATGACATTCCAACTGCAAGATCTATAATGGGAAACAGGCTTGATGGATCATTACTCTCTGACCCAAACTTAAAGAGTAAGGCAGAAACTTCCACTAGTTATATCAACACAAGCTCAAGTTCAAATAATAAATTACCGATTAATTTTTTGGGATTGGGCAGTAATCTGGTTCATGCTACTTTGTTTGCAGATGACTTAACCAATCAAAATCAAGTCTTGCAACAAATCTACCAACAACAAAAAAAATTAATAGATCAAAATGATATTTTTTCGTTATCCAAATATGAGACTAGAAGATTCCATGGTAATAACAAAATTAACTGTGCGGTACCATGCTATGGGGGTAAAAAACTATTGTATGGTACCGATTCAGGTGTATGGGTATCTACAGTTAGATCAATAAGCGCAACTTCAAATGAAAAGATTTGCTCTGATCCTACAATGGTTATTAGCAAGGTTTATGTCACTCAGATCGAAGTTTTGGTTGAATATTCAAAGTTACTAATTTTATCAGATAAGTCATTGTACGAGTTTGATTTATCATGCACTGATTCGTTGGATCATAATAAGAATACTAGGTCGGGCAAACTAATCTTAAATTACGTATCATTTTTCAAAACTGGAATCTGTGATGGTAGATTATTAGTATGTGCTGCTAAGCACGGTTCTACACACTCGATTAACATTTTTGAACCTACTAACCCATTCGATCATAAATCACTGAAAAACAAGAACAAGAAGTACGACATTAGGGAGATTTCGTTTAGCTCGGACCCAGTATCAATTTCGTTTTTGAAAACTAAATTATGTGTGGGATGTACCAAGGGATTTGAGATTCTCTCATTAGAAAAGGGTAAAAAGGAACCTATCTTGGATGAAGCTGATCCATCGTTAGATTTTGCTACACAGCGTGAAAGCGTTACCCCGTTGGCTATTCATAGGTTGGGGAAAAATTTCTTACTCTCATATTCCGAGTTCTCGTTTAAAATCAACAGAAATGGCTGGAGAACCCAACATGATTGGAGTGTTTTCTGGGAAGGCAACCCTCAAAATATCGCATTATTCTATCCTTATTTGTTGTCTTTTGAACCAGGGTTTATTGAAGTTAGGGATTTAGACTCTACTAATTTATTAAGGGCTCTTGTGGGTGAGAATATCCGATTTTTACATTCGAACGAACACGAAGCTTTATATGCATGTGAAGAAAATGGTTATGACATAATTGTATCAATTGATTTCTTGAATTTAAAACCAAAAATTACTCAGCTATAATTGACACATATCAAAGGTATGAAAAGTTAGTTTTATTGGATTATATATATATATCATTGACTAATGTATAATGATTAATGGAACCAAGGTTATTGTAGTATTATATAAAGGCGTGCGGGTACCGAACACGAACAGAGGGGCCCGTTTCTTTGTTCAGCAATGAAAAGTAAAATTCTTCACCATTAGGCAAGTTGTTTTGATCATAAGCTATTTCTTTTTTATTAAAAGTGTATTCAGCATGTCGTCTATTATCGAGTTAAGTATACCAAGTGTTGAACGTCCGTTCGGATTACACTTATGGCCAATTTTTAGCTATGTTTTCGAGCTGATCATCGGTTATCCAGCCGAGGACTTTGAATTCGTTTACCATAAAACATTCTTAGCCAATGGATTCCATGCCATTGGAATCATTATTGTCTACTATATTGTTATATTCGGTGGTAGAGCGTTATCTTCGAAGTTGAAGTTACCAGCATTGAAGTTGAACTTTTTGTTCCAGTTGCACAATATTGTGTTAACTTTATTATCATTATCATTATTATTGTTGACCATTGAGCAATTAATTCCAATCTTATACCACCATGGTATTTTCTATGCTATTTGTCATAAGAATGCGTTTGCTCCAAAGTTAGTTACCTTATACTACTTAAACTACTTGACCAAGTACTTAGAATTGATCGACACCGTTTTCTTGGTGTTGAAAAAGAAGAAGCTTTTGTTCTTGCACACTTACCACCACGGTGCTACTGCTCTTTTGTGTTACACCCAATTAACAGGTTCCACTTCAGTCGAATGGGTTCCTATCACCTTGAACTTGGCTGTTCACGTCGTCATGTACTGGTACTATTTCTTGAGTGCCAGAGGTATTAGAGTGTGGTGGAAAGAATGGGTTACCAGATTCCAAATTATCCAATTCCTTATTGATTTAGTCTTTGTCTACTTTGCTACTTATACTCACTATGCTTACAGATATTTCCCATCGTTGCCTCACATTGGTGACTGTTACGGTTCTGAATTGGCTGCTGCTTACGGATACTTAATCTTAACCAGTTACTTAGTCTTGTTCATTTCGTTTTACATCAAGGTGTACAGCACCCGTAAGACCGTTGCTGCTACCTCAACAGGCGAAGGCGCACCTACCAAGTCATCTGCTAAGTCGTCTACCGTCGAACCAAACGTCACCAAGGCCAGATCTCGTAAAGCTTGATCTACCCAATACTGATCATACATAATAACATAGACAACTGTTAGATGTGGCTCGCCTATGTCTGCATATCCTCTAAAATATAGTCCGGTACGTGCTTGACAGGTTTAATGTCCTTATTTATTCCATTTTATTTCGTTTATGTTACTTTACTTTAATATACTACTTGAATAGGAAGTCAAAGTTTTAGTGTAGACACCACGTGATGATAATGTCATTATACGACACTATACGACACAAGAACGATTGTGGGGCCCTGTTCTTCCCTCCCCCCTTTTATCTATTCTGTCGACAACTCTTCGGTTCGGATATTATCTGCGTTGGGAATCACCGCGCCGAAGCCATCGCCGCGTACGAGAATGTCGTATATTTTTAATACAGCTGTCATAACCGGCACACCGGCTAATAGATAATGTTTCCCCCGGGTTCGGCTGATATGGGCGCCGAATTACATCCGATTATTAATTGAGAGTCTTGCGTCGGTGTGCATCGCGCATGACTTTGGAACAGTACCTATATAGGAGTTTCTCCTATTCCTATTAAGACAAGGCTTTAGCCAAAGCAAGCCGGAGCTTCACTTATTTTACATTCCATTATCACCGCAAGTGAACTTACTCTTTGTAGTGGCCGTGTGGCATGTAAAATAGGACAAATTGCTGAATCGGTGGCGTAAGCTAGCGGGTTACTATTACTGTAAACTACACCCTTAACTAATCTCTATATGCCAAGAAGATAATTCAATGAAGGTAATGCTAATATATCAGATGGTTTTACATAGTAAAACAGATCATATGGTTTAAGTAAATATAGATTTGCGGGATTAAACGGTGATAGAAGGGCATACGCTGGATATTTGGTGTTGCGGCCGTACGCCATTCGCGGTTTTGCCGGTACAGTCCAGTAATCTGCATTCTTAGTGGTGAAGTGGGTACGGCTGACAGAAAATTACCGTGGGGTCCGAGCTGACATAATGCGGTACACCGTCGGAGATTATTATGAATAGGCCAGATATCATCAAATATGGTTTCCATGGGAAGGTCTGGGAGGATCTAAGAATGTTATAAAGTCCACTACAACTATAGGAACAACCGGATATTATCCGCTACATATATAATGAACAGCAAGAGAAATTTGGATCTATTAATGATGTCATTGGAGTTGAAAATCTCAATACAAATGTCGGTGAGGAATTTTGGTCGAGGTGTCCTATTAAGAGAGGCGCATAAAAGGCTGTATCAGCCGTATTCCATCGATGCCGAAATGATTGCAAATATTTAAATGATATACTATCCTGGGGTTCGGTGGTTGACATAATTGATAAAACACACCCATAACGCTATATAAACCATGGGGTCATCATATATTGTACCACCAGTCAGCAATAACGAATGCAAGTTACCGCTGATTCATTCATTGGATTTGCACGGTTATCACAGCACACTTCCACCATTGTACCGGCCAGCAGATGTTAATGGCCTCACAAATCCAAATCCAAACCAATTATCAAAGCCATTAACTTATTACACACCAGGCCAGAAACAGATTCCACCGGCTGGATATTTATCACCAGGGTTTGTTCCTCAGTCATTTGGATACCGCACCAACTACACTGCCACAAATGTGGCCAATAATCCAACATATAATAGTAGCAATACGTCCAACCATTTTACGCATATAACTCCAGCATCATCGCCCTCTCGTTCTGATTCATCTTCGACCGATGGCTTATCAACACTATACAATGTTGCTACTGCTTCTGACGAAGCAAGTGCCCGCGAGAGGAAGTACAGCGATTCGCTGGAATCACACAGTGACTCCAAAAGTACTACACCTGAAGTTGTGATTCTGCACCCTGATTCTATACCATCCACCAAAAGCTGCAAACCTAGAAAGAAGAGACAATGTCCTGAATGTAACTTGTTCTTCTCGAACTTGGCTACACACAAATCCACGCATCTTAAACCAACATCGAGGCCTCACATTTGTAAATACTGTAATCGAGGTTTTGCTAGACCTAATGACTTATTCCGTCATACAAGATGTCACTGGAAAGATGCGGGCTTCAACAAAGGACAGTTCAAATGCCCTTACAAAAACCACTCTACAGGTGATAACTGTTGTCATACATCGGGCATATTCAGTCGTTGTGATACTTTCAAGAACCATCTTAAAGCTATTCACTTTCAGTATCCTAGTGGCACCAAAAAAGACCAAAGAAATAAGGTTAGTGGTAACTGTAGAATGTGTCACAAATTTTTTACCACGGTTGACGATTGGTTGGTAAATCATGTAGAAAAGCATGAGTGCCCATTTGGGAATTAGATTTATTTAGTATTTGCATTCTTCTTGGGTTTGGGTAGGTATATATAAAATAAACGGATTATATGACAATTTAGTTGATTGTAGGGCACACGCATTTGGTATGGAACCAACAAAAGAGATATTTGGCTACAAATTTTAAGAATTTATTTCAACATTCATACCAGTGATTTTTGTTCAATATGATTCATACTGTCGCTAAATATTTACTTGCGGCATTCCTTGTTTCAACGTACAAGACTTTGCCCTTCGCATACTTGTTCAGATTTTACTATCGACTTGCTGTAAACTTGGCAATACCCAGAAAGAGATATCTTCTGAATGGGAAGCAGAATACTTTCGGAATCACTGGAAAGACTAATAAGTTGGATTTGTTTGAGTACACCACTATGAAAACTTACGTTTCTCCATTGGAACTTGATATGAACTTGCACAAATCCAATTCCACGTATTCTGTTGATTTGGACATTGCCAGAACGAACGTTGTTACCAAAGTTTTCCAAAGATTCTGGTATAAATACTACGACAATGAAACTAAGGAATTTAAAGGTTTATCATTGTCAAACATGCCATATGTTCCGGTGGCTTCAATTCAATGCATCTTTAAGAAAGAATTGAGATTATATCAAAGATATAATGTAAAGAGTCAGATTTTTGCATGGGATGAAAAGTGGATATTCGTGTTGTCTAAATTCGTATTGCCCGGATCAGAAAAATTGTGCTCTATTGCTATAACCAAGTATGTTTTCAAAAAGAAGCGGAGAATAACTATCAAACCAGAAGAGATCATTAGAGATTGTGGATTGTTGAATGATGAAGTAGTAAAGGTCAACAAGAGGAATTACGAAATGGTCAAATATATGTCCTCAACTGAAGACTTAGAGAAGATATGTGACCAACTTTAATTATCTATGTGAGGGACATAGAGGATTAAAATTTACAAGGATTAAACCTATAAATAGATTAATATATATTTATTATTTCATATATAAACGATGTAAAATCAAGCCAATCCAAAACCTTCATGGCCTTCTGTTATAGCTAGCAAGACAGACCCTCTCAATGTTTCATATGATTCATAAGCTGGTAAATCTATTTGATTGAAACATGTATGCGACGATGGCAACCTGTCGGTTGTTCCGTAATCTCTATGGATGCTAAATTTGCAAGTTCCACTAGCTCCGCTTAACTCCTTGAAACCATTTAGTGGTACTTTAGAAGTACCTGTAGCAAATTGTAGTAACTTTGCTCTCTCCTCGTTGTCAAATGATTTAACCGCCCTCCAGAACCATTGAATTTGTTCTGATGAAGGCGAATAATTATTATACGTAGTGTTATTTTGCCAATCCAAAACATCGATATCAGGTAATCCTGAAATCAATAACTCTAATTCTTGTTCATCGAATATCGAAACCAAATCCTTTGAAATAATCTCATGGAACCCTAATAAAAAGTTGTCCATTTGTTCTGTAACTGAAGTTTGCAATCTGTATTGAACAACTAATTTTACATACTCATGCTTATTTTCTTCGGTTACAGCAATATCTCTTCCATTAGGAATCAAATCAATGATCTTATGTTCTCCATAATCATCAGTTTCGACTGAAAAATCTTCCGTAATAACATCAGTTATATCATTTTCTAACATCCATACTAATGATTTGAAGTATTCAAGGTCTAATGTTTCCATGTCCTTCAATGAAACAGACTTCCCTAAAATTCTCTTGTAGACAGCCCTGCTGAAGTGACAATCGAGAAAACTATTGTCAAATATAGCCTTACCAATTATCTTACCTATAAACTTGAAGAAAGACAAATGTTCAGGATTAATATATGACGTTCTGTTTGGGTGAAATGTTGTTTCATCAGATGCCACAGGCGTGAATAATGCATAATCAGGATTAAACATTTGCCTAGATAAAACTTGATACCATTCTCGAGTAACACCACCGGCATCAATACCAGACTCACCTTTAAAATTCACTTCTAACTTAGAATTCTTAAATTCATCCTTGGGTTTGAAAAACAATGCTCTGTATGAGTCCAAGAATACTTGATCACGACGAATATTTATTGCTAATTTAGCATTCTCATTTTTATTTTCATGTAATTTTCTATCGAAATAGTTCTTCTTGTTATCAAATTCCAAAACTCCAGGATTTCTAACTAACATTCCGAAAGGTCCACTCATCAAGTTAGGATTAGTTCTTACCATTTGATTCAATATTTTTTTATGTTCATCGGTAAATGAAAAGAATAAGCTTTCAATTGGCTCTTTAGTGAAATCGATTTTCTTAGCCTCATACTTGATTGCATCTTTGATATGAATTTCTTTAACTTTGCTATGCTTACAAACAACCATCAAAGCTTCAATTAACGGTAATAAAGCTGTGGCTATGTTTGTCATACCTTTTTTCTCTTCTAATACTCTTAAGCAATCACTCAATGCATCCCATAGAGTTCCTAAAGCAAGTCTTTTATATAATCCTGTTAGTTCTTCGATTTCGTCAATCGATAACTTATTTTCCTTTCCATCATGGATTGCCTTGTAATCGGTTTTGTCGTCTTCAAAGCCTTTATCCTTTTCTTTTGATTCAAACATATAATCTAATGCCGTTAAAATCCTGAGTAACTTTGCCTGGTCAGAGCTTGAAGCACTAAACTTAGCAAAAGACTTATTTTCTGCATTATAAGTCTCAGATTTGGCAATTTCTTTCGTTAAAGTATTAAGATCATTAATAATTGTTTGTCCCAATTTCGTTGCTTGATCAGATAACTCCACAGAGAATACCTTCTGAGCATTTGAAAGCACTGATAAGTTTTGCATTGCACTTATTGTTCTTCTGAAGGTTGTATTAGGACAATCATTAGATGTTAGTATTTTAATTATTTGTCGGAAATTATGATCAGGAATAACCGGAGGAGTAATTGGAGGCGCCTTATTCTCTTCAACATTCTTGTTAGCCTCTTGTAGAGCATGAAGTGGTCTAGTTGCAATTTGTAAAACTCTCGCTAAGACATCCATGAATGTTTGGTCTTCTTTAATTAAATTATTCTCCAATAATCTAAGCAAGAGATTAATTGGATATTTACTTTCCTTGCTTAACGATTCTTTTAACTTAGTTTTGCGGTTAATCTTCTTTAGAATATATGGATTGTCATGCTCCGTTAAAAGATAATATCTCATATGAGTATTACGTTCTAGTATATAGTGCACAACTTCAATAATTTGATTACCAATGATAATTGGAGAGCCACCAATAGGAAAGTGATTATTTTGATTTTCCATATTCAATGTATTGGTTTTAGCCTTCAAGCATACCTGTGAGTATGCCTTTTCAATTGAACGTTGATTTATTAAACCGTCTTGAAGGATTGCTATCAAAAGACCCATAACTTCAGCTCTTGATTGTTTGCTTTTACATAAGTACTGTAATGCTTGATGGATGTGTTCTCTCTGATTGATTGGCAGAGGAATAAAAAGTAACCGAATTAATGCGGCTACACCAGACCTTTCGACCAAAGGTGTAAAAAAGACCTTTTTCGATTTTTTGGAAGGTTCCGACGTAGAATCTCCACCAACCGTTGACCGTCTTCGATTTGAACCAGGATTTCCACTACTAGGTAGTACAAATGGATTCGTACCATCTCCATCATTTTCGTCATCCAAATCTTCTGCTTCCTCTTCATCAATATCCGGATAGGTCATTTCATCTTCTAAAGTTGAAAATCTGCGAGCCATAGACTCTTGTTGAAGAATTTCCTCTCTAATTTGTTCAGGAAGAGCATCAAGGAAATCAGGATCAATTTCACGCGCATCTGTCCCTGTACTGGACGCATTTGCTCGTCTTTCTCTTATATGCTGGGTAAATACTTCATCTCGCATATCATCAGGTAAAGCCTCGAAAAACTCTGGATCTATATCAGTTCCGCTAATATCAACATCGCGGTCACCAATACGAACCATAATAGGATCATGATGTTCAGTATTATTTTCTGCATTAAGCTCTCGTTCTCTTGCTTCTTCTTCACGTTTTAATCTTTCTTCTTCTTCCTTTTTACGGATTTTTTCCTCTCTCTCTTTTCTTATTCTTTCAGCTTCTTCCTTTTTCAGATTATATATTTCAATACTCTCCTTTTCGATTCTGTTGACAATATTAGGTATAATCTTCATAACGGCTTCATCCTTTGATTTAGAATAAAACATGTTTAATGCATCTAGCCAACGTTCTCTTGTCGATTTAATGTACATGCTATGTAATACATCATTATCGCGCTTGGATTTCGACCCCATTTGCATAACATTTCCAAAGGAACGCTCAAAACGAGTTGAATTTCCTGGACCACTTATGTGTATAGTCCCTCTCAATAATCCATTATCATTATTTGCTGAGCTAAATAGACCCTCAAAAAGGGAAGCAATGTTCGGTTGTCCCATAGCTGGACGCAAAGCATCAAAAAAGGTACTGGCAAAGTCCCTTGCGCGTCTTCTTGAATCAGGAGCAATACCCAATCCATCTACTTCGTCATCGACAACAGAATCATCTTCACTCATATTATCTTCCTCTTCTTCATCTGACTCTCCAGAATCCATGACCTCGTATGCATCTCTAGAATTTTGAAGTCTATTTCTACGTAAGCTCTCGACACCACTTGGAATATCGCCATCTTCTACTTCCGCTTCATTTGAAGGGGCATGATCATCTTCAAACGCTTCAATCCAACCATCTAATTCTTCATCGTCATATTCGCTAATTTCTTCATCTTCGTCATAATCATAAACTCCGGACTCATCGGAAATATCTTCATCATTTATTGAATCTTCGTCAGAATCGCTATGCGAATGCATTTCTAATTCATCAATAATCTCAATATCATCATCTTCAATATGCGGGATATCGTCATCATCCATTGATTCATTTCCTTCGTAGCCTTCATCGATAGAAATATCATTGTCTTCATCCTCTTCCATTTCAGAATCTAACTCAGAAAGATGTGAAGAATCATCCGAATCTTCCTCCGATATTTCTTCACCAGACATTAACACTTCCAAAGGATCTCCCTCTTCGTAATAATCCATTTCTGAGTCTTCACTCTCGTGTTCAACGTCATACATTCCTAAGGTAGAATTACGGAACAAATCTGGTGTTTCATCTCTATCGTCCACATCTTCAGGTACAATATCATCGTCTTCTTTATCACCCTGGTGCTCTTCTTCAAAAATATCCTGAAATTCACTTTTTATTTTACCTAATAAAGTAAGTGGCTTAATACCAAGTTTAATGACACGATGAATTTCAGGGAAATTAACGTCAAACTCTGAAATGATACCAGTGAGTTGAGAAGGAATTTGCTTATCAATGAGCGCTTTAGCTATATAGTACTGGTCATACTTTGTCGCACTCTTATTTAATAAAGGCCCGGTTAAATCACGGAACTTTTGGGTTATCAAACACCCACATAAGTCAAATAAATCAATTAACTTTCCATAACGAGCGGTAGCGATGCTTGGAGAGCTTACTGTTTCCTTCAAGATCTTCAGAAGGATATCAACATAAAATTTTCTAATGAAAGCCATGTCAATATCTTCTTTCTTTGGATCGGGTGAATTATCCTCGTTTAAAATTGGTGTAGATACTAGCGCTAAAACTGCAAGTTTAGAAAGCGAGGAAATAGCAGAACGCCTCTCAAATTCAATCCCAGAAGATTTTATAAGCAGTTTAGTAGGTATCAACTGATGAAGCAAAAAGTTTAAAGCAGTAGAACGGGGTTTCAAATTCTCGTTTTGATTCTTTTTAGAAAAAGTCAAAAATTCAAGTTTCGATTGTTTGTAAGAGCCTAGTAACTCTGTAATTGTCTGTAATAAGAAGGTAGCATAAGCAAAATATACATTCTTGAACACATCAGGTGTAGAATCCTTTGCAGTTTTCTCATCATCTGTAGACTGTGGTTCTGACACCCAATCTTTCTTACTAACTTCCATCAATTCTGTCAAAAGTATATGTATAATGCCAGTCGATTTTATGGTACGCTGCAGTTCCAGATTATCACCATCTTTTGAACCTTCTACATCTTCCATATCCATATCTTCAGTACTTTTCTCTTGTTTCTTACGGAAGACAGTTAACTTTGAAGGGGAAACATCCTCGCCATCATAATTATCTAATCTTACATCTTGTGAAAAGACATCCACATATAGCTCTGGATCACGCAATACAACTGACGCAGTCTCTTTCAAGACGGATTGAAGATCTCGTTTGCCCCTGATACTTCCTTTGAATACTGTTGAGATTTCAACCGACATATTGACCTTCAAGACCTCAGCTGTCTCGAAACATCTTCTTATAAGAACAACAAGTGCTGCCTGGTAAATATCATATTTATTTGAAGCGCTTTTCATGAAGTCACTTGCTAATGAAATAAGTATTTTAAGTAATTTCGAGTTTACAAATATTGATGAGCATTCTTCATCCTTGACTAATAGTATCATAATTCTTGCTATTCCTATTGCAGACTTAATCTCATGAATTTTTTCTAATTTAACAAGACTGTCGAATAATCTTCTCTTTAATTCATCATCGATCAAAAATGGAACAGTCTTGTTTTGAGGAGATAAACGTTCATGAGGACTCTTTTCAGATTCGGGGAAATCCTTGTAATACATTACTTGTTCAAGTATGTATAATCCGTAGGAAACATAATCCTTATCTACGTCTGCTGGGTTATTTTCAAGTTCACCTATCATGAAGCGCGTAAATCTAGAAATATTACCTTTGTTCGAATTAACTAGCTTCTCATCCTTTAGTATAATCCCAAATAAATGAATAGCAATACCTAAATCTGCGTTTCTAGTTTTCTTAACTTCCACTAAATCAAAAATATAGTATGCAAGCTTATTCGAAATATCTGAAGGGTCTAAATACGTGGAAAGAAGCATATCCGCGATCGACTCAACAGCCTTATGATAATAACAAGCAACTTTAAACCAGCAATCAATAAAATGATCGAATTCTTGCAATCTAGCTGCCTTGAGATGAGATCCAGGTCTAAAGGTTGGAAACTCCTGCTTAAATGTAACAGCCCCAGAATGAATGTCTTGCGCGATGCTTTCCCATACTTCCTTGCTAACATCTAATTGCGAACAATCTGGTGCTTCATTTGTGCTTAAGTCATGTAAGCCCAGGGTATGCTTGAAGAAGTGTTCAGCTTGTGAAGCTGAAATTCCTCTTGATATTAAATATTCAACTTGTGGCAAAGGCGGTGACACATTGTCGAGCGCCAAAGGTACAAAAGGTATGTCAGAAACTTCTTTTGTTGCCATCCAAACATGTTTGGTAATATAAACAAGCTGTTCGATTAAAGGAGATGGAACATTCAGGGTTGTAACATTATCTGGCTGATTGAAAATTATGGATTCAGAGCCTATTGTGTTGCTCATTAACTCAAGGGAAATAATTCTAGTTTGAACCAAGAATGTTGGAACCAAAAATGATTCGGGATCTTTTTCTAACCCGTCATGATAGAATAATTTTGTTGCTGGCAAATTAGGAACAACATCACTATTAACTACCTTAGCAAATATCATGAGAATCTGACTTAACACATTCTTAGTGATACTACTTTCAGAAGTGCTGATATATTTTAAATCATTGGTTTTTGCAACTTCCTGGGGATCCAACTGTATAAGTTTATTCCAAAAGTCAATTGCCAAGTCCTTCAATTTCTCGAAGAAACCGTTTTGCAAAAAAGAAATGGCTAAGCTAGTCTGTATCACATCCTTATTAACTCTTTCTTTTTGACTTAGACAATATAAACCTATATTTACTAACACCAAAAAGAAACTTGGTTTATATTCATCATTAGAAATTTCTGTTGTTATCAATGACTCAAAAATTTTTCCTATTTCAACAGTAATCCTAACTGCATCCCTTCTCCATGTTGCATCAATAAATTCTTGCCTTTTGTGCATGCAAACTCGGCCCAAGCAGCAAAAGACTGTTGATATATAGTTCTGGAAGCGATAGGCAAAAAACCTAATCTGCAACGAATTCTTGAATTTCGCACTCGTGCCATCTTGTTTCTCTTGTTTCTTAGAAGGCTCTGCTGTATATATTTGGATAGGAGGGAATTCACTGCTACTATCAAATGTAGCACCTGATTGTTTGGCAACAGTTTCCGGCATAGTAGAACGTAAAATGATCTCTTCGAACATACATCTTCTTAGAAGTAAGCCAAAATCTGATAATAGTCTTAAACCACTTCCGTCTGACGATTTTCCATTTCCGAATAGTTCTGCAATTTGGTGATATCTTTCATGAAACATAAGACCTGGGTTAATATAAATCTCCGTGAATGTGTAAAACAAAGTGTTAAGAGAGTTCAATTCCTTCAAGAATTGTGTACCCGCTTCCTCGTTTTCTTCAAATCTGTTAAAAAAAGAGTTATCTGTACTATCGAAGTGAATGAATTCTTGAATAAGAGGAGATTCGACTTTCTGCTTCAAGATTTCAAATGCATGAGGTAAACCGTAATCCCTATTCTCGTCATCAAAATATTTTAAGACACCCATTAACGTTGAAAACCCGTTAGAAGTAGTATAGTCAAAAGGAGCGTTGGACAAAGTCATAAATGAAGCCCAAGATTCATAAGGGATTAATTTCATCGCTTCATTTCCCCATTGTCCACTATCTTGTAGTAATCCACCTAAGAAAAAGAAAATATTGTCTGCTAAGTATGCAGCATCAGTTGTTTCCCAAACTTCAATCTCCTTAAAACCTTCTTCACTATCAATAATCATCTCATCTTTACTGTGGTATAAGGCTCCTTTATCTGAAGTATAGAAACGGATACCCTTCAACTTGTCATTAACATAGTTAGGAACATTCTCAACTAATTTTTTAATCTCCTCCATAATAATTGGTTTCAATGGGGAATAATGCCTTCCCAATTCGTCAAAAGAGCAACCTAAATTCGTAGTCATATCCGATCTAACCAATTCTTTGGCATAATCAAGGTTGTAGAATGACTGAAAGTATTTAGAAATAGTATTATGATTTATGACCTTATCTAAACCATCATTATTTAAACAAATAGCACCAATTACTTCAGCTAAAGACATCAACAAATCATTCGATGGGAGAAACAAATCCTCAAAATTATCTAAAATGGTATCTATCACCTTAGCCTCATTCAAAATTGAAAATGCTGTTGGCTCATTATGAATAATATAAAAAACTGAGTCAATAGTAGCAGATAAAATCAATGGTCCAAAAACTTTAGGATTAAGGAGAATTTGGTTAAAACTTTGAAGTAATGGAGAATCAAAAAGGTTACGTAATCTATCACCAGGCTCTGATTGAATTAAATGAGAAACTAATTTCATAAGGTTTCGAATATAGTTAGCTTGCCGAAACGTAATATTGTAGTAGACAAGAGACTCCTTAGGTGAGCCACCTCCGTAGTTAGGATTCTCTAATGCAAAATTGACTTCATACTGAACTGTATCAATAAGTAATTGAAATCCATTATTAGTCACGAAATCGTCAAATGATTCTGGAGATGCACTTAAAAATACTGTTGTTAAATGAGTTGCAGCAGAGCAGGACCATCTATATTTCGACTTGACGTTGAAGAATGACAACAAATCATTTAAAATCCCCCCAGCCGTTAGTCTAGGTGTTAAACTTTTTGAATCTATTAAATTTCCCAACATATTAAAAAAGTGCACATAAGCCAATTCGTAACAATCATCATCTTCGGCTGCAATCTTCTTATTAATGTGTCTTATGCATTGGAATAAGATTCCGTGGTTCACATTCCCACCCATACATCTGATTATATCACTTCCCCAAACTCTTTTTAAAGAAATGCACTCTAATGCCTTTGTCGCAGTAAAATAGACATCTCTTGAAACATCTGCTGAGTTTTCAGGTTGTATTAAATCGATTAAAAAGCTAAAAATATACGGCTCTGCTTCAAAAAACCTTGATGCTGTAAATTCACTTGGACACATGCAGCAAATGAAAGCAATAGCCAAGCATTTTGCTCGAAGCAACTTCTCACGTAATTTAATAGAATCATACGATTTGGTATTGAAAGACTTGACGACAGGTGCAACAAGACCGAACTCAAACCAATATTCTTTAGGGATAGTTTCAGAAGCTTTGTCAAATATCTGCTCCAAAGACAACTTACGAACAGTTTCTTCTGACAAAGCAAAAGTTGTAACGCCTTCTTTTGGAAGTACTTTTTCTTCTTTATCTATCTTTAATGATTTATTCGAATCATGCTTTGACTTAGACCGTTTTTCTCCTGCATGCTTATGTTCTTCCTTTCTAATTTTAGCGGATTCATTCTTTGAATGTATATTTTGTGCTTGAGGTGTAAAAGATTTATAGTATTGAAAATTAATGTGCTTCCATTTAGATGGATATTTCTTTTCCGTAGTAATAGAATCAATTAGACTATAATGGTCGCCTAATACGGCATCCTTGTCTTTTTTGCTTGTATTCTCCTCTTCTTCAAGCTTACGGTGAAAATTCGGTGGCACAGGTAATGGATATGACTTTGCAATTTGTAAAACTTTCATCTTGACTGGTTTTGGAGCTGAATATTTATTCGAGCTGGTCTGAACATATCTCTCAGATATTGAAACACCTACCTCCAAGGCGCTTAACCTTACATCCACAGTAGGAGAGCTTATCAACTGAAAAATTCTTTCACTACTAGAATAGATAGACCTATTCGCACAGTGTTCAAGTAAAAGATGAGTAAATTGCAAGCATGCTACAAGCAATTCTTGGTCATTACTACTCATCTCTTGCAATTTAGGATGGTCTTGGTCTAATTCATACCTCTTAATCTGAGTTTCAAATATTTCATCAAACCTATTCAAAGCCGGCACCCAATGGAATAAATCGCCTCTGGGTCTTTCCCAAGACAAATTGTTCTTCAACTTATGAGGTAATTGCTCTAATGGGCAATTTGTGATATCATCAATCAACGATTTCAATGGCTTTGCCATCTCCATCTTCTCTAAGTGATTCCGCTTAGAAATAATCATCGTGTAAGATATGTATTATTAACACTTCAGGCTTAAAAAATTTAATTATTCAAATTTATTTATGATACTAATTACAATTATTGAGACTTCAATTGTTAATATGACCTTTCTTAAGACTCTTCTGGTATATATATATGATTGATCTATGAATTAATTACGAAAATCTGATTTTATAAGTAAGTAGTTCTTGCTATTTTTGCTCGAAACTCCTGGTTCAAACACACTGATAGTATACAGGGCAAAGTGATGAGTTAAACAAGAATAATATATGCATACACTAAAGATAAGACAATTATAGCAGAAATGCCTTATAGGAAGAGACCACTAGAGAAGAATTGGAATGGAGATAGAAAGCGAATAAAAGAACAGACTTCCACTGATACAACAGACGCCATTGCAAGAGCTAAAGCAAGGCTACTAGAAAAGAGCAAAAACAGTAATCCTGAACACATAGGTCATAGAGATAATTCCTCAGAGAAAGACTCATTATCGGGGAGAATAAATCCATATAAAGATCGATTTAGTACGAAAACCCCTGAAAGTGAAAGAGAAGAGCAAGAAGGTAGAGGTGGACTCAATGTGGAAATTCATCCGTTATTACGAAATAATGTTCCAGCACGTACATTACCTAAAAATCATAATCCTTTAAAACAGAACGTTAGAAAGTGGTTTGATCCCACAGCCATCAATCCATACTTAAACCAGGATGATATTTCAGGACTGATTAAGTCGCAACACGGACCAAGAGCGTTTCAATTCAATGAACATGGAAAGTATATTGCGAAGGGAAATGAATTGAGAGATAAATTGCAAAAGGAGCAAGAAGAAATAGCCAAGTTTCAGGAAACTAAGGAAAAGGGATTGGCAGCTGATGAAAATTTGGGGGAACATTTGTATAAAGCACAATATCCACCGGTTGTTGAGTGGTGGGATAGACCATATTTGAAAGACCGTAATTACCAAAACATCAGTGATAAATCACGTCTCGTATATGACAACGATATTGCTCCGATATCTATATATATACAGCACCCTGTGTTAATTCCACCTCCTTGGGAAAGACACATGCCAGACGCAAAACCTATGTATCTAACGAAGAAGGAATTAAAGAGAATAAGACGCAATGATAGACATGAAAAACAGAAGGACAAACAAGATCGTATAAAATTAGGTTTAGATCCTCCTCCGCCACCAAAAGTGAAATTATCAAATCTTATGAACGTATTAACTAACGAGGCAATTAAAGATCCTACAGCAGTGGAAATGAAAGTTCGAGAAGAAGTTGAGGAAAGACATCAAAAGCATATGCAAGAAAATGAAGAACGGAAGTTGACTAAAGAAGAAAGACTTGCAAAAATTCAAAAGCAACATGAAAAGGATCTTGAAAAAGGGTATCATACAACTGTATTCAAAATTGATGAACTTTCGAATCCCAAAAACTTTTTCAAAATTGATATCAATGCTAAGCAATTGGAGTTACATGGCATATGCTTGTTGAATCCCAGATTCAATTTGATTATTGTGGAAGGTGGCGCTAAAAGTATCAAGTTCTACAAAAAACTATTAACCCTGAGAATCGATTGGACCGAAAATGTTATTCCTAAGGTGCCTGACGATCTGAACACCTCTGATACGTCGCCTGGACAAATAGAAGATCTTTCGAACAATAAATGTCTGCTTCTATGGGAAGGGCAAATCAAAGAAATAAAGTTTAAGAAATGGTCTATCATGAAAACCTCCAATGACGATGAAGCATTTGAAGTTCTTAATAGATTCGGTGTTATAAACTATTGGCGTGAAGCTCTAGTCATAGATAATTAACGATGTATATAGTGTATTATAGTTGGCCCACCATTCAATGTAGAAATATTGATTATGTAAGATGTTATATACAAGCTGGATCTCGGGATTGCTTTAGACAAGACTATTGGTAGTTGGAGCTTACTTTTCTTTACTTCCATTGAATTATTATATTTCAAGTTATATACGTCTACGAAATACAAAAATGGGTGCTGCTTACACGATATTTGGGAGACAAGTTCCAGCTCATATTGTAAGTATTTAGGATGGGAATTGCGGATCCGAATCGAGAGTGAAAAAGTCCTTAACATGATCATAAGTTTGATCATAAATGAACGATAAAGAGGGCTCTGAATTCAATTTGCTCTATATCTTAGAATATTGATTGACTAACTCGAACAGCTTTCTATTATTACTTTATCTAGTGCTGCAGCTGTAGTTGCATGGCCTCGTGCTAAGACGGAGGCTCCACCAGCCGTGGCTGCTCCTGTTGCCCAAACCAAGGAAGAAGATTTTGACTTAGAAAAGTTCTTAAAGTAAGTACATGTTGATTATATTGTTGTGGTGATTTATCTACTAACATGATCTAGCGATTTGACCAAGGAAGAATCAAAATGAATTTTGAGAATGATTTATATGATATATACTTAACATAGAATAGAATACTATTGTCTATATTCTTACTGTAAATGAACTTTTCATTCTAGAATGTGTTTGTTGTACCTCGATTCGATATATATACCTGATATATGTGCTCTCCAAATGTAGAACCTATGATGGTCAATACATGGTGTATCGATGTTTACTCTATTTGGTGTATTGATGTTTAACATTTAACCATTGGATGTTTGTGGTGTATGGGTGTTTGGTTTTATCGGCCAAATCCACACTAAGCGGCTATCACCAGAGAGATCAGACCCACCACATCGTACTTTGCTTCGCTTGAAGCATATATTTCTCTAGTATGTCTTCCTATTCGATTGTCCTATTTCTCCAGGGCTATGCCCACTCTGAATCACTAACATTCTCCACATAAAGTTCTGAACCCTTCATGTTTTACTCTTTGTAGCCCGTCTTCGGTGTTGAACTCATAGTGGGTCACACCAGTTTCATTCGCTCCTACGCGTCCTAACTGTCTCTACATTTTGCCCAGCAAGTGCTTTCCCGACCTTCATCTGCAATTCCGATGCGTAGTACTCTGGTCAATTATATTTTAACGCGTTTTATTGCTAGTAATTGACGTTTTGTAAACAAATCATTATCAAATCGAGATAATTATGAAATTGCCGCTTGCAATATACAGAATCGGGGTTGTTACACCCGCAGAAGCAAGACCTTAACTATAGGAACTATGAAGGATCCATTCAAAAAAAACGTCTTTCAGACGCGCGAATTATTTTTGTTTTCTGTTTGTTTTTATTCTAGTGATGACAAATTAATTTTGTTAGCGAGACGCGTTCGACTATTTAATCTGCCAATATCCGCCAAATTAAAAGAATTTGTGAAAAGAATCAACACTTCTCGTTTGAAAGATCTTAGTATTATTTATTAACGAAGAAGAATAATCAATAATGTACGTTTATAAAAGAGATGGACGTAAGGAGCCTGTCCGCTTTGACAAGATCACTGCTAGAGTTCAAAGGTTATGTTATGGGTTAGATACTACACACGTCGAGCCAGTTGCTATCACACAAAGGGTTATTTCTGGTGTTTACCAAGGGGTCAACACTATTGAATTAGATAACTTGGCTGCTGAAACTGCTGCTTATATGACTACAATCCACCCTGACTATGCTATTTTGGCAGCAAGAATCGCCGTTTCCAACTTACACAAACAAACTACCAAACAATACTCCCAAGTCAGTAAAGAGTTGTATGACTACGTTAATCCAAAGACTGGTTTACACTCACCTATGATTTCCAAAGACACATATGATATTATTCAAGCCAATGCAAATGAGTTGAACTCCGCTATTGTGTTTGATCGTGATTTCAACTACAACTATTTCGGATTCAAGACCTTGGAAAGATCTTACTTGTTGAGAATCAACGGTAAGGTTGCCGAAAGACCACAACATTTGATCATGAGAGTCGCAGTCGGAATCCATGGTAATGACATCGAAAGAGTCATCGAATCGTACAACATGATGTCCCAAAGATTTTTCACACACGGTTCTCCAACGTTGTTTAATGCTGGTACTCCTAGTCCTCAAATGTCGTCTTGTTTCTTGGTTGCTATGAAGGATGACTCTATTGATGGTATCTACGATACCTTGAAGACATGTGCCTTGATTTCCAAGAGTGCTGGTGGTATAGGTTTACATATCCACAACATTCGTTCTACTGGTGCTTACATAGCTGGTACCAATGGTACTTCTAACGGTATCATCCCTATGGTTCGTGTTTTTAACAACACTGCTCGTTATGTCGATCAAGGTGGTAACAAGAGACCAGGTGCCTTTGCCCTTTACTTAGAGCCATGGCATGCGGATATCTTCGATTTCATAGATATCAGAAAGAATCATGGTAAGGAAGAAATTAGAGCTAGAGATTTATTCCCTGCCTTATGGATTCCTGATTTATTCATGAAGAGAGTCGAGCAAAATGGTGACTGGACTTTATTCTCTCCAAATGAAGCTCCTGGTTTATCAGATGTCTACGGTGATGAATTCGAAGAATTGTACTCCAAGTATGAAAAAGAAAATCGCGGTAGATCGGTTGTCAAGGCGCAAAAATTATGGTACGCCATTTTAGATGCTCAAACTGAAACTGGTACTCCATTCATGTTATACAAAGATGCTTGTAACAAAAAGACAAACCAAAAGAATTTAGGTATTATTAAGTCATCCAACTTATGTTGCGAAATTGTTGAATACTCTGCTCCTGATGAAGTGGCTGTTTGTAACTTGGCTTCCATTGCTTTACCATCTTTTGTTGAGAAGGATAGCACCTCAAGTTGGTACGATTTCGAAAAGTTGCATGAAGTTACTAAGGTTGTGACCCGTAACTTGAACAGAATTATTGACCGTAACTACTACCCAGTTCCGGAAGCAAGAAACTCGAATATGAGAAATAGACCAATTGCCTTAGGTGTCCAAGGTTTAGCAGATGCATTTATGGCATTAAGATTACCATTTGACTCCCAAGAAGCTAAGGAATTAAACACTCAAATTTTCGAAACCATTTATCACGGTGCTGTCGAAGCCTCCATTGAATTGGCTGAAGTTGAAGGGCCATACCAAAGCTATGAGGGATCTCCAGCCTCTAAGGGAATCTTGCAATTTGATTTATGGGACAGAAAGCCAACTGAATTATGGGACTGGGATACTTTGAAACAAAAGTTAGCTAAGCATGGTATTAGAAATTCTTTGTTAGTTGCTCCAATGCCAACTGCCTCAACCTCTCAAATATTAGGTTACAATGAATGTTTCGAGCCATATACTTCAAATATTTACTCCAGAAGAGTTTTGGCTGGTGAATTCCAAATTGTCAACCCATACTTATTGCGTGATTTAGTTGATTTAGGTATCTGGAATGATGATATGAAGAACAACATTATCTCCAATAACGGTTCTATTCAATCCTTACCTAACATTCCAGATGAATTAAAGGCCTTATACAAGACCGTTTGGGAAATTTCTCAAAAGCATATTATTGACATGGCTGCAGACAGAGCTGCTTTCATTGATCAATCACAATCTTTAAATATTCACATCAAAGACCCTACTATGGGTAAATTAACTTCAATGCATTTCTATGGTTGGAAGAAGGGTTTGAAGACAGGTATGTATTACTTAAGAACTCAAGCTGCTGCTGCTGCTATTCAGTTTACTGTGGACCAAAACTCAGTCAATAATGCTTCCAAGAGTATTGCTTCCTTAGAAAAATTAAACCAAAGAAAATATATTGCTAAACCAGTTTCTAGCAATAATGACTCTGGTGTCTCTACTGAGCCAACTTCGTTAGAAAATTCGGTAGCTGATTTAAAAATCACCGATAACTCGAATGCCTCAAACAACGATGAATCAGCTGCAACTGAATCAGCTGAAGGCCAAGAAGCAGGTGATATTTACAGCTCAAAGGTTATTGCATGTGCTATTGATAATCCTGAATCGTGTACTATGTGTTCCGGTTAAGTCATATAGTACAGTTTACTATTTTTGTATATTACTATGTTTCTTATTTAATTATTGTTAAAGTTTGTTGTTGGGTAATAATTTTTTTTAATTAGTTTTAACGCTTTTATATCACAGGTTGCTTAATGTCACCTTAATAAATAAAATATAAAAATATGTTGTAGATCAATAGGAGGTATCGGAAAGATGCCGTTACATGCGACAAACTACAGGTTTTTTTATCTTCTTCGCTGCAGAATTTCAAAAGTAATACTCTATTAAATAAAAATCAATCGACACATCTCATATTTCATGGTAGATTTATCATATCAATCAAATGCACAATAATTTGAAAAGTATTTCTTGCTATTAATATTCAAGATAAACTCAAACGACCTTATCCCACAAACAGAAAACAAACTTTTGTATGACGCAGATATCAAACCCTGAAATACCTGGGGCCACAAACGAAGATATAGTCCTAGATACGTTTCTGGACAATAGGTCAACTATGGATTCGGATGATGATAGTTCAGATCCAATCCGTATAATGGACCAGGATAATGATTTTTTCGTTGATAGTTCAATTAAAGGAAAAATGAAGCGATTCTTTTACAAATTATGGAATGGTCCTACCGTTCCAGAAGATAACCCACCACGTCGGATCCAGGTATTTTTGAAGGTGGAAGAATTCCCTGAAAAATTCAATAACAGCATTTCGAAATCTATCCGAGTCACAGGCCTCATATTATATTTAAGTCTTTGGTTTCTTGTGTGCTATAACATTTTGGTTCCATACATGACCATACCGCCAGGTATGTCAAATAACTCCAATATAACTGTAATTCCACTATCATGTCAATCACAATCACACTTTTGGAGAGGTAAAAATGGTGCATGTGGATTAAATGGAGAATTATGCCCTTCGTTCGATAAGGATGAAAATGAAGTAATATTTCGGTGCCCAGCTCTTTGTGATAGGAACAGTTGGACATATTCATTGATACCTATCGGTGATCAACGGGTCAAATATAGAGGGTATTTCGTAGGTGGTGGTGAAGATCCGGAACAGCATGCTACTGAAACATTATCCAAACCGTATAGAGCTGACTCGTACCCATGTGGTGCAGCTATCCATGCTGGTGTTTTGTCACCATTTTTCGGAGGTTGTGCCAGAATATCATACTCAAAGAATGGAGAGCTGTATTTTCCTTCTGCTCCGGGTCATTATGGAGTTGGTGAATCTATTCCCTTTCTATCATTTTTTCAATCATCTTATTATTTTAAAAAATTAGTAAGTGGTAATGATAGCTCTGGTGGCTTCTCTCACTGTTATGATCCAAGATTACTAGTATTGGTTATTAATATTATCTTAGGGATACCAATTGTATATTTGGCTAGTGGAGCTGCTACGTTTTGGATCATAAATTTTGTTGGATTTTGGACCATATGTTTAGCCACCGATCCACCATATACGGTGAATGCCAGAGATCATGATAGTTTTTCAAATTTGCTTTCAATTGGTCTTGAGAGATTTTTACCGTCATCATTCATTTTGTATGTCTTGTGGCATGCCTCTGTTAAAAGAACTTTGTCTGATCCACCTCCAGAATTAAATGCAAAGTCATCTCCATTAAGTAAGCTAATATTATGGTACCCACTCTTTTGGCTTGGAGTTTTAAACAATATTACATTCGACAGGTTGCCAGTAGATAGACTAACGATTCTGGATCTCAAGGAACAGGCTGGGGCATTAATAGCGGTATCATCTATCATAACTACTATAGGTACATGTGCTTTTATACAAGCCTACAAGATCTGGCTATCTGGAAGGTTTAGAAAGTACTTGGTCATTTATGTTTCCTTTATCCTAGGATTGGTTTTTCTAGCACAATTACCTGGTTTGACCCTACGTATACATCACTATATATTAGCAATGCTTTTAATTCCTGGATGTGCTACGAGAGGAAGAACAGCATTAGCATTCCAGGGTATTTTATTAGGATTATTCCTTTCCGGATCTTCTAGATGGGGTTTGGCTTCAATTGCAGAAACCATAGATTCCTTAAAAAGAGATGATCCAAAAGGAAAGATTCTTCCGCCTGAATTCACAGGATTCAATATTACGTCTGGAATTTTAGACTGGAAATTCGCTGATACCTCATCAATGAATTCGATAGAACAAGTCGTGAATAATAAATTCAACGGGGTATCTTTACTTATAAATGATATCGAACGTTACGTTGGTGATCGAGCTGAATCGTTAAACTTGGTAGATTTATTTAAAAAATCAACTGATTTGAAGAATTCTATAAAGAATGCATTAAAGAACGGCTATACAGATAAAGACGGAAACATTCTCATGTACTTACGGATTGGTAAAAAGGTATTAGGAAGTGAAGCATATAGCGATTTTTCTAACGCTGGCGTCCTCAAATGGCCAAGTGGGGAATTTACTAAACCTCAGCCAGGTGTTACTTAAATATCTACAAGTACTATTTATTATATATAAACCTTCATAGACATGTTTATCAGCAACAAATACATTAATCATGTGACCAACGAGAAAATTAGCTGCTAATATATATTAACGTTTTTAGTATTAAGATAGAAGCATAGATCAACATCACAAGCCATGTTAAATACATTAAGATTACCAGTGTATTCTTCGTGTGTTGCCTATAATTTTCGTATTGTAGGATCCAGATTATGGGCTTATGAGAAGCGTTATTCTACAAGCAATTCAGGTACATCAAAAACACCAAATTCCAGCAAACTTTCAAAACCGCAAGTCAAATGGTTCTATGCCACAGATGTCCCCAATTCCAAGCCAGCTTGGCATAATTACACCAAGACAAAGGATCCAAAAAAGTTCATTCCTTTTTCTGATTATGATTCTAAAAGATTAGAGAAACAATACCAAAAGTATACTGTTGGTATGAACCAAATAGACAATAAAGAACAGAGTAACGTGAATCCCGAATTTGTTGAAGTTAATGAAGACAAGCTCTTTCAGGTCGATTTGAAAAATTTCGATTTGTCCCCCGTATATTGGGACGGGCCAGTTTATGAAGTTCGTCGTGGTACTTGGTTCAACTCTGATGGGATTCCCTTAAGTGCGAAGTTATCTCAGCAAATTGAAGAGGGATATAGGTACAGAAAGGCCTACACTTTTGGAGAACAAGGGCCTAGTGAAAATCAAGTTGCAGAATCAAAAGATGAAGTTGCTAAGTTCAATAGAAAGGTGGAAAAGGAAGGAAAACCTGGGTTGGCTCTTGAAATTGATTTTGAGAAAGAAAAAGATACATTCGGTTTAGATAATGACCAAGTGGTATTATTCTGTAACTCTAGAGAAGCTGTTTTATTTCCTTCGTCATTTGATAGCAATTTTCAACTTGGTGTGATTCGTAGCTTTGGAACAAGCTCTGGCTCTTTGATATCTGTTGAGAAAATACAACGTGGTTACACGGATGACTTGCATGAAACCGTTTTTGATAATTTGACCACTAATCCTATTCCTGATTTAACGGATTTCTTTCAAAGTGAAATCTCTAATGCCTTTCACCCCGGTGATTCAGAGAATAAAAAAGTCAAAGATAATAAAGAAGAACCTGAAACCACTGTAAAGGAACATGACAAGAAAATGGAAAATGTTCTTGAATCCGATTTTGATCATGTTACTACTCCATTGAGTTCTGAGAGAGAGGTTGATCATCTTGTGTTATGCATTCATGGCATAGGTCAGATTTTAGGCCACAAGTATGAATCTGTTAACTTTGTCCATAGTATTAACGTTCTTAGAAATACTATGAAAGAGGTCTATCAAAATGATAAAGGCTACCAAGAAATTGCCTACCCTGATCATGAACAAAACGATGAAAACAAAAGTACGAATAATAGAATTCAAATCTTACCAATATCTTGGAGACATAAAATTGACTTTCATCCTCAAAAAAGTTTAGAAGCATATGATGATAGCGGTAAATTAAGGTTGCCAAGTTTAGCACAAATAAGTGTTGATGGTGTTAAATCGCTTAGAAATATTTTAGGTGATGTTGTCTTAGACATCTTACTTTATTATGAGCCAAAGTATATTAATCAAATTACAAAGGTTGTTACAGAAGAACTCAATCGTGTTTATTCCCTTTATATGGAAAGAAATCCTAATTTTAGAGGAAAAGTACATATTATGGGACATTCATTAGGTTCTGTAATCTCATTTGATATTCTTAGTTCACAAGCCAATAACAAGCCTACGGATGCTGACCAGGGGAAGGATTTATTGTTTGATGTTGATGACTTATTTTGTGTTGGTTCACCAATTGGTATGTTTAAGTTATTGGGGCAAAGTAATATAAAACCACGTTCTCTTTTGCCCGACGATTTTGATGCAAAGGAACAAAATACATTTGTTTCCCCAAAATGTTCTAACTTGTATAATATTTTTCATCCTTGTGATCCTATAGGATACAGGATGGAGCCATTAATTAATCCTGAATTCTCGCAATACAAACCAGAATTAGTTCCATTTGCTGTGAAAGGTTTGAACACTCAAATAAGAGAATTAGCACACTTTAGTGAAGAAATACAAGAAAAATTGTTCCGAGCTTCGAGTTGGTTTAATAGAGGAAGTAAGCCCGATAAGAAAGAGCCAGAAGAAACTAAGAGCATAGAAGAAAGGGCATCAGAAGAGAATGCTTTGGATGATATTTTATTTAGTTTAGCGAAATCTGAGAAGAAAGACGATAATAAAAGAAAGCTTAAGAAGAAAGATTTAAGCAAAGAGGATTTGGCCACTTTGACTCAAATGAATAAAAATGGAAGAGTTGATTACAGTTTGCCTATGGGAGTTTTCGATTTCTCTTTAGTATCTGCCATTAGTGCACATATTTCCTATTTTGAGGACAAGGATACTGCGGGCTTCATAATGAAGCAATTGTTACTTTCAAGGTCTTCTACAGTTGAGTCTAAAACTGTCTCATTATATGAATAATTGACTACACTTAATTTATATACCTCTCATAAAGTAATGTACATTAGATATTTATTCTATTAATAAATCATCAATACTTTGTTCTGCATCGTGTTTAATGAGTTCCAACATTCCTTCTGGTAATATTGGAGTTCCATCTTCGCCAACAATATATCTAAATGGCATTTCCGTAGCTTCATATTTATTATATCTTATTTCAGGGTAGTCTAAAAACTCAATATTTTCAAACTTAACTTGATCCTTTACGATTTTCTGAGTAGTTCTGATAGCTGTATCAGTGGTCATTTGTAAACTTCCCAATCTTCTACCAGCTAATCCATACTTTCTTCTCAAGATTCCTGTTCTATCAATTCTAGGATGAGAACCTAAAATTCCCCCAAATACAAAATAGTCAAAACTATTATTATCTTCAGGTACTAAATCAACCTCAGCTGCCGGATCCAATAAACAGATTTTGGATTTTTCGATGTTACCACCATCTATATCTACGCATTCCTTTGTAGTCCATTGCAACCCTAAATCTGATAGTCTAGATGGAATATCTTTTTCTGTGGTTGAGGGAGGTAAAGAAGTCAATATTAAATTCTCTTTACCCACTTCTCTAATGATTTGCGAATACTCCAAGATAACCCATTCGGAGAAACCCTCTTCCATATGTTCAATGACGTACTTCATTATTTCAGATTTAGTGTCAATGAATTAAGTCTAGTCTAAATTTTTTTTTTTTTCAGATATAATGAGCATACACAAAGTGCTGCAAAATCTGCCAGTGAAACATCTATTACAGAACTTGTTGAATAGCAAGAGAACAAGCAGGGCAATCTGATATATATACTACAATATAGATAACAATTTTCTGAAAGTAAGAAATTAGTACAAGTTCTAATCTTTTAAAAATTTTGGAGGATTGTTACAAAATACAAAAATTGCTCTAATTTAGAAATAACTAAGAACATGAATTTTAAATAAAATAAAGACTAACTATTTAGAACAACAAGATTCAGATGAGGTTTTACTAAAAGCCAACCTAGAACTATTATCAACGCCCAAAGAGCTTACCTTTGTGCCATTCATGCCATTCTTCACTTGTGTAGTAGTTCTTACGTAGGATGGCTTCACATCAAGACAAGGATTCTCAGTGAAAAAATTCCTTGGGCGTAACATAAGATCAAAAATTTCCGTTGGCATAACAGGGAAGTCTTCCGGCGCTGGAAAATGTGTGATACCGAATGTATGGAAAAACACGATGTCTGTATTTTCTACGTTGTCTTTACCGTCACCCAACCACTTATTCATACCTTGCACAGAATCTCCATCCCATTGACACACGAAGTCACCAGATGGATACAATCTACCATAACCGTAATCTTCGTCGTGGTATGGAACAACCTGAGTCGAATTCAAAGCCCAAGGAGCCCTTTTGCAAACAAGCGAACCTTCTTTAGCTAAAACGGGAGGACAAAATGTTGAGACCAACTTGTAAGATGCTGGTTTTCCAGAGTGAGGATTGATAGACTTTGGATTGAAAATATCCCAAGTTCTTGCAGTAGATGATTCAAAGTTAGTGAAAGAATCGCCAACTGTTTTAAATGTAGTTTTTTCATTGTAGAATGCATTGCCGTATTTGTTATCCTCAGAACCTAAAGGAAGTGGGGATTGTTTGCAATCACTTGTAGCGGCTGAGTTATTATCTCCATCTATTCTAGGATGGATTCTAAGGGAGAATAAATGCTGGTGGTTGTGTGCATTAACTTGAGGATAAACTTGTGTCCCCCAAGGTCCAACATCTTCATCTTCTGCACAAATATATGTGTTTAAAATGCCAGTCAATCTAATTTCTAATTTAACAGTACCATCTTGTCTAAATATCCAATATAAGCAGTACTCATAATTTGAAGCTGTGAATATTTGGGAAATAATTAATCTGGTACCTCTGGTAACAATAGTGGTTTGAAAGTCATCTCTAAAATCAGAATGCTTGAATAAAACCCCATCATCTTCTTCGTGTATACATATAGCATTCTTAATAGTACTAGGCTCACCATCTCTATCAGGGAAATGTGCATCCATGTAATGAATGACTCCTTTACAGTCGCATCCCAATGATAACGGGTTTGTACAATGCCCTGCACCATATTCCCCAATGTCTAATGCATGTTTACGGTGATGGGGATAGCCAGGTGAACCATAAGGAACTATCATTTCCGCCAATGAGATTCTGTGGAAAATGGGTCTAACTTTGCCATGGTCGTTGTAACAAACATCACTTAAAACAATCCCTTCTCTATAGTTGAAACCAATATGAAACTTAAAGTTTGACCATTCAATAATATTGCCGTCAAATTTAAAAGAGACACCTTCGGGTTGAGTAATGTTTATTGGTTTAGAATCTGTTCTATAACCCGACGGATTTTCCTTAGTTCCAAATTTGTCTTTGACATAGTCCGGATTGAAGTTAGCATGCTCATGCTTGGATACTTTTCTTCTCCTATTTGGAATGTCGATGTAAATAACTTTCCCTGCATTCATATCAACAATAGGACAGAAATCCAATGGATGAGAGTATTGCGAGTCATTCTCGTTTGATCTCCAGTACATCAATGCTTGTTGCAACCTTTTAGATGCGCCCCATCTTTCATCATATCCAATGGCCCAAGCATCGCAATAAATGTTTTTCATCTCCTCTTTTGGCACTCCACTGATCTCACATTGCTTTATCACAGCAGGATCATTTCTAACTATTTCTTCTGTAGTCCGCAAATCATCCGGTGTTAAAATTGGTTGAACGGCATCAATTTCACGCTTCTCAACAATCTTCTGACTACCGATATCTACCACTCCTTCCTGAAGAGGGCGCACCCCTTCTAAGATAACCACATAATATGCTAAACGAGGAGGGACTGGACCGTTGGCTTCCTTCCAGTTATAGTACGCTTTTTACTTGGCTCTCTCAATGTAATAGTATTGAAATTAAGCTTCTTTCCTGAATATTGCTGCTTGATTATGGTGCTTACCTCTTTGATTTCTTGCGCAGATAGTGGATCTAAAGGATGTAATGGTCTTTGTGGTCCTGAGCTTGCAGCAATTGTATGAGTTGCTAGCTGTTGCAATCTTTCCATCTTTAGTTACACGTTATTCACTTCTGCTATGGATATTGTAAATATGCTTTACTGTGTTCTTGCGATCTGCAGTTTCAAGAAGAAAGTAGTTACTTATAGTATATTTCTTATCAGTCTATGGTAGCGTATGTCCCAAAACAGTGAGTATTTCCGATGATAACGCTAACCGGAGAAATGACCCAATTGAGCGCGCATTCAGATCTGGAACTTATGCAGACTAACCACTAAGCTTACAGATAGGCCTAAGATTAAATCGATATTCACTTATTTATTATTACAGCAAGCTATATATAATGTATTCAGCGTACAAGAAATATTGAATATTCAATAAATAGAGCGTCCGAGCTTTGATTCGATTACCACTATCCAAATTAACAATGGTAATATCACTAAACATGATAAGTCAAGGACGATGCAACAACTGCTAAGGGTATCGTTCAACCAAATAAAGTTTTCCGATAATGCATTAACTAAGTCCAATTGGGAACAGTCTGCACTAGCGGTACAGGACAGTTGAATTGTATGCGTTAAATAGTTAATGAAGATCAGCGTTATGAACAGAACATTGTAGCTAATGGTGTGAGTTGGGGTATAGGTATATATGGTGATTAATTTGACCAAGTTTATGAGAACATCATTAAATAAGATCATCAAGCTCATGGATGCTGCAAGGATCAAGCTTCCATAGCACCATATGAATCTGGATAATAAGGAAGTAAATTGGGGGAAGTTCTTGAATTTGGGATGGTTTGCAACCTTGACAAAGATGGTGACAACGTCAACAAAGAAAAGCGTAAAAATAGCATAGAATATGTGATCTGACTTGACGGTGATATTTGAGTATTGCAAAAGAATTGCTGAAGAATTAAATAAGAAAATGTCGGGAACTATGCAATATGATATGACGGAGAGAATGGCAAACGAAATGCAATGCTTGACGAAAAACGTCCTGAGTGACGAGTGACCCACACTGAGCCTGGACTTGGATACTGACAATTCCATATCCAGATACTGGTATGTAGTCAAGTCATCGTCGAACGACACGGATTTCGAGAAAGACAATGGTTCCACAGTCTTCTCTACATCACTGCTGCTTTTGTCGGAGATGAATGAAATGTATTCCACACTTTTCATTATAACATTGGAAAAAATGTGGAACAACGCCATTGATACGACCGTTACCGATAATATTTTCACATCTTTCTGCAAGTAGTACATGTTTAGCACCGAATGAACATCTTCGTTGATAAAGTATCCTCTGAAATCCTTGGGCAAATTTTTATTTCCATCCAAGTATCTGATTGTGTTATCCAAGTTTAGCAATATGTTTTCTGTGAATCCTGCTATTAGAAAGTTCCACAAGCAGAGTCCGGTAAGAACAGTAGTCAAGCTTTTCAAATCATCTGAATGTTTTTGAGGCAATACCTGGCTCACCTTGTGGTACCTATATATATATAGCATCCCACAGACAGCACTTCCGCCCATCAGTGCTAATTTGTATCCATTGGTGTTCTCTGAAAACTTTTTAATCGTTTTGAGTATGGTAATCATCTGTATGCCATCGTTATTTAAGTCTGACATTTTTTTACTAGTATTGCTTCAAATTTAAACAATTATGTCTGGAATGACGTTCAATTAGTTCCAGTAATATATTATTTTCTCTTACAGGAAATAAACCTGAGTTTTATAATTTAGTCGTTTAGGAAATATAATTAGTTTTATAAGTTTTTCAGCCGTTTTTACCGAACTATAATTTAGCGTAGAGGGTAAACGATTTTCGCAATTACATTACTAAACGCGGACCGCCCGGTTTTATCTGATTTATAATGATTAGTTATACGTTAAGCCTAACAAGAATATATTTTTCTATATAACAACATTTAGTACAATGTCTAGCTTCTTCTAATGAAAACAAATTAGTGCAACAAATGAATGTATTTGTGTGAAATCAAGTATGGCTTTGGGACGATCAGGGTATTCAAATGTGACGGATGTACAAATATGCAATTAGGGCCGAAGGGTCGGCTATGAGAGAATATCGATTCCGAGACTTGATTTATTGCAGATACTGACAGGAGGTAATCTACAAACGATAGCAATTACTGTTATGGTCACACGAGGGGTAGATTTTATAAAGTATCATATATTCTTGAAAGAGATTCAAATTACAAATAGAGTTCAATAAACAGAATAAAAAAAATACATATTAGATAGAAATTGACTTACCAAACATTAATAATTTAAAAATTAATTATTTAATAAGCTTATAATTTATCATAGTATTCTTCGTAACCTGGAACTTCAGGCTTCATACCTTGACGTTCTCTCTTTTCCTTGACGATGTTACCGACCTTAGAGGTTGGGTCAGTTGGGTCACCGTTTAAGACAGCCCAGTGATCGAAGATCAATTGTGGGAAAGCTTGACCACCAGTAGATTGTCTTAATTCACCACTGAAACCGAAGGATTCATTGACTGGTAAGTAGGCCTTAACAGTGAACAATGGAGTACCTGGTCTTTGTTCTTCAGAGATAACTTGACCTCTCTTCTTGTTCAAGACGGAGTAGATACCACCAATGGCGTTTTCTGGACATTGGATTTCAACCAAGAAGACTGGTTCTTGAATAGCTGGTTCAGCTAATAACATAGAAGCGTAGGTAACTCTTCTCATGGTTGGGATAATTTGACCACCACCTCTGTGGATAGCATCAGCATGTAAGGTAACATCCAAGATGTTAATTCTGACAGATCTAACGTTTTCACCGAAAATTGGACCTTCCTTGGTAGCCCATTGGAAAGCAGCAACGACGGAATCCTTGATTTCGTTCAAGTATTGAACGGCCTTGGTTTGATCGACAACCAAGTTTGGACCGTTACCATCTGGACCGAAACACCAGATCTTTCTGGCATCAGTGACATCCCAACCGTGGTTGTCGGCTAAGATTCTAGCTCTGGCCTTGAAATCATCTCTTGGGTTAATAACACCCTTTTCAATGTCTAAGGAGACTTCTTCATCAATTGGTTGAGCCTTAACGTAAATTCTGTTATGCTTGTTTGGAGACTTAGATAAGGCGACCATGGAGGATTCAGCACCAACGGTTTCTCTGTAAGAGACAATTGGTGGGGAGATCTTCAATGGAATACCAGCGTGATCGTTTTGTAAATCAGACAAACAAATTTCCAAATGTAATTCACCAGTGGCAGCAACAATGTGTTCACCAGATTCGTTCATGGTGGTTAAGACACATGGATCGGACTTGGATAATCTCTTTAAACCTTCGACTAATTTTGGTAAATCGTTAGCGTTCTTGACTTCAACAGCGACTTGGACAACTGGGGAGACAGAGAACTTCATGACCTTCATGTTGTGGGAAGCTTCGTTAGTGGTGATGGTACCAGACTTCAATAAGAATTGATCGACACCAACTAAACCAACAATGTTACCAGCTGGACAGTCATCGATAGCTTCGACGAATCTACCCATCATCAAAACAGTTCTTTGAATAGCCTTGACGAATAAGTCATCCTTCTTACCAACTTGGTAGTTTGGACCTTGAATTCTGACCTTTTGACCAGACTTAACAGTACCGGCGAAAACACGACCGAAAGCGTAGAATCTACCCTTATCAGAGGTTGGAACCATCTTAGAGACGTACAACATCAAGTCAGCCTTAGGGTCACAGTTCTTAATAGCAATACAAGAAGCATCATCAGCTGGACCTTCGTATAAAGTTTCAGCTCTGTAAGCTTGAGCAGTAACTGGGGATGGTAAGTGAATGACAATCATTTCTAATAAAGCATCAGCGGCTGGTAAGAATTTTCTCATAACAACCTTTAATAAAGCCTTACCTTCTAATTCCTTTTCTTCAGCCTTCAAGTTGATTTCCAACTTTTCTAATAATTTTGGAATTTCATCTTTCTTGAAGTTCATGATAGAAGCGAAAATTCTGAAGATTGGGTCTAAGACGAACATGTTGAAAGCTCTTTCTAATGGCTTTCCATCAGTGTCCTTGTCCTTGTTAGTCCATTTCTTGGTCTTTGGGTTGAAGTAAGAGTCACCCCATAATCTTTCCATCATCTTAATTCTGTCAACACCAAACTTCTTGGAGTATCTGGTGGCGAATTGTCTGACGGTGAAAGCCCAACCGTGTAAACCGGAACCAAAAGCAACGGTACCCTTGTCTGGGTAGACTTGAGCATCACCTAAGCTGGAATCAACGTAAGTGGAGATAATAACGTTAACGGATTCAACAGTTCTGGAGAAAGATTGATATAAATCTTCCTTGGTGACTTGCAATTCTAATAACGCACGATCAACCTTGTTAATAATAACAACTGGCTTAATTCTTTCACCTAAAGCTTGACGTAAAACGGTTTCAGTTTGGACACAGACACCTTCAACAGTGTCAACAACAACTAAAGCACCATCGGTAACACGCAAAGCAGCGGTAACTTCGGAGGAGAAATCAACGTGACCTGGGGAATCGATCAAGTTAATCAAGAAAGAGTTACCTACGGTCTTTTGTTGGATTTCCTTACAGTCATCGTCAGCCATGGAAGCGAACAAGGAAATAGCGGTAGACTTAATAGTAATACCTCTTTCTTGTTCATCTTTTCTGGTATCAGTGAATCTGGCTTCACCGGCCTTGGCAGCAGAAATAATACCTGCTCTTTGAACCAACGAATCAGTTAAAGTGGATTTACCGTGATCGACGTGAGCAATGACGGACATGTTACGGACATTGGTAACCTTGTCCATCAAGTCACGGATTTGTTCAATAGTGAAAGCAACTATTAATATGTTAGTATCATTTGTCGTCAATGTGTCGTCAATCACCTCCATCACTCATCAAACCGTCAATTTTTGCTATCCCATCCCTTTCTGAAGTCTTCATCTCCTTGACAAAAATTTTCTCCAGCAAAAATTTTCGATTCTGTTGAATGATGGGCGGCTAATTATTTTTCACTAAAAATCTCTCTCAATTGTATCAATTCTTAGTTTATTTACTGCTTTCCATATATACATACCCATATTGATAGATTATTATTGGTGTTGGACGTTAGCTAATCAAAAAAAATCCTTTTAATAAAATGATAGGAAAAAAAAACCAAGGGAATGGCTACTGGAACCTGTCCAGCACGAGGGGATTGGTATCAAAATTTTTTGGTGATGGCTCAAAGTGAGATCGAAAAATTTTTCAGACGCCGGGTAATCCCTACTACTCGCAGTAAAAGTCATACTGGGACGGTGATTACCCGGAGTTTACAGGCCAATAGTACTGAAATAGAGGTTACAGGTGAAATTGTATACGATACTGAAGGAGTATAAGAGCAATGGGGGCTGCATAGCGTCCTGAGGAGAAGGTGAGGTAAGTGGGAGGTTTTCACGCAAAATTAACGAGTAATTAACGGTGGAGTGGTGAACAAAGTTAGAGTGTCAGCCATTCGGTCGTAGGACAAAGGGGCCAGGGTTGCGAGGAGATCGAAACGCAGCGGAATGTACCTGCACGTATGCTAGAGACTTGTTTGGTGTAGGGATGTGGTGTATTGAGGTTTTATTAAATGAAACCTGTAAAAATTGTAAATTAGAAGAACCTGCAAATGACTCTGATACGTGAAAAATCGCTACTAGGAATAAGAGATGGATAGCGGATGGATTTGCAATAATACATCCTAGACACACTATAAGATGCCAGCTATAACAGTATTGATATCCGGGTCAGGATCGAACTTGCAAGCTTTGATAGATGCGGAAAAAAGAGGAGAACTTGGCGGTACGATCACACAGGTGGTTTCTTCGAGCGAGACAGCGTATGGGTTGACGAGAGCATCGGAGGCTTCAATTGGCACCAAGACACATATTTTGAAGAATTACTACAAAGGGACCACGAAAGAGGATAAGGTCGAACGCCAGGCGAGAAGAGAGAAATTTAATGAAGATTTGGCCAAACTCTTGATCAATGGGGACATTAGTGACACTCCAGTGGATGGATATACCAAGCCAGATTTGGTGGTGTGTGCGGGTTGGATGTTAATTTTGTCTCCAACGGTATTGACACCATTGGAGAAGGCAGGGATAACAATCATCAACTTGCATCCTGCATTGCCGGGTGCTTTTGACGGCACACATGCTATTGAGAGAGCGTGGAAAGCTGGCCAGGCAGGAGAGATAAGTACTGGAGGAGTGATGATTCATAAGGTTATAGCAGAAGTTGATAGAGGAACACCAGTGCTTGTCAAGGAGCTCGATTTACGCAAAGACGAATCATTGGATGATTACGAAACTAGGGTGCATGATGTCGAACATATTGCGATTGTAGAAGGTACAAATATAGTGTTGAAAGAATTAGCCAAATAGGAATTAAACGATATTTACATTAAACTGTAACTATACAATTTCATATTATCACTACGCATTTTAATCCTATTTTATATATTTAATGTAGTAATAAACTAAATGAAACAATTACTAGCCTTGCGATTATAATCTGGTAATAACTTGTTCAGTGAAGTGTTGGGTAGTAGCAGTACCGTATAAGTCACCAGTTCTGTTTTCCTTACCGGAGGCAATGGTATCTAAGACAGCCTTTTCAATCTTATCAGCATCAGAGTTTAAGGACATGTGTCTCAACATCATACAAGAAGATAATAACAAAGCGGTTGGGTTAGCTAAACCTTTACCGGCAATATCTGGAGCAGAACCGTGGACGGCTTCGAAAATGGAGACCTTGTTACCCATGTTACCCGATGGAGTTAAACCTAAACCACCGATTAAACCAGATGATAAATCGGACATGATATCACCGTATAAGTTAGGCATGACCATAACAACGTTCTTGTAGTCAGATGGGTCAGCAGTCAATTTCAAGGAAGTGTTATCTAACAATTCGAAATCTAACTTGATGTCTGGGTATTCCTTACCGATTTCCTTGGCGGTAGAAACGAATAAACCATCAGATAACTTCATGATGGAGGCCTTGTGAACAACAAGAACGTGTGGCTTGTTGATGGATTTGGCGTATTCAAAAGCGTATCTAATAACCTTTTCGGAGGCTGGCTTGGTGATCAACTTGATAGATTGCACAACACCTGGAACAATGGTGTGTTCAATACCCGAGTATTCACCTTCGGTGTTTTCTCTGATTAACACGGTATCGACGTTCTCGTATGGAGTGTCGTATCCGACAACCGACTTACATGGACGAACATTGGCAAACAAGTTGAAAGTTCTTCTCAAAGTCAAGTTCATAGAGGTGTGACCCTTACCAACTGGGGTGGCTAATGGTCCCTTTAATGCAACTAAGTTTCTGTTGACCGAATCGACAGCAGGTTGTGGTAAAGTAGTCTTACCATCAATTAATAACGGAGTAACGTCAACGGATTCCCATTCGATTGGAATATTGGCAGCGGCGTAGATATCCTTAACGGATTGAGAGATTTCAGAACCGATACCATCACCTTCAATCAAGGTCACGGTATACTTACCATTAGCCTTCTTGCTTCCAGTAAATTGACCGGCGATGTAAGATCTAGTGAATCTTGGGGAAATTGCTGATTGTCTAGTTATCTGTCTGAACATTCTGTTAACAATACGTTTAATTATTCTTATTAATCAAGAAGATGAAAAATTTAAGGATAATTGTCTCTGCGATTATATGATTTTCCGTTGATATTTTTTTTTTCAGACCAAAAGTTAAAGACTGAGCATTAAATCCCTTCCGACGCCGTTCGACCAATAAAATTTGAGAAGTCCAGATGTTGCTTCGGAGCCGAAATGCCATATCTCTGCGGACTTATATTGACCGATCTACACTAATAAAAGTTTGTTGTAGAGGGGATTTATATGTGTAGTGATGGTAATGAACATCTATACACGTTAAATAACCAGTGTATGACTCTTTTACCAGAAAAGTAGGTCCAAATGTGGGTTTTCTTGCCAGATGAGTGTGTATTTCACCGAGCGCAGCACAACCGATACTCCGAACTTGCAGGCGTTTTGTAAAATAAGGGAAGGCATTCTATGGATATTCACATATAGGACATCGCATAGGATGAGAGCCTAGATGGATTGTTAGAGGATATTTTCCGTGATACCTGCTCTTGTTCACTAAATAGTATTTTGCGCAAAAATTTTGCAATCATTGTTAAGCGATATATACATTACATTTCGAATCTAGTGGCATATTCTCTATTAGAGCACAATATATATATATGGATTTGCATAGAGTCTCAGACACAATTTTTTTGCTTACATATTAATGACAGCTCTGATACAGTCACCAGCATGCATATCATCGAATGCGGTGTTGATCTTCTCTAACTCGTGTCTGTGAGTTATGAATTCATCAACCTTTAAGTCTCCGTTCATGTAGTCTTCGACTATGCCTGGCAATTGTGATCTACCCTTGACACCACCGAATGCGGCACCCTTCCATACTCTACCGGTGACTAATTGGAATGGTCTGGTGGAGATTTCTTTACCAGCAGCTGCAACACCAATGATGATGGAAGTACCCCAACCCTTATGACATGCTTCCAAGGCATTTCTCATGACGTTAACGTTACCAGTACAGTCGAAGGTGAAGTCACAACCACCGTCGGTCATTTCAATCAATTTGTCCACAATAGAAGTGTCGCTAGGTAATTTAGCAGAATTAACAAAGTCAGTAGCACCAAATTTTTCAGCCCATTCTTTCTTGGAGTCATTGATATCTACAACAATAATCTTGCCTGCCTTTCTTTGAAGAGCACCTTGGACAACAGACAATCCAACACATCCAGCACCGAAAACAGCAACATTGTCTCCTTCACCAACATTAGCAGTAATAGTAGCGGCACCGTAACCAGTTGTAATACCACAACCTAACAAACAAGTCTTGTCTGGTTGAGCCTTTGGGTTAACAGCAACGACTGAGATGTCAGCAACAACAGTGTATTGGGAGAAAGTCGAACATCCCATAAAGTGCAATAAGTCCTTACCCTTGCACTTGAATCTTGAAGTTCCATCCGGCATAACACCCTTACCCTGAGTTGCTCTGATCTTACCACATAAATTGGTCTTTCCTGACTTACAGAATTTACATTCCTTACATTCAGGAGTGTATAAAGCAACTACACTATCACCAACCTTGACATTTTCAACTCCTTCACCAACACTTTCGACAATACCGGCACCTTCGTGTCCCAAAACAACCGGGAAAGCACCTTCTGGGTCAACACCACTCAATGTATAAGCATCTGTATGACATACACCGGTGTGCAAAATCTTAATACGAACTTCATGAGCCTTTGGAGGAGCAACTTCAATATCTTCAATGGTTAATGGTTTACCTGCTTCCCAGGCAATAGCAGCCTTACATGTAATAGTCTAAACAATAATGTTAGTTTTGTATACAAAAATAGAAAATGCAATGAATTATGGTAACTTCCAAGGTTGCATTCACTTTTGGGGATGTCCGTTCCTGTTCCTAATTAACTTCATTTACCATTCTTCAAACTGTAGTTTTTTCAAACTAATATACTAATACTTACTTTACCAACAGTAGAGTCAGACATTCTAACTTTTATGAATTCAATTCTTTATAATAATCAAGCAATTATCTTATTCCTTAGAGCAAGTTGTTATCATCTTAAATGATTTGAAAAATACGAATATCTGTTCGTTCACGACCTTGCTTACAAATTTTGTTCCATACCATATCTCGGAATGATTAAATAACTCGGATAATCATAATGTGAAGCATAGATTACAGTAAATCTACAGATAACAATCGAGCATGTGGAGAGATGAACAATAATTGAATTTTCGTTGGTAATTTCTCCCAGCTAGGAATTTTACTGCAAAATCTTATGAGAGATAACTCTCATTCATTTCTTCATAATATATTTATAAAACTATTAGTATATATTGTTTACAATACTGCACCAAAACCAAAAGTAATCTTTATAGATCTAATGTAGTAGTCCTCAAAATTACCTCTAACTCTATCCTCTTCACCGACCGGGATACCAGACCATTTCACAACCATTTTTGTTTCACCCGCACCCTGGATCAATTGCATGTCTAATTGGGCATAATGGCCCGACTTCCAGTCTTCTAATCTCCATAATTGTACGATCTTTTCGTTTGGAACTAATTTTAAGAATTTTCCACTGATGGAGCCCCCAAAAAGGCTGAATTCGGAACCTTCTTCTGGTGGGAAGCTTCCCATCGATGGGTTGGATCTACTCCATGCAGCAACACGTTGCTGGTCCAAAAGGGTAATATACAATTGCTCAGCGGTGGTGTTGAAAGTAGGTTCCAAGTGTAACGTGGATGTGTTATATTTTGGTACGGACGAGTTTGATTCCGATTTTGCAGCTGCCGCAGCCGATGGCGAGTTCTTTTGGACTGGCGGAGTTGGATTAGACGCTTTCTTTGCCGCAGCTGGTGTGTTCTGAGCAGTTTCTTGATTGGCCTTGGTATAGGTCGAGTTAACTTTGTCAGAGGACAATTGAATATCAGAACTATGAGTAGTAATCAAGTCGTGGCCGAATTTAATCAAACTATCTCTTAATTTTGGTAACAATTCTTTTTTAATAAGTGGTCTCATCTTCTCTGAATCGGCATCTTCGTTGTAGATGCTGATATCGAATTGTAAATCGTCTTCAGTCGAATCATATGCCAATTCAGGGACTGTGATGGAACCGGAAAATTCGCCCTCTTTTTTAGACTGAGAAACCGAATGCCCTTTGATCTCAAAGACAACTTTCAAGTCGAAAAGTGAGATAACCTTTCCCTTACGTTGACAAACCTCGACATCTCCTTCAACAGATGAAATTGATTTGACAAATACATCCTTATCGTCTCCAACAGCAGATATATTGACTAATTTTTCGTTGAAATACTGTCTCGTCCAATCAATACAGTTTTTGTCGACCCAATGCCAGTTATTTGGATTATGCACAACCATTTTTAATACTAACTTCTATAATATATTGGGTTTTATCGTGGATTATCTATGATTATATATATACATATGGTATGGAAAAATCTAGAAATTTCATGGACTCAATATCGTCAAATTACACAAAATCACCAAATACTAGTTTAAGGTCTACAAGTCTACAATACGTCTTTTTCCAATATATGTATATTAACAGGCATCTCTACGTAAACTCTAGGCATCAACTTCCATGGCATCATTGGTGCCAGAACTGAAAGGGATAACCGTCTCTTCAACGTCGACTAACTCACGCACGCTTTGCCTCAACACGGCAGTCGTACCTCTTGGGAACTTGTATGATCTGGTCTTTTCAGATCTCACATTAGGAGTCAAGTAGTTTCTGAATAATTCGGCATCCTTTCCAATTTCCATGACACACAAGTCAACATTGGAACCAGAACCCAAATCGTTCCAGATACCCAGCTCGATGGCATCGGCGACCAACTTCATGGCCTCTTCTCTAGACATGTCTGGCCTCCAGTGGGTTTCCAACACCGCCATTGCCGCCAAGGATCCAGATCCTAATGATTGATATTGTCCAATGTCTGTAGAACCATGCGCTTGTACCGATAACAAATGTGCTCCGGTTGGGTCAACTCCCGCAACAATAAGATATGCTCCCAAGTGTCCTTGGTATTTGAATAAATGCTGCTTCAATAACGTCAATGCTGTGATCACTCTTGGTTTACGGTTTTGTGATAATGAATGCAATTCCAAGTTGGAGGCTATCAATTGGGTCACCATCTCGGTGTCCGCAGCGGTACCAGCACCAGCACACCAAATTCTTGGGGCCAATCTATGTAATTTTTCACAATTCTTATCTGCCACAATACTACCAGCTGTAGCTCTAGTATCTGCCGCAATTACAACTCCTCCCTTAAATTTACATCCGACAATCGTGGTACCAGTCGATGTAGCTGTTGGCGCACCAAATCCTTTGGTGGTTAAAAAGTGATTTCTTTGATAATTATCAAAACTTAATCCCGGCATACTCTTACTATTGATTCAACGATGTATGTACCAATATGATCTTCCAATTCAATAATTGATTATAATACTTAAAGATTCGTTTATATTCTTTCTAACATCTTTTTGCCTCCCACTTGTTCTGATATTGATACATAATTCGCGCACGACACGGTATGCATTTTCGTAGCCTTGATCTTGCAAACAAAACTACGCCAAGATACATAGTTAATCCTATATACTACACTATCAGAGTATTAGGTTTTATAGAAGCTCGAAATGGTGGATCGATATAGATACATAAATCCTTCGAGGGTTAGGACGTTAGTGGTTCCAATAAATGATTGTTCACAAGCAGACTTTGCCAGATATCTCGAATTGGTACGATTGAATGCTAACGAAGTCAGGCTATTAGATGTGACACCTATACCGCAATTACAATACTTCAATCCACAGACGTTTCCGCACGGAAAGGTGATGTTTGAATATGAATCGCATGCGCCTGAAGCAGAGTCGATCTTCTTGCATGATTTTGAGCCGTATCGGAAGACGTTTATTATAATTGGGGTTGGAAAGTACGATGAAGGAGTGACGTCGAAGAAACAGCAGGAGCAGGTACTTGAGAATTTGAGGAAGTGGCATCCAAGCTCTATAGTGCATAATGTTATTTACTTTGATACTCCAGGAGACATAATTGGTGATTTGAACCCCTCGAGCGATCATTCCACAAAGGAGGTGTTTTATCACGAAGGATCATTGGAGCACAATATTACGGCACTAGAAACGCTCATGTGTGAAGTCACTAGAAACTTTTTAACGGCATTGGATAGCTATGCATCATCATATTTGAACATAACATTGAGGTCTCCGGTCTCCATAAGTGATAGCCACAATCTAACCAAAACTATAAGTAAAGCGCAGAAAAGGATAAGTTCAGGTTCTGGGTCATTTAAGGTTTCATTCTCGTCGAATTCGAGCACAAATGGGGCGACGTCAGCATCAGACTTGAAATCAAAGTCTCAACAACGTCACAATGGGAGGCAGGCAAAACTCTTGGGTAGTTTCTATTTATTGGCAGGTAAATATTCAGATGCATTAGAGCACTATACAGATTCTATAGCGAATTTGAAGAAGTGTGATGACTATTTATGGCTTGGAAGTGCACTCGAGGGTATTGGAAACTGTGTTGTCTTGATGCATTTCTTAGGCATATCGTACAGTTTATCAAGTGCCACCATAATTTCTGTGTTACAAATTTCCAAGAGTAAGTTGAATGCAATAGCATCCGCAGTATCCTCCACGAATATGGAAAGTTCTTCCCCCAAAAAGATATCATCGGATTCATTGTCTCATAATAGTTCTACAAATGGACATTTATCTGTACCACATTCAGTCAATTCTCCAAGAAATTCCAGCAGCAGCACGATAAATTTTAATTTTGCTTCCAGTGTTCCTGGTTCAGGTCCAGATTTAAATGCCTTGACCATTCCTGAACTAATAAAATTGATATCTTCAAAGGTTTTACAATATTATCAACTAAGTACCAGTGATTACGAAAATATGGTCCCTGACTTAGTTTATGTGGAGTCATTATTGAGATTTATTAAATTTATGATTTGTATATATCTTGGTGGAAATGAGTTGAACTCAATGGTAATGGAGAGCATTGTGAAATCAATACCTATCAATAACAAACTGAGTATTTATTCGGCCAAAGATGATAGATCGTGGTTCCTGAAACGAGATATACTTAAAGAAATTGATAAAGTATTTTCTTTGCAATTGATTGATATGGAGTTGATTGATCAATGTAGAATTTATTGTTGTTTAGCAACCATGTACAATGATTTAGAGTTATTCAGAAAAAAAGCCTTTATTCTTCGAGTTTTGTTAGTTGGCTTGCTCCCTAAATTGGAGTTGGCTGCTAAAGAGAAAGAAGATAAGACTGATTTTGATACCCAAAAGAATATTTCAATTATCTCATTTGAGGGTACATCTCCCAATGGGAGCCAGGTTTCCAGTATTAGACAAATATATGAGTCTTTATTCGAGATCTACAAAATAAATGAAGAAACAGAATGCTCCTTGAATTCTGCCTCGTATCATGGCCAGAGTAATTGGGTTTCATTGCAGTTGTCCTTTTTAAAGTTATGTTTGAAGATTTCAGAAACAATAAAAGATTATCCTTTTTTGATGAAATTATGTACATTATTATTAACCCGTTATTCTCATTGTTTGCCTATTGATGATCAATGCAAATTAAAAGAGAAAATTGAATGGTTAGCTTATATGTCGCATAAAAATAACTCTAATATAGTGGCACCATATTGGGATCCATTTTTAGTCAGGAAAGTGAAATTTATTAGTAACAGAAACAAAGATGAATTGATACCCTTTGCTGAATACCAAAAGACATCCAATAATGTTGGATTAGTTGATGGGTTGCCAAGCCGTAATGTCTCCGGTCCTTCTGGCTCTAATCAACCCTTTGTTTTCAATCCCTTCAATAAAGCAAACAATACAGTTACTAATAAGGATAGGTTGCTAATTAAAGATGAAATTTACCAATTGAAAGTAAGCTTGCAAAATCCATTTGCTTTTGAAATCGAGCTTAATGATTTAACTATTGTTACAGATGGAGCGGTAACAGTACAGACTTTAAAAAGTTTATTAAAACCAACTAGCAATAATAATTTATATCAAGCTCATTCCCCAAATTTGAATTCATATAACAATCGAAGTAGACCTAATAGCATCAATAATAAAATGCGGTCTGCCCCTCATATTTCTACTACCCAAAAACGGTCTCAGTCTACACTTTTCAATAATAACCAAGCTCAGATAGACGCACAGCCTTCTCTGAATGCCTTCAGTGGGACAAGTAGCGCTATAACGATTGCTCCTAAATCCGTAGAGCAATTATTGGTGGCATTTAAGCCTTTAGAATCGGGAGAACTAAGTATAAAAGGTTTTGAGATTGCCATTTCTAATTGCCAACTTCAGTTTTTCCATATTGTCGACAAAGAAATTTACAATGGATTACTGAAAGTGAAAAAGGATTCTATCAATGCTGGGGCCACTGATAACATTATTGAAAATCTAATTGGAAACAAGATTGAATCTCGAGCTATTACAAAGACTTTAAGTCTCACAGTAGTCCCACCTCAGCCAAATTTGACTCTCACAAACGTCCTGTTGACAAATGGTTGGCTAATGTTACTTGAAGGTGAAAAGTATAGGTTTTCGATTAGTTTATCAAACCAATCAAATGAGTTAATTAATTATCTTTCGTTTTCTTTCTGGGATTCTACAATCGAGCCATTGAATAAGAAATTAAACTCTGTTGGTATTAATAATAACCAAAATATGACAGCGTCTGATATTCATGAAATTGAATGGCTTCTATTAAAGTTCAAACCATTCAAGATATTGAACAAAGATGAAATCAGTAGCTTTTATAAGACCATTGAACCTCGTGGGGACATTAAGATTGATTATGAAGTGACTGGCAAACGAGGTATGAATGAACTGAAGATTATTTTGGAATACTCTCACAAACAATCCAATGATGCATTAAAGAACTTTGTTAAGCATGTTCATGTACCTTTAAGTTTATCAGTTGTTCCTTCGTTTGAAATGGTTGGTTTTGATATTTTGCCTCTTTTGTCTTCGTCCCTACAAGGTCTTGAAGACAGAGACCTTACGACTCAAGAGGGAGATTTGTTTGAAGGAAACCTTGAAGCAGTACTAAATTTTATTACCGAATTGACAGAAAGGCAATCAGAGAAAGTTTCTGATTATTGTTTGCTCGTAATCGATCTTAGAAATTCCTGGAATGAAAAGCTTTCAAGTCATCTTACTTACCAAATAAATTCGGTAGATAAATTTAGTGTGAAAGAAGATATATCATCGGGAAAAACTACAAGATTTCTTCTTCCAGTTAAAAGAATTTCAAGCAGAGACTTGGATTTATCTAAACCTATTCCATCGCTACGCAACAAGCAATACATCAAGAACTATCTGATTAGCGAGGAAGAGGAGAGGACTATGAGAGAATTGTTCTGGTTGAGAGAAAGTATTTTAGAAAAACTAATGGGTACATGGGAAACTATTCCCAACAAAAGTACAAAGCAAAGATACGGTACTATCGAGTTAAGAAATATTAGATTGACTCCTAAAATGGCCAATGTACTCATCTATTCTAAGATACAAATGCATCATCAACTTTACAATGAAAATGAGCCAAATACTTCAATTAAAAGAAATGGATCTCAATTTCATCTACAAACTGAAGAATTTTACACATTACGAACAACAATCTGTAATGATACTGATACGAGTATATCCGGTATGCTAAGAAATTTGCCATATCCACTAGCATGGCCCATTCCTCAATCCACTTTTGCCAACAGCGTAACATCAAACTTCGCTAAAAATCAAATGTCTATTGATAGGCGAATTTTAATCAACGGAATACTCCAAACTAGCATAGGTGAAGATCCCATCCTTCCCGGCGGAACTAGAGAACTTGACCTAAGTTTTGTCATATTAGAAAAGGGTGAATACGAATGGGGCTCAGTCTTTGATATATTCAACAAGGAAGGATTGAAGGTTGTTGGACGAGAACCCATTTACATCTCTGCATCTTAGTCATTATATAAACTCATGAATATATTATTTATTTATTGAATCATAGAAGTAGCGTATATACAAGTAAAGTTGAGTAGGATACTATATTTTCATCTTGGTCCTAATTTAAATGGCAATGGCTGAGCATTTTCGGCTTCTAATTTTTCAATATATCTTTGTCTAATTAAGTCATTATATCTTTTCTCTTGGAAATACTTGAACCAACTGGCCACACACTTGTTTTGAAAATTGTCCCTCAAGTCTCCGCAATTCTTTTTGACATTATTCTCTTCTTTAGGATCTAATGAATTATCAATCTTATTTTTTTCCAAACAAGCAAAAAATCCATCACGAGCTTCCCAGCATTCCTTTCTCTTGGATTTGTTCGGTGGCTTTATGGGCACTTCTTCCTTATTGAATAACCCCATAATATAATACAATTACAATACAAAGCAGTTAAACCTGTAAGGCATTTTGACTTCATCGAATTATGTCCCCATTCTCAATCCGGTCAAATTTACGTGCAAAACCGGAATAGATTCATTGTAGCTATTGCAAAAAAAAAAATCGTATAAAAGCTCGTCACTTCTGCCATCACTACTCCACAAAGACATTAGAAAAGGCATTAAAGATCAAACGAATATGACGACCCAGAAGTCATCAGAGATTCCAAAAACTGCCGAGGATGCTAACTACGAAATTGACGTTCAGGAAGATAGTGATCACCCTATCTTTAAAATTAAGTACAGATCCAACTCCGTAATTAGTATCGGAGCTCTTTCAGATGGATCCAGTTACGAGAACTTGCCAACTGTCAAGGTTCTAGGAACCGGGGGTACTATTGCATCGAAAGGTACGTCCTCGCATCAAACTGCGGGCTACGAAGTGGATTTGACTATTGAAGATCTTATTCAGAGTATCCCAGACTTATCGACTACTTGTAATTTGCAATATGAACAAGTCTTGAATCTTGATTCCAAAGATATTGGAACATCTGAATTATTAACGTTATACCAAAAAATCCAGGAAGATTTGCCTAAGTACGATGGTATAGTCATTACTCACGGTACTGATACTATGGAAGAAACCTCATTTTTCTTGCAATCAACGTTACGTACAAGTAAGCCAATTGTGATGTGTGGTTCTATGCGTCCCTCTACTGCCATTTCTTCGGATGGTCCTATGAACTTGTATCAAGCAATTGTTATTGCGGCTCATAGAGACTCTAGAGGTAGAGGAGTGTTAGTTGCACTTAATGATAGAATCGGAGCAGGTTTCTATATCACCAAATCTAATGCTAATTCGTTGGATACCTTCAAATCAATCGGTCAAGGATATGTAGGAAGTTTCGTGAATAATGAAGTCCATTACTTTTTCCCTGCTGCTAGGCCTCTAGGCATAACGTATTTTAAGCTATCGAATCCTTCTGTGTTGGCTGATTTACCAGAGGTGCCAATCATTTTTGCTCATCAGGGTTTGAATAATAAAATCATAGAGCTTACAATCAAAGAATTAGGTGCAAAAGGGTTGGTGTTTGCTACTATGGGTGCAGGATCAATGGCAAAGGGAACAAATGAATTTGTTTGCAAACTATCGAAACAGTATAGCAATATACCAATTATCTATTCCAAAAGATCTATGGATGGTATGGTACCAGTGGGATCATTACCAAAGATTTCTGATGAAACAGGAAAACCAATCGACTACAACAACGCCATTGCTAGTGGATATTTAAACCCTCAAAAATCAAGAATTTTGTTACAGTTATGTCTCAGTGATGGTATGGAAATTAATGAGATTAAGAGGATCTTCAAGGGAGTATACGGTGGTTGAATGGCTGCGCACAATTGTTCATTAGGAGTAGAAAATTTGATAGATCTAATACATAATCGTTATTACAAATTAATATAAAAAATCATGCTAAACAGGTAACAAAACAATAAATAACATAAATAAAGAATGATCCAATTAAGTAGACAAATACATTATCAAAATAGTACAACTAAGAATTGTTGTAAGCTTCGTCAACCTTGTCTTGACAAGAAGCCAAAATTTTCTTTCTTTGCAACTTTTGAGCCGAGGTAACGAAACCGTTTTGTGGGGTCCATTCATCATCCAATAAAACAACTGTTTGAATCAACTCAATTCCCTTTAAACCTTGACTTTTACCAGTTTGAACCAAATGTTTGGTGACAGCCTTAATAACCTTCTTATCATCACATAAATGAGCCAATTCCTTTGAATCAGCTTCCAGCTGAGAATAAACTTTTTCATCAGCTAAGAACGATTTAAGGTTAGCTTCATTTGGAAGAATGATTGCGATTGGTTTAACCTTTGATTGGTCTGCATATGCACACAAATTCAAAACTACTGGGTTTGATCTGTAGACAGACTCTAACTTTTCTAATGCAATATATTCACCGTTCAAAGTTTTTACCAAATTCTTCTTACGGTCAATAATTCTTAAAGTACCATTAGGAGCCCATTCACCAATATCACCAGTCCTGAACCATCCATCAGGAGTGAATGCTTCGGCAGTCTCCTTTTCATTCTTGTAGTATTCTTTAGTAACACAAGGACCAGTAACTAAAATCTCACCTTGGTTATTCTTGGCGTAGTAACCAGCATCAGCAACATCAATCAACTTGGCAGTGATTGCACCTGTCAATGTACCTACAGTGCCATATTCAAAACGTTTGTGTTCAACGATGGTGGTATTAGCACAAGTTTCAGTCAACCCGTATCCGAGCAACATTGGAGCGATCAAATTAGATACAAAGACTTGGGCATCTTTTGAAATTGGTGAACCACCATTAAGCACATATCTTAACTCACCACCAGTAGCAGCCTTGACTTTCTTAAAAATAACGTCAAATGCACCAGCACCTGGGATATGGTAGGCCTTAAACGCAGCCTTGGCGTGGTATGCGGTCCAGAAGATCTTTTGGACAATAGCACTTTCTTTTCTAATTTTGGCTAAAACTCCTTTTCTAACGGATTCCCATACAGCAGCAACACCAACCATGATATGTGGCTTGAATTCTACTAAATCAGATTGACAATTTCTGCATGACGCGTCGGTCAAGGTCTTGACGTTGGCATACCCTAAACATCCACCCCACCAGAATGCAACCAATTCAAAGGCCAACTCAAAAATATGAGCTAACGGCAAGAAGGCTATAATACGATCATTGTTAGTGACAAGCGATCTATCGGCGTTTGTGGAAATACCACCAAGAGCAGCAAGAATATTCCTTTGGGAAAGAACAACACCCTTTGGTGGTCCAGTAGATCCGGAAGTATACATGATACAAGATAAGTCTGCAGGAGAAGGTTTAGTAAATCCGATGTCTTTGCTGGTCTTGCCCAACTCAACACATTCATTGAAGGAAATAAACTTGATGTCAGGTCTGTTCTTTAAAATCTTTTCCTTGGCGGCAATGGCATCACCATAGTATTTGCCTTGCATTCTCTTGTCATTAGGATCCATTTCGTCAAAGTGGATGATGTATTTAACAGACGTGGCCTCCTTCAATGGTCTCACCAACAGCGCTAACAAGGTGTTATCAGTGAAAATGGCTTTCAGCTCAGTTTGCAACAATGAGTGGGTCAATCCACTTTCTCCCAATGTGTCATAGGCCGTGACGATAGGAATACCCTGGAATTGGGCAGCCAAAAATGTCTGCATCCATCTATGCGAAGTCTGAGCGTAAATGTGTAACTTGTCAACCTGACCAGGATTCAATCCCAACTTCACGAGCCCTTTACTGTAATTCTTCACTAATTCTAACAATTCTGGATAGTCAATAAAGCTGTATTTAGCGTATTCGTAGTAAACCCAATCCTTGTCCACTTGGGTCTCCTTACCATCGATCATCTTGGTCACCTTCTTTGTGTCAATGTGTGTGTTAATAAATTCTCTCCATCCAATGGCAGGTCTCTTACCTTGTCTCTTGACACATTCCTCGAAATAATCCGACAAAACGGTTGCCTTCGAGTCGGTGGGTCTTTCTAACGCTGCTTCTTTTTGAGATGCCTTCCTTCTTGGGGCCGTTTCTCCGGACTTAGCTTCTCCGACTGGAACTGTAAGCGCTACTACCATATTGTCTATCGTATATCCTAGTATTTACTCCAAATAGTAAAGTTTTATATAACTAATTGAATTATAGAGCAAAAGAACTAATATAAATGAATGAAATCCCCAATTCCTTTCTGCTATTCGTGTGATAACAATTTCGTTCTATGCGAAAAGAGGGGTTTAGCCAGAGAAAATGCTATGTGTGAGAGAGACAGGGAATATGAAACTATTAGTGCAGGGGATTATGCCACAAGCTAGCTATTGCTACCACAATCACCCTCGGATGATTATCCTTTAATCCAGGGATCCCCAACTTCCCTAAAGCGGAGTTTAATTAGACAAAATATTCATTTAGCATACTAAATAGGTTTAAGCCGTTCCCTGCCAACCATTACGGAAATCCCAGGGTGCGAGGAACTACAGCGACAGCGACCGCGGAGCCAGCAGCCACTAAATGAGATCTGAGTGGTGGAAAGTGTTGGGTACAGGTCGGCCCAACAAAATCGCGTGGGTGCATGTGCTGGTGTGTAGATGTTTTAGTTAAAGTCTCCTACTAAAGTATGAAGTCCTTGTCCCCCACTGGGGTGTGTGTATTGGAGAGAGGTTAACTACTACACTAGATACAGTAGTTACAAATAGCCGGTAGTGTAATTTTGCGGCTATTTTACGTAAAAGATAGTAATTGTTAGTTTGGAGGATAGTATTTAATCATAATCTAAGTAGGAAATGTGCGCAATAATGAAGCTTTAAGCAAGATCTGTTGCTTGACCAAACAAAATGAACGTATCTAGTGTCTTAAGATGCAATCATCATGTGATCACGATTGTGGTTGGCGAGATTGTGATAAGAGTATGATAACAACCGGCTTCGGATATGACCTAACATGATGCTTCGGCGAGATAACGATGCGTCTTCAGGATTGGCTCTGGCAGCTCGGAGACTTTGTGAGATAAAGTGTTGCAGTGTTCAATCTCCAGATAATTGTAACAACCATAAAGCTGTCATTGTTGCAGATACCATAAATAGCTCCAAACATTGTGCCACACAACGCGCGAGTGAACTTTTTTCGCGACAGATAAGATTGCAACCTTTAGATAAGAAAAGTATAATAGACCTGTGCCTCAAGATTGCCACTGTGGAGTACAAGTGATGGATGATAAGAAAATAATCGAATATTCAAGTGGAGTGTGGAGTCAATCTAGATAATTTCTGCTACGGCCTATACATCAGATAACAAATAAAACAATTATGGTATGTGGGGTCCATATTTTTTCACTTATCATAGATTAGATTAAAAATCAATGCTTCACCGTGATTTGTAAAAGATAACTATTATGTCACCGATAACGATGGAAAACTCTGTAGGGCACGGAGAGAAATCGAATGAGATAGCAATAATTAGTGGGTAAAGATAACGAAAACAGAGAGTGTGCAATATCACGATAATTAGTGGGTGTAGATAACGTAGCTAGAGTAGAATATTGGACAAAAGATAAAACCTTAGTCAATGATAACATAGAAAATTAGATAACCTTGAAAGAGAGGATACGTTCTTGTGGTTGCTCATTAATATTGTTACTGATAACGAATAAAAAGTCAGATACGGTATCATACAGAAGTTAAATATACCTAATAATAATAGAATAATAAATCCATATACAAGTCTTTTAAATTATTAATATTGATTTAAATTATACACTTATACTCTATAACAATCTTTCTTCAAATCTCAACTCATTATTGATTGGTAAACCAACCAACAAACGCAACAAGTTTTCAACAGCTAATCTTTGCTTGTTTAAACCATTGATAGCTTTGAAACCAGGCTTGGCCAATGGTGCCTTTAACCAATAACTCAATAATGTCAAAACAGCATAGAAATCTTGGTAGTTTGACTCATCTGCCTTCTTGTAGCTAACTCTAGATAAAAATTCAGTCATCACAACCAAATCAATGATCAATGGAGTAGCCAATAACGAGTCTTCACAAACATTGTGAATAGAGATCTTGTTGTGTCCCCCCAACATCAATTCAGAGTAATATTCATCCATGGCAACCTTTGAGTCTCCAACAGCTGGAAGGTACTTGATAACAATACAGTGGTCAATCTTGTCGCCCTTTTCCTTATTATACAAGATTTGGTTAGATTCAATAATATCATCCACAACCGAAGCCTTGGAAATTTCCTTGGATCTAAATTGCTTTGGAGAAGATAAATTGTAACCATCATTGTTACCCAAGTGGTTGTATGAGGCAATCGAGATTGGTCTGATACCAGCATCGACCAAGTATTGGGCCAAAACCGACTTGACCTTGGTTTGGCCACTCTTGAAGTCATCACCACCAATAAAACTATTATGCTTTTCGGCCAATTCTATAGCTCCTGGAACAAATGTGTTTTGAGGAGAACCATTGATGTATGGAATATTGTCCAAAATACAAGCAACAGCGAAAATAGTAGATGGAGAAACCTCGGCTTCGTTAGCCTTGATTGCCTTAAGTAAATTGTCAGCAGTATCGTTGACACCTGGCACAACATCTGCGAATCTTTCAGTGTTAGCGGTCCAAAGAACGATAACCTTATCTAAGCCATTCTTTTCCTTAAAGTCTTTGATGTCCTTTCTGACTTTTTCGACATCCTTCCACTTGTTGTTAGTGTCAACCTTACCGTTTGAGTCAACATTAGAAACATTGTCCGCCCTTTCTTCCTGGTTTAAAGCAATGAAATCAGGATAGTAGATAGATGGTAAAGGTGTGGTTTTTTCCATGTATGGTGATAATTGCTTTTGCAAGGTAACATCTAAAACCTGAGCTCTCTTCATAGCATCACTTAAGTTAAGCTTACTGATATCCCAACCGCCAACAACAAAGTCATTTGGGCTAACCATTGGCAAAATAGAATTAAATGGAGCATAGATGTCATTACCTTCCTTGTCAACACCTAATTTAAGGGTAGAGGATTGAGTAACAGAACCATAGTAATTTGGCTTAATAACACCTTCCTTTGTTTCAAAGGAAATATTGTGTTTGTTAGCCAAAACAGAACCTACTAAGGTAGTACCATTGTTACCACCTAAACCTACCAACATTAAACCAGTTTTTGGTGTTTTCAAGTCTACTTTAAATTCATAATCAACTGCAGTTGGAGTGACGTTGAATGCGCCAGCCTCAGAAGTTTCCACAGTTGAATTTTCGTAAGTGAACTTGGTATATAATGTATCGTCTTTCTTAGTAGCTTTACTAGAATTGAATTTAATATTAGCTGACATTTTGATTCGTTCAATTGATTTTGAATTCCTAGAATGGTTTTCTATAATAAAAAGCTCCAAAATGTTTAAAACTAGGATGAATTTCACCTCTATTTATAGTTTTTTACATTTTGGATTTGCAGAATGTGGATTTATGGTATACCCCCTTGTAAAACCCTATAATAGTATATTACGTAACTTTTCGCCGAAATTTAGTATAGGTTTAACTCAAAATCATAATAATATTTTATTGTTACGATTGTTAATTCCATATGCGGAAAGTCGCAGAAATATTTCCACCGAGTTTTCGGCGAAATAAACTTTATCCCACTTAAAATCCCACGTGAATTTTCAACTCTAGGCTATAATAACCAATGTAAATTCCCTCAATTGGGTCTCATAGATATTATTAGACCTGATCACCGCCTCACTTATTCAATTCAATGGAGTCCCGATCATAATGTAGTTTATAAACTAAATATAAAATCACTTACTACGTGGTGGTAACACTCGTTGACCATTGATGGTTGTAACTAAGTAGTTAAGTTGCTTCGTAACCTTTTCTTGCGTATAAGTAAAATATGCAGTTTCGGCGAAGTTCCTTTACAACGGATAGGGGATGCGTGTTTGAAGACACATTATTGGTAGTTTTATTCTAAACTTGTACACGGTACATTGTCTCAACCGATATCTTACGGGTTACCGATTTCTCCTGGTTAATGAACACGCCCACCTCTATTACCTTATTTAGTAATCCTTTATTCAATAAGAATCTGCCTTCCGGACGCTATGCGTACTTTTTCCAATGTTATTTTTTTTACTGGAGCATGGTGATTGACGCGTTCACGTTTGGTAGTAGGTGAAAACAGGAAACAAAACTGATGGCTTTATGTTCATTCTCTAATAATTTTACACACACAGTACTAACTTCAGCTACATGGTGTACGTTAAAATACCAGAGTAATAATAACATAAAATTTGAAACTAGCGATTAAGGGAACCTATTTCATCAAAGTAGAAATCGTCAGTTAACATCCAAATAACTTAATTGCTTCTCGTCGAAGACCTCTCGTGCCAAATAGAATAACTTTCTTTAAATTTTTGATCAATAGTAGAAGCGTAGTACTCATACGCGCAGAATGTGATTTGTTTTCTGTCAAGTCAGAAAAGTCAGATATTCCAATCGGAACTTCATTCATAGCCTAATCGTTTCTGTCAAGAATATAATCGATACAAATAAAGTTAGCATATTAGAATTAACCTTACTTTCAATCGAAAATTGAATAATAGCAATAATTCCACCTCATAGCACTGTCAGCGATTGAATTCGTTTCTAGTAATGTACTAATTGGTTCATAAAGTTTCCAATTTTGTCATTTAACCCCCTTATATTCATTTATTTTTGCCATTAAACGTTTATCCAATGCAAAGGTCTATTGTATTTATTGAACGATAGAAACTTTTTTTCTCGATTATGAAGACTGCGTAGCTGGTTGATTACCAAAAATGCTTCTTTATCATAATAGAATAATTTATTTAGGCTCGAACAATCTTATTTATATGCATGCAAGATATTGCTATTGAGATATGAATGTAATGCCACGATTATATCTAATAAATAGCCTTCACTAACGATGAACAATCTGTCATCTCATGCGCCTGCAACAAATGCTAGGCCATAAGATCTCATCATTTGGTTTATATGCAGGCTTTTTACGAGATGGCTGGAACCCAGTACCCTTTAGGCATTTTTTTATTAACCATAGACTAAAACGTAGAGAAGTCGAATCGAATTGGGATGTCAACCAGCCATATGATCAAGTTTGAAATAAGCTTTACCATTTTAGCCTTAGTGCTATAGAAAAAAATAATGGCCTTGCATATGGATTGTCCGGGCTACAAGATGAACGATGAAACAAATTATTTTCGAAACAAAGTATATAAGTCTCAGTGTCTCTGTGATTGCAAAGGAATTTGAAACATAGAAAACACGTTCATTAAACAAATCCAACAAGTACTTATAGTGGAAAGAATTCTGCAAAGCATATATTGTCATACTTTTAGTCGTTCCTTTAAAATTTTGAGTCCAACTCTAGTCATTCCTTAACATTCCAACTACTTGTCATTCCTTTATAAATCTCTATAATTTCTTATCTCTTAATATGTTTTCAAAAAGAATTCTTTTATTGGTAGCCTTCTACTTGTTGAAAAATGTTGCTGCTTTTGATGCTTCCTCCAGTTCTAACGTTGCAGTTTACTGGGGTCAAAATTCAGGTGGTGGACAAGAGAACTTAAGCACTTACTGTGCATCTGATGCTGTTGATATCGTTTTATTATCGTTCCTTTATTCATTTCCAGACAATTTAGCTGTTGATTTTTCCGATGCTTGTTCAGATACTTTCTCAGACGGTTTAAAGCATTGCTCCCAGATTGGTAAAGACATCAAAACATGTCAAGATAATGGAAAAATTGTCTTACTCTCGATGGGTGGTGCAATTGGTAATTATGGTTTTGATTCTGATTCTGAAGCCAAAGATTTTGCTGAAACTTTGTGGAACAAATTTGGTGGTGGTTCTGATGATGAAAGACCATTCGATGATGCAGTTGTCGATGGGTTCGATTTTGATTTAGAAAATCAGCAGCAAACCGGAATTCCCGCCCTTGGTCAAGGATTAAGAAGTTATTTTGCTAAAGATTCATCAAAAACCTATTACTTATCTGCTGCTCCCCAATGTCCTTATCCTGATGCATCAGTTGGTGATTTATTGAGTGAGGTTGATATCGATTTTGCTTTTATTCAATTTTACAACAACTATTGTAAACTAGGATCCAGCTTTAATTGGGATACATGGCAAGATTATGCAACCAATACATCACCAAACAAGGATATTCGATTATACCTTGGGTTACCAGGTGATTCAAGTTCAGCTGGATCTGGATATACCTCTGCGTCTGATGTCGAATCATATCTTTCCGATATTAAATCGGATAAGAACTTCGGTGGTATTTCATTATGGGACGCTGCATCTTCTTGGAGAAATACCAACAATGGTAAGAATTATGCTCAGCAAATGAAGAGTCTCTTAGGATCCTCCGATTCTGATGAGACTTCCACTTCTTCAACAAAAACAGCAACTACTGGTTCTACATCCAAATCCGCTTCAACAAAGGCTACCTCCACTAAAGCAACTTCGACCACTTCTACTGATGTCGGTTCTACTGCTGATGTTAAAGCAGAACCTACAAGTACGAATAATGGTAACGTTTTAACCACATACACAAGACCTTCTACATTCAAGACTATTACAACTACAGGTACCGTTAGCTATATAGTTACTTTGAGTCAATCGCCCACCTTTGACGACGGATTATACAAAGGTAATGATTACCATAAATCGTCTCCTCAAGATGGTCAGTATGATAATTCGAAATTTAATAATGGTCAATGGGAAGAAAGTTAATTTCTATCTACGTGTTTATATGGTTGTTTTGGTTCGTTTTTAATTGTTTATTGTTTTAATATATATGTGCTATGGTTTGTGCGAAACTTTTTTGCAGCTAATTGAAATTATTGCAATTTTAACATAAATTTGCTATTTAAATACTTAGTAGCAAATAATATCATCATATATACGCCAAAAGACTGAATACTTGAATTCTCAAACGGTCTACCGAAATATTAATTTGTTTTATTATATTCTAGCAATTTACGTAAGAGCGTAAATCATTGCTCTGATAAAATTACATATTAATGCTTTTTATTTTTTCAAACTCCAATTCCAAATTTAGGCCAGTAAGCAATGCCCTAGCTACTGCGTTCATGTATAATGCTTCCACTTCTCCCCCATTCCAATTGGTTACAGAATAAATATCACCTTTGTCAAACTTTAGGATCGAGAGCTTGCAATGGATCATCGGTATGGGCAACGAATCAACTATTTTCAATGCCAGATAAGTTAATGGACGAGGGGATACAAGAAACATAAACGTACGGCTTCTTGCTTGTTTAGTATTTACATGATGGTGATACAGGCCCGAGATTTCTCTAATAGTGGCTGGTTTGATTTTTGTATCATAATTTTTACACTGCACCAAAATATTTACGTCGCTTTCCAATGAAAGATTGGCCAGCTTGCGTCGTTCGGATTGGGGTATAGCATGATACTCATTATATTCCTTTGAATCCTTTAGGAGCGGCCGAATGGACCCAAATTGTAATTTTGTTGTAGTGATATTGGCCGGTTTAGGATCTAATGCGTGCCAATAATGGGCCAAGTTCCACTTTCCCAAGATATCAATACCTTGGTCAAAAGAACCTCCTACCCGCGTCAAAGAACGACAGTTCAATAGACTGCTCATCAACTGCTTGGAAAGTAGTTCATAGAGAGTTCCCCGAAAGAGAGTCGAGTTGATGTTAATATTGTTCTGGCGACTGTAGTTTAGATATGCCTGGCATGATTGAATGTTTGCAATATTGGAAATTGTTCTGAGACCAAGACGAAGAGATACATTATGGGATAGTGACTGAAGACCATGCTTGAAATTGATATCAAACAACATAGATCTCCAACTGTAGTGTCATTAAACCCTTTTGGTAGTGTTGATCACCGTTAACACCACAAAATTAATTTTCATTGAGAATGGAAAATTACCCGAACCCAATTATCACTGAATTCAAACCATCACACTTGTTTGCCTCTTTACACCATAACCATCTGATATGCTTACTCGATACATTATACAATTGCTTGTCATTATATCTATAGCATACGCACAACTTCTGACAGTGCAGATCTATGCCAATCCGTTATCGTCCAAGCCTATCGTCTTAGGATCCCTCCACTACGATAAAAACACTACACATGCTTCGTTCACACAAAACGACATTGCCATAGATGACGGCCACTACTGCATCGGCACTAAAGACTTACCAAGCCTCGAGTGCTTCACCTACACAAAACTATCCAAATCGACATTGGGGACGAAATTGTTACTCGTGCACCTCGATTCTCACAAAAATATAGCACATCTCTCGATGTCTACAGCAGCAGCATCGGAGCAAAAGAAGACGTCCGAATCCTCCATCCAGGTGGCCGTTGCTAGACTCCAATACGACCCCAAACCCATTAAGGCCAAACAACCCGAAAAGGCCCAGAACAACCCTGAAACCACCGAAGAGGCCCCAAAGTCATGGATCCAGAAAAACTGGATGTACGTGGTTCCACCTCTCTTGATCATGTTCGTATTGCTAGGCGAAGACGAAAAGAAATAATCACACTGTCTCCTATATACGGTATTTAAGTAATATATAGTGTATGTACGTCTTAATTATGTCTCATTTATGTCCCATATTTACGTCCCATTATTTTCATATTTATGTCCCATAATTCTACATTTAATTATGTCCCATTTCACAATTATGTCCCATTTGTTCGGATATAACCAATCTATCCGGCATGCTCCACGCACTTTGGTCTGGCCTCTAGCATTGCACCTCGATATTGTTACTCTAGGCACTAACGGTGAAAAATCCGGGTAATATTGCTGACCATCGTTTCAGCGAATCAGAGCTCAATTATTATCATTAGTAGGTGTTAATAATTGACAAATATTTACAGGTTGAATATTGCAAAAAAAAGCGACACAAAGCCAAATTTTTATAGTGTTTCTTTACAACTAGTTCAGAATTTCACCCTACTAACTAGCTGTTTTAGGAACAAGATTCTAGTAAATTAATATAGTAAATTAATATAGTAGCAGTCTTTAAGGTTTATTGGTATAATCATGTTGGCTGGTAGAACATCTATATTAAGAGCATCGAGACGTTATTTATGTGCTTCATTCAGAAGATTGGCGGATGTTGAGGTCACCATCGATGGGAGAAAAGTGTCGATTGAGGCCGGATCATCCATTATTCAGGCCGCAGACAAGGCCGGGGTGACTATTCCTCGTTACTGTTTCCACGACAAATTGGCTATTGCTGGTAATTGTCGTATGTGTCTTGTGGATGTTGAGAGAATGCCTAAGTTGATTGCATCGTGTGCTATGCCGGTGCAGAACGGTATGGTGGTCCACACAGACTCGGAAAGAATCTTGAAGGCCAGAGAAGGGGTTACTGAAATGTTGTTGGAAAACCATCCGTTGGATTGTCCTATTTGTGATCAAGGTGGAGAATGTGACTTGCAAGAACAGTCGCAGAGATACGGTTCGGACCGTGGTAGATTCACTGAGTTGATGGGTAAGAGAGCCGTTGAAAACAAGGCCATTGGTCCGCTTGTCAAGACCTCGATGAACCGTTGTATCCATTGTACCAGATGTGTGAGATTCATGAACGATATTGCCGGGGCCCCAGAAATGGGATCTACCGGCCGTGGTAATGACTTACAAATTGGTACTTATATCGAAAGAAACATCAACTCCGAGATGTCCGGTAACATTATCGACTTGTGTCCAGTCGGTGCCTTAACCTCGAAACCATATGCCTTCAGAGCCAGACCATGGGAATTGAAGAGAACAGAAACTATTGATGTCATGGATGCCATTGGTTCCAATGTCAGAGTTGATGCTAGAGGTATTGAAGTCATGAGAGTATTGCCAAGATTAAACGATGAAATTAACGAAGAATGGATCAGTGACAAATCGAGATTTGCCTGTGATGGTTTGAAGACTCAAAGATTAACCATTCCTTTAATTAGAAACGGTGATAGATTCGAAAACGCCACCTGGGATGAAGCTTTGTCTACCATTGCTGCCGCTTATGCTAAGATTAATCCTTCCGGTAACGAAGTCAAGGCTATTGCCGGTGCTTTAGCTGACGTTGAATCGATGACTTTATTGAAGGACTTAGTTAACAAATTAGGTTCTGAAAATGTTACTACTGATGTCGTTCAAGGAGCTAATGCTCACGGTCTTGATATCAGATCTAATTATATATTTAACTCCACTATTGATGGTGTTGAAGATGCTGACCAGATTTTGTTGGTCGGTACCAACCCAAGACACGAAGCTGCAGTATTAAATTCAAGAATTAGAAAGGTCTGGTTAAGGTCTAACTTGGAAATTGCTCATGTTGGTCAAGAATTTGAATCAACTTTCGATTTAGAGCATATCGGCCCTGATGTCAATGCTTTACAAAAGGCATTAAACGGTGAATACGGTAAGAAATTGGCTTCTGCCAAAAACCCATTAATCATTATTGGTTCTGGTGCTGCTGAATCCGAAGAAGCCCAAAGCATTTATAACATTGTTGGTGAATTTGCTAACAAGAACAAGAACTTCAACACACCAGAATGGAATGGTGTTAATTTATTACATCGTGAAGCTTCCCGTGTTGGTGCTTTGGACATTGGTTTCAATACTTTGAGCGAAGAGGTTGCTCAAACCAAGCCAAAGTTCATCTATTTATTAGGTGCTGATGAAATTAAAAACAAGGATATTCCAAAGGATGCATTTGTGGTGTACCAAGGTCACCATGGTGATTTAGGTGCTTCATTTGCTGACGTCATCTTACCGGGCTCTGCCTACACTGAAAAAGCTGCTACTTACGTCAACACTGAAGGTAGAACTCAACTGACTCGTGCAGCTACTAACCCACCAGGATCAGCCCGTGAAGATTGGAAGATTTTAAGAGCATTATCTGAATATTTGGGTGCTCCATTACCTTACGATGACTTGTATCAAGTCCGTTCAAGATTAGGTGAAATTGCTCCTCATTTAGTCAGACATGAAGTTATTGAACCAGTTTCTACTGATGTTGTTAACATTGGTTTCAATGAATTAATTAATAAAAATAAGGGTATTGCTCCAATTGGTATCCCATTGAAGAATCCAATCGATAACTTCTACTTCACTGATGTCATATCAAGATCTTCTCCAACTATGGCTAAGTGTATTTCTTCATTCGGTGCTAAGGGTGACAAAACTATCGACACTAAACCTGATGTTGATTTTTAAGAATAATGAACGTTTAGTTTATTTATAAATTTTTTTCCACTTTGCATGTCAAGATCTACCAACATCTTTTATACTATTTCAATTTCAAAACCATCCTTACTAAACAATATTCCCTTACAAGAAAGAAACAAAATCTATAAAAAAGTTGATGTTCTTTTTTATCGCAATGACTTTTTAATTATTATTTGTTTATTAATTGCTATATTCTTACTATTTTAGGCATCTCTTTTGTTACATATATTAGCTCTATTAAATTAGATATTAGAAATATTACATTGTAATCGTATATGCTTGTAGTCAATTTCATGAGCTTGATTTGTATTCACAAGATTATTATAAATGAAGAACTGCATTGATTAGAATTTAAAGTTCTTGCTATCAGATGCCATGTCATCCGGTTGTGTAGATTCCTTTTTATTGTTTTCAGTTTTTCCATCTCCTTGCTTAGAGCCATTCTGTATATCATAACCAAATTCTGTTCCTAGCAATTCGTTCCCCGTATTCTGCTTATTTTCCTTGATAACCGTATACAATTGCTTCGGTCCGTTAGATTCAGGTTCAACATTTTCTTCTTTTCTGGATTTAATACCACCAAATTCTGAAATTGCAACCTTCGCTGGCCCAGAATCATAATCTATATTCTCTTCGTCATTGGTGTATCGTATCTCTTCATTTTCGTCAGCTTCTTCGTCGCTTCTTTCACCTTCATCATCTTCATCATCCTCGTCGGACGATTCAACCACATTTTCAAGCTTGCCCCAATAAGACTTTCCTTCATCATCTTCTTTATACAGCATGTCAAATTCATTCTCAAAATTTGCAGGTTTGTATCCATCATTTGAGTATTCCATATCTAGACCAGGGATCAATAAATTTTCATAGGCAGGTGGCTTTCCAATATTAAGCATTATATCAAGCCAAGGAGGAGGAACCGAAAACGAATTTTCTTGCATTCCCAATGCATGCCTTAATGTATTTGACACAACTCCAGGTTTGATTTTTGCTATCTCATCAGCATATTCATCTGTTGTTTCTCTACCTTCAAAATATATGTCTCCATATCCAAACAATCTTGGCTTCGACTGAAATTTAAAGAATGCATCATGTAGCTTTTGATAATCAATATCTAATTTGCCCATTTTAGGCTGAACTCGCTCTCTTTGTTGCTGCTTTAATGTCAGATCATCATTATTTCTCATGTCTTGAATTCCAGTATCTCGAATGAACTTTGGTAGCTGGAACGGTTGCTTTTCAACACCCCTTCTCGAAGATAAATATTCTCGTTTGGAAGACCAGTGTCCTGGAACTTGAACAACATTAGGCTGTGACTTGATATTCACAAGTATATACGGATCATGAGCATCTACATCATACCATTCCACCACCTGTGGCCTTGCAGTAGATGCTTTTAAAGTAGCTAACGGTATTCTATTTCTCTTTCTTAATTGTCTATTGGAAAGAGGCTCTTCTTCCTCTTCACTATCAGATTCATTAGGCTCATCTTCTGCATTATTATCATCACTTTCATTTAGTTCACCTCTTTCAGTCGTTGGATTTGATTGGATACTATCGTTCTTTCCTTGAAACTTATTAAAAATGTCTTGAAATTGGATAAATAATGGATCTGTTTCTATTTCAATCCCTTCTGGAAGAGTAGTTCCTTTAGATTCAGAATGCTTTTCAGCTGAAGGTGCTTTTTCTGAAGGTATTTGGGTAGTATCTCTTGTACTACCCTCGACTTTTCTTAGTTTGGCTTTCTCACGTCTAACCTGGTTCTTAGACCTTTTTTGCTTAGCCATTCTCTAATATTTACCCTCTCAATAGAATGTTTATCTACGTAGTTCTCTATCTATCATTATTCATTAGAGTGATGAGTGTCGGTAGTTACACAAAACTCTACATAATTAAACAAGCCGAAGACTATACAAAATGCCTATCATACCACCATCTAGCTTGCTTGTGATACCTTTTGCTCTAATGCCGTTAGTCTAGAAGCAACCTTATCCATTCGATCATTTATTTCTTTATCAGCGTTATCAATCTGTTGTAAAATTTCATTAAGTTTATCTTCTAGATCTAGAGCTACATCAAAGACAGAAACCACTTTTCCATTATTTATACTGACATCTGGGTCTTCTAACCCATCCTTATGTATCACGGTAGTAGTAAACAGATTAGTAGCGTCTTGGGACTTAGTATTATCGAATTCACTATTATTTACCTGTGGAGTCGAAAGACCTGGAATTGAAGTGGATTCCAAAGATGTGGTGGAATTATTAGATGGTATCGACATATTAATACCCCCTTATGCCAGTTATATTGCAGATATCTCAGATATATCGATATGAGTTAATAAATAGTTAGAATGTAACGAATATAATAAGCAATAATAAACCGACAGCGATCGCGATAAAATGTTGAATCTTGCGACTCACTAAAAGACACTTTGGCTTTTAACTATACGATCTATATGTATCCCTCGAGCATTAAAATGTTCGGTATTCTAAAGATAGGGATAATATGGCTAGCCTTGTTAAATGTTTCTAATTGTGATAATTTAAAGGTGGGACACAAGCCAATTCTGAAATATAATGTTAAGTACTACCATTCCAATATACCTAAGGACTTCGCAGATACATTTGTTGGTTTAAATGACAAAATTGTAGAAAATGGATCCTTTGAAGTTCTAGGCATCGATGGACTGTCATCTAAAGACCAATATTTATGCTTTGTACCGAATCCAGCTACAGCTAATGTTAGTATCGAAAGTCCACAACGGAATCCCAATTCGAAAGAAATAGAAACAGGTCCAAGGACAGACGCAGAAATAATACAAAGAGGCGTGGAGGCTATTCAGAATTCCTTTTCAAGAAAAGATTGTGTGTTTGCCTACGGATCAAATGGAGGATACTGGACGCTAGGGTATTGCTTTGGTGATAAAGTTGTGCAATTCCATGAGAATCTTCAACATTTCTTAGCAACTGGTAAGCACAAACCCGAATACCCAGATTATATATATGTGCTAGGGAGATTTAAAGGCTCCTCCAAAGAGCCTTCAAAATTAAAGAACCAATCACCATGGACCAGCAATGATTTAGATGTATCAGAATTCACTATCCATGAGAGTTCGATCATATCCGATGCTACAGCAAAGAATGAACAGAGTAGGTTCATCCAACATACGTTATACAATGGAGAAATTTGCGATCTAACTCGAAAACCTAGATCAATTGATATAATTTATAAATGTGATCCCAACCACAGAGGCAGGATAGAGATCCTAGATCAGCAAGAAATTAAAACCTGCGTATATCAGATGGTGATAGGTGTTCCAGCACTTTGCACATTAGATGAGTTTAGGCCTAACAAAGTAGAAGATCAAATCGTTGACATCGACTGTAAATTAATAGACCAAAAAAATCAAGTTAAGGCCGATAAACTAAGCTACCAAGACTTTTTTTATTACTCCGAAGATATATCAAATGATAAGAAGCTTTTTCCAATACCGCATGCATACAAAGTTTCATTAAATAACTATCATTTGAGTCCTTGCGGATATGGCTTTTACTTAGGTCAGAGCAAGGTTCCAATCAATTCACCCAATGTGTATTTCAATTTCCGTCATATCCTTGTTTTCAACGACCAGTATCATTCAAGCACCGACCTTTTGGAAAAGCTAGGCAAAATGCTTCAAGTTTGTATCGGAAATAAAATCTTATCTCCACATATAGAGAATATGAAACAGTCCCTACTTTCCTGGAATGACTCCTTCATTCTTTGGTTCGAGTTATATGATTTCTACGGCTCGTTTATATCATTAGTAAAAGTAACCAGAGATGGTTCAAAACAAGAATTGGAATTAGCATTGAGATTAATAGACCCAGAAACTATGCTTGACCAAGATGGTGACTTGGTTAAGGTTCCCGAATTCGATGCACCCAACAATGCATGGAATTTCCAAAAGTTTTCAAAAGGAAAAGCATCAGCCCCCAATCAAGACTCGATTGAAAAAACTAATGCTGGGACTGATGAACAATACGAGAGCACCAGTACGGAAATTGTCACAGTTACAGTTACAGAAAGTCTTGATGCTAGTCCTAGCGACGATGCTCAAGAGATGTCGAAGGAAATGATTATTTTGAAAAAATTAGCTGACAAGCTAGGAATGACGGATATTCACGAATTGCATCAAGCTATAGAGGAACTTGATATTGAGCTTGAAGTACAGCATGATGAATTATGAATATATATATATGTATTGTATACGATACTCCAAATTACGCTTAAATATTAATAAATTGTGTAATATCCGTGTAAATGTAATACTGAGATATGAAAAATTAAAAAAAATGAAATAGTGGTGTTATCAAACCTTACATCAACGATCTGCTTCTTTAGACATTTGAATAGGTATATTAATTGTTAAATCTTTGAAGTACCGTATTCATTGACTTTTCAAATGGCTTATTTGAGTAATATATCCCAAGCGGTATTGATAAAGCCTACGAGGTTTATTCAAAGCAGAAATATATCTTTTCTTAAGAAATTATTGCTGTTGGATAATGGAAAAACGGATGCATCAGAGACTCCAATTTATAATTGGGATGAGTCTCCATATGAGGACATTCGTACCCGTGCAGCATTCATAAGAACCAGAGCTTTATGTCCAGTAACGAAGAAATCAGTAAACTTTGTTTGCCCGTACTCGGGAATCCCCACGCACCATTCAGAGGAAGCATGGAAAGCTGATGAAGAATATCATTCGAAGAAGAAGTATGAGTTGTTGAAAAAAGTTAACCTTTATGAACATGACCTCAGATCAGGACGTAAGTTCGATGAGTTTGTGTTCCCTGGAGAACAAGAACAGGATTTTACCCTTAATATGTCCTCATGGGACTCTTTTTTCTATACCAGAGATTTCAACCCAATGAATACTGAATTTAACTTGGCTGCAGCTTCTAAGGTATTGACATATCCTATTACTATCGGCTCTGTATTGCATAAATTTTCACCATACAGTATGCAGCCAAAGGGAACTGTAACGTTAGAAGGATTGAGATCTCTTTCAGCGTTGCATTATACTTTATATCCACCATATTCGAAAACTACAGAAACCGCTGTCAGTTTCAAAGAAAGACCAATGAGGATATTCATTCTTGGAGCTAAGATGGAAGCCATGCTCCCAGGCTATGTTTGGAAACAATTTGGTTACTTATTCCCCGAATCGAAGTTTGAAATACATTTCATAGGTCCCGAATGCTACTTTGATCCACAAACGAAGAGTTTCACGTCTACTGAAGAACCGCACGGACGCGCTTTAGTTAACAGATATGACGAGCAAATAACCTTGCATTATCACACATTATATTTCCATGAATTATATGATTTCGGTGATTTATTCCCATTTGATCCATACTTGGATGTGTTCTTTTTATTCCACCCTGGTTTTAGAACTGCTAATGAAATCCACTGGGATAAGTCTTTGAAGGGCTTATTGGAATCTAAATGTGCGGTTTATGTCACTGGTTATCATGCTGAGGACGCAGCCAGGGAACGTGAATGGTTAAGTTCTCATAAATTAGCGGATGAGATGGATATATTAATGAATCAGACTAAAAACGTCTTTGGTTCAACTAAACTTGATTTAGTTGACTCGAATCCAACCGAAACTTTCCAAGCAAACAACGAAATGTTTGCATTCAGAGGTAAAAGATATCATGCTATCAAGAAGTAAACCATAGCTTGATTAGTTGGGTTCTTTATATATAACTCCTAAATACTTGTACATAATAATAAGTAAAAAGTATATGCTGAATTTACTTACGTAATCAAGCGTCTTAAGAAGTCCGCCACATATCTATCTAATCCAAGATCAAGATAATGATTGATTACTGTTGAAAGCTTCTATATTTCCGCCATGGATGTTCCATTTACAATACATTTTGATGTCGAACAGATTAATGCAGTGAATGAGGCCGATAAATTAGCAATTTCGACTTATTCTATTAATGTTACGTTAGACCACACGATTGGAGATATCAAACAACTGATATGGAAGAATTCGCAAGATTATTCTTTAAAGCCAATATTTTTAACTATAAAGCATAACGAAAGTGTAAAGAAAGATCATGAGAGATTATGTGATGTGTTACAGACACCCGAAGCAACTGATAACCCAATTTTTCATGGATTTAAACTAATAATTGATTATACACTTTTCAATTCTCCAAGTGTACCAAGACGTGATCCAGTAGAAGAATTGTTTGATATCATTATTGATTTTGAAGAACCTGGAAATCAGACTTTCAAGATAAGAGAAACTTTAGATTGTACGATTGGGGTCTTAAAGGACTATATTGTAGAAGAGAAGGCAAGACACGGGCTAACTTTGAATAGAGAATCCATCAACTTGATTTTAGCATCTAATAACATAACTTGTACAGACAATGAACTGCGCTTGAGTAGGGCTTTAAAACTAGATGTTACGCCTTCAAGACCTGTTTCATTCAAAGTTCAAACAAGAATTGCATCAGATGGTGGGGTCAGTGGTAGAAGGAGATTTCATATCAAGATAGATTCCACTATTTCTGCATTAGAACAAGGTAATAACCTCTTTGAAGTAAACTTTCGAACTACAGTGTATGAATTTAAACAACAAATAATAGAACGGATGGATTATCAGTCTGTCAGAAGGACATTTTTTGATCAAGTAAGATTATATTATGCTACTCAGTTAATTGAAAATACCACGCAGATAAATGATTGTTCACTATATGATGTGTTATTATTGAATGACGAGATTTTAAATCAAAATAATGGAATAATCACTATGAATCTTGAAGTCACAGATAGTTTGAGTGGAAACGGAGGAGTATTAAGCCGAGACTTTTGGCAGGATTTGCGTTCTCAGAATAGATTTGAGTTTTCACCAAATAGTAGTAATGATCTAAGAAATATAGGCGAAGACGAAAACAACTCACATAATATTGCGCCCATCGAACCCACAAGAATTATATTAGAAGGAGGAGTAGAATGGAATTTGACTGGAGAGACCTTTGAAGTCATTCAAGAGAACGCGAGAGACCAGACCCACCTCGATCAAACACGAAGGAGAGTATTGGTTAACCAAACAAACCTTGCGTCCCGTGATTATGAGTTTGCATTACAGGTTCCTGGTGAGAGCGTAGAAAGGAAGGTCATTTTAAACACATCTCAATGTATTATCGTTGATAATGGGACCCACCAGCCATACGTATTATTGAATCCTTCAGGTGCTTCATTACTAAATTCTGTTTTTAGACTGGCGAATAATGAAACCTTAATTCAGAAGGTGAGTGTACTCATGTACGATGCTCTGCAAAATGCTATGGAGAATGAGATACCAGAACCACAAGTGAATAATCTAGCCAATGGTAATGGCCACAATAGAGCTCCTGTAGCTGGCAATCAAGGCGAAACAGTAATAGATATTGCTGTTGACTTAATGAGAAATAATATAAGAAGATGGTTAAGCACCATAATGAGATGTGTTTTTCTCATATATATATTGGGAATTAATGCCCTTTTCATAGCTTTCTGGAAAGAGCTATTAATGTACGGAATAATATTTGGAACTTTCTACGTGCTAGTTTTTGCTGGGAATGATGTTGCAAATTGGGTGGAGGAGAAGTTCCATTTGAATAGAAATGATAACAGACGAAGAAGGATAGATGAGAAATTACTCTTGAGGTTAATCAGACTTTTACATTTTACAGACACTGTTACCACCAATATATTCTCAATACTCAGAAATGAATTGATTCGTACTGCAGTGGACAGAACTAGACCATACGAGTATGTATTTCGTAATGAGTTTGAGCAGAATAGCCTCTGGTTCCATGCAATTGAAACATTCACCAATTTGTGGAAAGACGGTCTCTTAATGTTATTATTACTGCTCCCCTCGTTTTCCGATAAAATATACGAGGAGCTTGAAAAATGGAGATCAAATGAAATAGACGATTTGGCGCTTGAGGTCAGAATACTACGCGAGTTAACCGTTGATGCCATAGATAGCCGAAGACAAGGCGCAAATAGCCCAAAATTCACAGAGGACCTTGTAAATGAATACACGGGTTACGTATATAACGATTTGATACAAGATTCATCTGAATCGTATACTGCAACCGAGGACCGCTACCAATCATTACTCGAGTACTACATAAAATTGCATTACCTTCATACTGACATGGACAGATTACTCGCGAATCATGGACCGGATCCAGCAACCATAGTTCTTCCCACAAATTAACAAACTGATGAACCGAACGCCTCGGGTGATAGAAGATATCACGAATAACTGCTATGCCTAGATTCATATAAGATATTCATGTGATATATGTGTATATAGTATAAACATTAATAACGTTATAATTTCAAATCTGTAGATCGCCTTAAAAAATACCATACCAACTTGTTGCAACCTCAAATCAATACGCGGGTTAATAAAACTAAAAGAGAAAGACAACTTCCTCTTTAGACATTATGAACCAGCCTCGTAACCACAATAGCCATCATAGTCTTTTTGGACGGGTGCAACTATCGTGGCTGGCTTAAAATATTTAATTCACGGTGATCGCGAATTGTTTTGTTATCATTATTTCGTAATTCTTCCAGCCTCGAGCCTAAAACGGTAAGTCAGCTAACGTTTTAAGCCAGAAATCAAGTAATTTATGCTAGTTGAACTGCAATTGCAGAAGAAATTGCAATGAAAATTTTGCAAGCGTAATCCTCGATTGGAACCATAGTACTGGTCAAGTCTTTTAGTCGTAAGCAAGTGGTAGATCAAAATCACATAAATAGGCCCTGGATCCTCTGTAGATCAGTAAATATTTTTCTAATCATTCTAATCAGTTTCCAACTACTAGTCTTTCGCTAAATAATACATATACTTACAATGCAATTCTCCACTGTCGCTTTAATCGCTGTTGCCGCTGCTTCTGTCAACGCTGGTGTTGTCACTGAAGTTGACACCCAATCTACCTTAGTCACCATCACTAGCTGTGAATCTACCGTCACTGACTGTCCAGCTCGTGAAACTACTGCTCCAGTTTCTTCTGCTCCAGTTAACTCCACCTCTGCTGCTAACACTACTGCTGCTGGTGTCTCTACTTACGAAGGTGCTGCTGCTGCCAACGGTCAATACGCTGCTGGTTTCGCTGCTTTAGCTGCCGGTGCTTTATTAGCTTTATAAGCATGCTAAATTTATAATATAATAAACTGGGTTTATTTATGTAATTAGTGTATAATAGAAGTTAATTAAAGGTATTGATATATTTGAAAAATACTGTAAGTGCGCACTAAGCTAAATATCAGTTTCAGCCAGCACAGCTGGATTAGATAACATTTATTGTTCGTTGTATGATGAAAATAACAGATGAGAGCAAAGTGTTCTACTACTCGGTCTATGCTGCAATTGAAAAGATTCCGTATGGTAAAGTCACAAGTTATGGTACGTAGAATTCATGTTTTAGATTTTGAATGATCAACTAACTTTTGTTCGTAAAGGTCACATCGCGTACTTAGTAAATAGACCGCAGAACTCACGTCTTGTGGGCTCTTCTCTCAAGCACTTGAAGTTCATTGCTGAATCATTAAACAGGGAGGCCAGTTTGGATGATATTATAAACCTTGAAAATATTCCTTGGTGGAGAGTCATACTGAGTGCAGGTAAAATATCTCCTCGAGGTAATTCGGACAGTGAGAGTAGACAGGCTAGAATTCTAAGAGACGAAGGAGTGGAAGTACTGAATACGTATCGTATCGACCTAGATGAATATGGCTGGTTTCCGGACGAGGTTGATTTTTAAAATTAAATGTATGATTTTTTGTACAAGACTATTTAAATAGGTAATTTATAATATCACTCACTTTTTAGTACCACTTTTGTATTTGATTTGTGGTTTGTTGTTCAGAGTATGAAGCGAGTCATTATTTTGTATCGACGGGTGTTTAGGTTTGGTATTTTTACTTTTCTTAGACTTATTTAAACCATTATTATGCTTCGTAGATGAACCTGATTGATCCCGTCCATTTATTTCCATTTGAGACATTTGGCGTTGTACTCTAAGTGCTTCTTCCTCCCACCATTTTGCAAATTGTTGCTCCTGTTGTATTTCCTGCAAAGTTTTTCTTTCTGTTTCTTTAATTTTAGCCTCCTCTATTTTTAAAGATTCATGAATCATTATCTCTGTTAACGACGGAGTAGAATATACCTTATTAACCGGATTATTGACGTTTAGTGCCATGGAGGAATATGCAGACTTATTTTGACTTGTTCCTTGCTTTACATGATTTCCAGCATTACCTAACTTTGGTAAACTTGATAATTTTCTTGACTGTTCCTTGCCGCTGAAATCATTTTCAGACTTCACAGAACTTGAATCACCCAAACCTACAACATCATAATGCCTTGATTGTGAAGAATTTTTCTCTGCATCATCTCCATGCTTCGATGAGCGACGACCCAGACTGCCCAATACTGGCAAATCTAATCCATTCGAGCTACCAACAATTGTGCTCCCAGAATCCTTTCTCGACCAAGGGTTTACTATTTTTGATACCTCCTCGGTACTGCTATGATCCGGAGTGATCAGAGATGCGATCTTTTTCCTTTCTTTTTGAGATAATCGAACTGAAGGCCCAAACTTGATTTTGCTGTTTTTCTTCTGTAATAAATTTTGCTGATCCTTATTTTGAGTTTCGAGACATTTACCTAGAACAGGCTGCTTATCATTTAGTGACATACCATTATTATCAGCCCAGGTAGAACGAGAACTTAATCCTATGTTAATGTGTGGGTCCTTATTCACCATAAGAGGTTTGGAAGAAGATAATCCAGTTACCGATGCTTTTCTTGCAGGTTTAATTTTTTGTACATCAACAACTGAAAAACTTCTACTGGCTGTTTGCGATGGTGGAGGTGTAGGCGAGGCAGAGTTTAAAGCTGATACTGATTTGAAATTGTCAGATTTTGAATTCTGTCTTCGTTTATTATTCACCACTTCAAAACCATCTTCCGAATCATCCAACGCTTCTTCATTTTCATTACTTTTCGTTGCAGCAATCTTCCTGAAATCAATAATATTGGCCTGGATATTTGAAATAGTAGAATTTTTCCTCGATGTAGTTGAATGGGATCTCGTTTCCTTCTTTTTCCTAAATGATTCTTGGTTTAATTTTCGCTGAGAATACTTAATGTCAATCAATGGATCGAAACCTTCAAAGCCTTTCTTATCTGATATGAAAATTTCATTATGTTCTTTAATATTGTTTAAAAATTTAAGTATCAACGAATTTGATTGCAGCTCCATCCAATGCTTAAGTGAAGCCTGACTCAGTGTCTCACAGCTTTCTACGAAGTCTATCAGTTTGCAATATTGGAAAAATAGAACTTGTTTTTCAAGTTCTTTGAGTAACTCATCTGGTATTTCTCTAAAACTTGGGTCAAATAATATTGCATCTAAATTATTATAGATAAACCAACAACAATTCATAAATAACTTAGGAGCGTTTAAATAATGACCATGAGTCAATAGAATCAAAACATTTTCTAAAGATATGAAATCCTTAATACCTAGCTGGCATAAGTCTTTCAATTGCAAAAGTAGTAATTCGTCTGAAATTTCAATAAGATCTAATAAAACGTTAATAAATTCGTCAGTATCTGGGATATCACCGAGATTTTCAGCAATACAATCAAATACTTCAATATCATTATAACCGTATAGATGACGTAAAATTATCTCAAATTGAAATGCTGTAACGTCTTCTAGAGTTAAAACTTTGAAAGCTCCATCGTCGTTTTGATAATCCCAGCGTTCCGACAAAACAGTTTCAAAAAACGCAGATCTAGCAATTAATATATACGAGTGGCATGTTATATCTCCATCTTTGAGCCGTATAATCACGTCACCATTCTCCCTGTCGTCATTTAAAGCTTGAACTTTTTTCAAGTATACCTCATCCTTAGTAAGCCTACCTAGTAGATCTGTTACTGAGAAAAGCCTTGTCAATTTATCAAAATCTTGTCTTATCTCTTTTATATCACTTGGACAATTTAGTCCTCCTGGAAAGTCATCCCATATATTCAATACTTTATTGGAGTATATAAAATGAATAACAATTAAAACCGATTTAATATTTATATTATTCGTGAAAATCAACACATTCTCATCTGGATTATATCTACCTTCTACTCCTTCTTCTATAAAAAACTCTCCTGAATCCGTAGGGTTAAAGATTCTAGCGCAAAATGCTGATCTCTTTATAAATATTTCTTTGTGAATTTTGATAGATATATCGGGATACTTTTCAAACTTTATTGAGCAGTTATGACTTTTATTAGACTCTGAATTTTCAGTCAATTTGAGTGATAAGTATAACATATCAGATTTCAACAAATTCAAAAGAGATTCATCTTCAGCACGAGATGTATGCTGAAAAGTATTCCTTGGTTTAATTCTTTTATTTCTCTGGAAGTCATATCTGCTAATATATCTATCAAATAAGATATCACATATGGCGCTTTTATTATCATCATGCTCTTTTGAATGTACTTCGTCTAACTCTTCTTCATCTTCTGGAGGTTGACTTGGGAAAATTGAATGGTAAGACGAATTTGCATTGCTGCTTGACTTCTGGGGATATACGTAGTCTGAAATATAGGAATTATGATAATGACCAACACTTAAAAGCTGTTTCTGTTTTCTAAAGAAATCTATATTTGAAAGGCAACTGAGGTACTCCATATCTTTCAAGAAATCGTTACTTTGTAATTCAAAGGGAATCAAGTCAATTTCATCTCTAATAAATCCAAAAGACAAAAAGTTGTCATCGCAAGACACTTTAATCACCTTATTTAAATTCTCAATTCTTTTGAACTTATTTTTTACGGCTGGAATAGACAAGTTTACTTCACTCATTGAATTTTTCCTTTGAGAGGAATGGGTTTTCATAAACGCAGAACCATTCCTAGTACATAAAATAATTGATCCGTCATTAGAAACATCAATGTCTATTACCTTCATGTCTCGGTCATATGACTTCCATAGAGAAGAATACTTTAAGTTTTTATAACCTTTCGACGACCCATCACCATTATCAGGTTGCGTTAATATAAAACTCATGACATCACCGTTATCTAGTAATAGTGCGATGAATTGGTGGCTCTTTAGACATACTTTTTCTATAGTGATTGCTTGCGTAAGCTTTGTTGGCTTGAATAAATCAAAATGCTTATCAATAGATCCCTTAACAGGAATCTTCGGTAATTTAAAATGCTGATACTGATAAAATATATGAATATCGTTTGTTGTGGTGATAATACAAGTGCAAGTTTCGGAAGTCTGTACATACTTAATTTCATCTCTCAATGCAACTCTTTTTGGACTACGCTGAATGAACCCTTTGTAAGTTATAGTATCCACTTTATGTTCTATTAGTGTTGTTGTTGTATCCATAGGTATTCCCATCTGACCGATACATAAACCCCAGAAAAACAATTCATTCTTAGTATAAGCAACAGAATGAACCTTAGATACAGTTATACCAATAATAGCTCTTTGATTCTTCTTTAAGTCTCCAGAAATGATCTCTTTTGGCAAACCTTCGAAAGGCTCAAGGAACGTCTTGTGTGAGGCAGAGTTGGAACTTGAAGCTATTGAGGAAGTATAGCCTAGTTGGTTGAAGTTGTTCAATCCCCAAGAATAAATTTCATTATCATTATCTAAGGCAATGGAGTGATTACTTGAAATGGCTACATCTTTGATGAATTTATCTGTATGATCCATATTTTCACCTTCATTTAGTTCAAAAAAATTAATCTTCTTAAAACGAAATGTGTTGTTCAAATCTTTGAACCCATGGCCAAGTCTTCCCCTTGACCCAATACCACAAGAATATAAACTGCCATCATAAGTCAATACAATAGAATGGTTCTTAGAGATTTTAACCATCTTATATCTTGGTTTCATAAGATTTGCCGGCATATTTTGGTTTTCAGTCCCTCTTGTTCTAAACCATTCGTGAGAAATTTTTGACGGTACAGATCTATCTGTTGCATCTCCAACACCTAAGTTGTTATTTTTATTAGAACCAAACATATATATATCTGATCCACCTCTTTTTGGATCAGACCAATTGTGTTTTTGCCGTACAATTGGTCTTTTATCTAGAACTTGTTTACCAGTCTCTTCACTATTTGCATCCCTAACATCAGAAGACTCTTTAGCTAATTGAAATCTGTAGCTTAAATGATACTCATCGTTTTCGTCGATGTACTCGGGAACCCAAACCAAATCTTTGAAATCATTATCTAAAAGTTGTAGAGGGGTAACTTTATTTCTATCTTTATTTCTAAGCATTTCAAATAAGACATTGTTATTTGAATTGCTAACTGAGCCTGTTTTCAGATTTTGTATGTGGTTTATGAGCACCTTGTAACAAGACAACCTTTTATGAAAAATTACATAATGTAAGCAATTCCAACCATTTTCATAGTCAGTAAGGGTAAGTACTGATTTTACGTTGGGGTTTTTTAGTAGGCTCTTAAGTAGATCATACCTGTTAGCTAGGATTAATATATGTAAAATAGTCCTACCAAAAATATCACGATTAGTCAATTCATCCTTTGAGAGCCCGGAAAGCGTGGATGATAACAGTTGAATCTTCGCCCTATTTATATTGGAGGAATTAGTAGATTCGGGCATTCTATTTACCACATTTGGATGGAAAAGGTATCTGATATAAGAATAGATTCAGGTATAGGCTAGAGAAATCGGATGCTGTTATCATTGAAATAGTAGATATGCACGTGAGTAAATCAACGTGGTTCATTACTAGTATATATTACTCTCTATATAAAATTACAACTTATTATACAGTCAACTCGTCCTCATCCGGTAAGATAAATGAGTTAGCAATAATCTTCTTCTTTGTCGAAGTGATTTTACCAGTAGGTGGCAATCTTGGCCGAACATTTCTCTGTTTTTGCGGCAATTCTTCATCCTCAATTAACACTAATTTGTCATTTTCAGGTAATGCAGTACTTTCGCCTTTCTTCTTCTGCACCTTCACATAATGATGCTTAGATTTGTCCAATAATTTAGAGTAAAATGGAGCCAAAATGCCAATTTGATATTCTATATCGGATGCGTATAATTTTGGGACATTGTATTCCTTGAAATCTTCATACTTATTTCGTTTGTTAATGATTCCATTAGCGCTGTACGAATTATGAAGTCTAGAATGCAAAAGATAAATTGGTATCGACGAACTTAACATTTTGAATTCCTTGTCCAATCCTAGTTCTTTAAACCCAAAGAAATCGTCGCCGAGGTCATTGGAAAAATCACCTGTCATAAATTGTTCACTGTTATCATCAAAACTCTTTTCATTGAAGTTTTCCAAACCTGGTTTTAATAATTCTTTGAGAAAATTTGATAATTTCAGTCTCAAATCCTTTAATTTGGCTTGTTGCTTAACAACCTTCTCTTTTACAAATGTATAAAGATCATCTGGTTTATCTATACCATTCTCTAAAAGAGACAATAAAAGAATTTCTCTTGTAGTTAACTGGTTAGACGAGCTACTCTCCGAGTGTAACTTAATGGACTTGATCAAATTTTCCATATATCTCTCTGCAATTTGCGTCAAAGTATTGATTGCAGCTGGTTCTGTAGTCTCATACCCTGTTTGCATAGCAATCTTAGAAATATTCCGCCTTAAAATAGAGTATTGGATATCCTTATGAAAGGGGTCATGATTAGATAATTTGGAAACAGGATCAACATCGACTTCTTTAAGCGTATCGATCTCTGGTTGTCTTAATTGGGTATGGTGCACAAACAGCTGAGTTTGCATTTGACGAATAAGGGAGATCTTGAAACATATTTTTCTTATTTCTTGCATCTCGGTTATGTTTTCTAGATACACTTTGTTTAATCCGCTATCTGTTGGAAGTACAAAAGGTGATTTTATCTTACTCGCATCTCCATTAGCTTGTTGTAAGTAAACATCTACTAATCTTTGTTCTCGTCTCTCTTCATCTTCTTCATTAACACCGCTGTATTTGAATCCCGGTAATCCGCCAGTGATGTCATACTCTAATAAATAAGGTTCATCATTTTCAAGTAAATTGCTACTTTTAGAAACAACCAGTGTATTATTGAGATAATGATTGAAATTACTCATTTCATTCGATTCTCTTATTATTGCATGAGCATTAGGCTTAAGCTTGTAGTTCTCATCAAATAAACCTGCTCTTTGAGCACAATAATGAGCTCTCGATTTCGCAGTCAAGGTACGCCATGCTTGTAGCTCTGGACCAACTTCATCTTCATCATCATTATTATCATTATCGTTGTCTTCACGCACATCGGCATCTACCTCTTCTTCTTCTTCCTCGTTGTCTTGGTCTATTGCATCAGCCTTTTTATTTTCATTTTCTACTGGCGGTACTTCGGTTGCACTTATTCCTGTAGCTGGCGTCTCTGAGAGCGACGAAGGATCTGGAGAATCAGTTTTGGTTTCGTCCTCGGTCTTAATTTGATCTTCTCTTGTCCGTTTTCTACCTTTCTTTGACGATTTACCAGCACCAACAGGGGAACCTTTGTCCTCATTTTCTAACTCTTCTTCCTTTTCTACTTCTGCCCTACTTCTTATAGTAATATTAGGAATGGATGGAATAAGCTTTTGGGTTCTCTTTTGCATGGCAATAGCATGTGCTCGTAAAAAATGTTTTGGATCTACATTGTAAGTCAAACAATTATTCCATATGAGCATCAAATCGTTAACAAATTCTTCCTTTGAATTATACTGTAAACCTTTCAATTTTTTCATGACTGTGTTAAGGTCCATAGGAGTCTTAATAATCAAGCCATAATTTGGCGCCTCTCTTTTAGAAACTTTATTTAAAAATGGGGTTGAATGTTCAGTATAACCTCTTAAATCCATAACAACCTTCTCGCATGCCTCGTACAACTCTTCTTGCCCGACTCTTTCGTCACTTGCCCATTTACCTCTGTTTTTCCTAACATCCATAAATAATGTACGCAATTCGAAATCATTTAATGGGATCTCATCTCTTTGTTGTTGAATCGTATTAAGTAAATGTTTTAATGAAAGCGAGGCAGAACCAAGATTTATTACCATGTTGTCGGTGCCATCATTATTGGTGACGTTTTCGGTACCAGTTTTAATGCCATCAATTTCATCTGACCCGGCCTCTTCAAGTTGCATATCAGATTTTTCCAATTTTCTCCTTTTTATTAATGTCTCTCTGTCGTATTCAAAATTATGATAAACTTTATTAAATTCTTTTATTAGATTTTCTTGCTCTTCTATATTAAGCCTGGATTCCGTGGCCGATTGTTGTTCTAGTTCTGTATTAGTCTCTGGTTCTGGCCTTTCTTCGAATATGCTTGAGGGAACTTCTAATATGGCTTGGTGCTCGTCGTTATATTGTACATCATTATCTTTATCATGATCTTCAGAGTGATCGTCGCTCCTCTTATCATTGTTCTGATCCTTTTCTTCTTCTTCCTCTTCATCCTCGTCATAATCGTCCTCTTCTTCTCTTACAACAGGGGCAGGTTTAGCCTCTGATAATGAATCCACTTCAGTAGTTTCACCATTCACAGTATTTTCCTCTGGCATTTTGTCTAGTTTGTCAATTAATTCATAATCATCAGTGACTTCTTCGATTGTATATACAGATTGATCTAAGTCTCTTGACGAATAATAAAAATCTATCGCTTTTTCCCACAAGAGGTATCTAATATGCAATGCCAACATCTTTATAGGCTTATGGCCCTCTTCTATAACTTCTTCATTCTCTTTGTCTCCTTGGCTCGATTCATCTGCTGTAGAGCTTTTGTTTACTTGCAAGTAACAATTTCCTTCCAAAAAATTAGACCACAATTCGTAATTATCTGTCGACAATAGATGGTTTATTATCTTATACTGGTTATCATTTAAGCATGTTTCAAAGAATTTGGTCGAATTCAATTCTTTCGCCAATTGAAATAACTTGTACTTATTATTTATTTGAAATGCAGATAGCTTCTCCATGCCTTCCTTATTGTATTTAAATCAAGCCTGGAACTGCCTATTATACTATGGGACTTCTTCCGATTTTTTGAAATGGATGGTGTGAACTTGTACTGGCTCTCGATACGTTTTGTTGGTATTTTTCACCTGATTTATTTATGTCCTATAGAAAACTAAACGCAAATTATCAATACACTCAAGCGGGTATGCTCGTGTTCACGCTACGAATGAACTGGGTTTAATTGATTAACAGAAAGGATCGATCTTAAGGCGTTTCCCATTTGATACCATCCAAACGACCCATATTGATACTTCTCGAGGTGTCCTGGGTACAAGTGCGTGCAAAATACAAAATCGGTAACCTGGTCCCAGCATCAGATGAAAGGACCCCACGAATCATGGTGGTTATACTACAAGTATATGAGGATATATTCATTCTTATTATGCTATCGTAATAATTATCTATTAATAAATAATTGTTGTAAAGAGATAAACCTGAAACCTGTAACTACCAACACTCACCACTCGAGCCCCTTCAAACTGCGTACTTCTTGGTCCATTCCTTAGCAGTGGACTCGTACTTAGCTCTGTCTTGCTTGTAAATATGAGCGATTTCTGGCACCAAAGGATCGTCAGGGTTGGCATCAGTCAACAACGAGCAGATAGATAACAACACCTTGGAAATGGTCAAAGCCGGCGACCACTGGTCCTTTAATATATCCAAACAGATGTTCCCGTTGCCGTTGATATTAGGATGGTAGATTTTAGTGGTGAACGCAATCTTAGGTGGCTTGAACGGGTAGTCGGTAGGAAAGTGGATCGATAAGAAGAACACCCCCCCGGCATATGGCGAGTCTGGAGGTCCCATGATGGACGCTTGCCAGTGGTATAAATCATCCCCTACGGGACCTGCTGAACATGAAGATGGTGGATCTCTGTAAAAAACCTTGTTAGTATGTATTTTCTTACAAATCGCTCGGCGGGCCCTGCTGCCACCTTGCTGTTACTCTCCGAGCGGTTCCAGTGGGCCCACCAGCGGCAAAATGCTCCAAAAAAGATAAACTTACCTTCCTAAGTCTGCTAATTCTTTATTAATACGTTTGGTTGACATTTTTAGCTAAATGTATGCTTTGATCTAGATATATGATCTATAATATGTATAAATAGAAAATAACTAATCATCATGATAGCGTTCTGGCTGGTGCGAGAATTTGTCGACGTAGTCACAGGCCTTCCCGCACTGCATATAATCCCGCTCATGGAACGCTGGCGAATTTTCCACTTTTTCTAATTAGTGCTCAGAAGTACGGCAAATAGATGAGCCCGGCGTATATACGGGCATGATTGTCCGAGAGGCAAACGACATTAGAGGTGCAGAATTCGAAGAATGTCGTATTATGGTCACCGCTCCGGCGCGAGACCGGCGACCAGACTCAACCAAGACCACAGACAGATTGAAAAAGATACAGAATCAGCAAACCCCATACGACAATTTGAATACCGGTGGAAAAAACCGAACACCGTAGACAAAAATATTATATAAAAAAAAATATGGTGAGCGTGCCTTACTCAATTGACCCCAATGAGCCTCGATATGATAACATCATTAGGTACTAAAGATTACGCAGAAAAATCTCAGTATTGAACTGGAATCTGACGCTTTACTTGCGCTATACAGAAGACTAGGGCAATTTTATTGAAGATTAGCCCCCGGAATATATATATTGGATACGGGTAAATGAACATAGAGAAATTTGACTCGCGGACTCGGCTATAGTATAACAGGATCACGAGATAAGCAAAACCGAACCAAAAATGTTGGTGACTTTCAATTCGAAGTCTAAGGGCAGAAATAAGAGAGATGAGGGCAGAATGGGGGGCGGAGAGAAGATAAAGATATTAGGAAGTTCTAAAGAGGCCGTTAGAAGTGATGGAAAGGTGATAAAACCTCAGCTTGAGGGCCGGGGAGTACCCAAGATAGATGCGAAGACTGCGAAGAGCGAGAATGGGTCGATCAGGATCATTGAGGATGCCCGTGATTTCCACCGGATGAAGGCATCGAGAAGATCGAAGCAGGGGTGTTTGACGTGCAAGATACGGAAGAAAAAATGCAATGAGGCAAGACCCGTGTGCGCAGATTGTGCTCGGTTGAACAAGGAGTGTGTGTGGGTGGACTACAACTCGATGAGCGAAGAGCAAATCAGGATGTTGAGAGAGCGGGTGGAGCACGAGGAGAGTGTGCTGAAGTTGCGGAAACGTAAGACTAGGGACCCATCAACCGTAGTAGTCCCAACTCCACATCACACGAATCCACCTGAAGCAAACATCCTCGAGACAAACTCACAGGACTCACCCATGACGTACATTAATGCTACACACAAATTGCATGAGTCGTATACCAGGATCTCGGATAATGACAAGCTGAAGAACTCAGATCTGTCGAAGCTTTTTAGGGTATTTAATAGTAGCCCGTCTCCTAGTTCGAACTCACCAGTCCCTACAATCTCAAGCCTCCAACAAGCATTTGTCACTCCCAACTCGCCTACCATAAGCAACCTCATGAACCCGCTTGAACACGAGAATGGAAAGCATATACCCACGAACGATGTGGTTGACCTTCCTAATCTTCCATCGTACGAATCTAATCTGTATGATAAAATGACATATTCTCCATCTACCTTCTTGAACTTTTTAAAGGGTTTGAATCATCCTCCAGATAATACCAATAATGATGAAGATGATTACCCAGTTCCAACAATAAATGAACAACACGACAAGTCAAAGGAACTCAGTGTTATAAATTCACCTAGTTTTTCTTTTCTGAATATACTAGAACACTTTTCTGGCGATAGGCAGTTTTCGCCAACTAATTTCAATAATTTTGCATCTTCCTTGAATTCTATGTTCACTCCATTACCACCATCTCCCCCTTCGATAATCCCAGAGCTAACGGGCAAAAGTGCCTATTTATACAATTATTATGTTGAGACCCTATCTCGCAAAGTGTGTATAGCACCCAGTTCACAGAATGATTCCAACTCATACCAGAATATTTTTTTGCCGCTTGCTCACCGCGATAAGGGTGTTCTTTACGGAATTTTAGCATGGTCAGGCTTCCATCTAGATGGTGAATGGATAGATGAAGGTAAAAAGTACGCTGATTTGGCATTGGAACATATGAACAAAGTATTGAAGGAATCAATGGACAAAAATCAAGGGAAAGACGATAGACAGACTATTTTGGTCAAATTAGCTACTTTGCTTATTTTATGTGGTGCCGAAATTTGCCGAGGTGATGTTAAGAACTGGTCCATCTATCTATACTGGGGCTGGAAAATTTTATTTACAAATGGGGGTATTCTAAATTTCAATCTGACAAAAGAAGAGCATTGGTTGATATCTAATTTTGCTTATCACGATCTATTAGCTAGTTCTTCAAGTGAAAGAGGCACTTATTTCCCATCAAAAGACTATGAAATCATATTTTCGGACCATGCAGGTTTATCCCGAGGAAACTTAAACCCTTTACTAGGTGTTTCCAAGAAGCTTTATAGGATAATTGGTGACATCAGCACATTGGCATTCGAAAGTAAAATTATATTAAGTCAATACTACAATAGAGACTCTGTAAATACAAAAACAGGAATTTCAGAATCACCCATCTTTGGCTCTCCAAAAGATATTGACGATAATGATTCGAACTTGAGTACGCATGCGAGAATGAATCGTTTGCTATCGTCAGTTATAGATAAGGCAAAAGCACTCCAACTGGAAATAGATGAATCAAAGCCGGATCTCACGGACTTAGTCAATCTCACAGACGACGAATTAGAATGGCAATTGACTCTATTCGAGGCGTTTCAGATTAGTGCTAAGCTCTTTCTCAGGCAAACCATTATGAAGATCAATCCATCGTCTTTGGAATCTCAGGTACTAGCCAACGATTTGATAAAATGCATCGACATCGTATTGGGTTCTCCTGTGCAGGCATCACTAGTGTTCCCAATGTTCATGTCTGGCATTCATTGTGTTACGACATACGATAGAGATTCTATGAGAGAGAGGCTTGATGAGTTCATGAAATTATATGGTCCCTGGAACGTCACCAGAGCCAAATTTCTTATGGAAAAAGTTTGGGAACAAAGTCCAGAAGGTGACAGGGTTGTCGACTGGCATTCGATTCTCAAAGACCTAGGATGGGATGTCAACTTCGCTTAATGTATAATAACTTATAGATATACGTCGATATTGTGTAACTTCTTGTAAAAGTCTCGAGTTCGTAACCCGAAAAAATAGTAAAATTACACAAAAACATTTTTTTGATGAAGTGAGATGAGTAGTAAGAATTTTCAGATTTTTCATACGAAGGACTTAATACTCTTAGAGGTAATAGAAGAATCTTATCTATCTTAGATTTATTAATAACCTTTGATAATTAAGAGATATATACTATGGCTGGTTTAGACTACCTTCTTTTCGAAGAAGCAACTGGTTATGCTATTTTCAAAGTATTGATTCAGCAAGATGACGTTTCATCTAGACTGAAGGAAGTTCAAGAAGCATCTAACGATTTGGCTAAATTTTCCAAGATGGTTGAATTAGTTTCCTTTGCTCCATTCAAAGGTGCTGCTCAAGCCTTAGAGAATGCTAACGATATTTCTGAAGGGTTGGTTTCCGATTACTTGAAATCAATTTTAGAATTGAATTTACCAAAGGGTTCTTCTAAGAAGAAGATTAACTTAGGTGTCTCTGATAAAAACTTAGGTCCATCTATTAAGGAAATTTTCCCATATGTTGATTGTTTAGCAAACGAAACTGTTCAAGATTTCTTGAGAGGTATTAGAGTACATGGTACCAAGTTATTGAAAGAATTACAAGAAGGTGACATTGAAAGAGCTCAGTTAGGTTTAGGTCATGCTTTCTCTCGTGCTAAAGTTAAGTTTTCAGTACAAAAGAACGATAACCATATCATCCAAGCTATTGCCTTGTTGGATCAATTAGATAAAGATATTAATACTTTTGCCATGAGAGTAAAGGAATGGTACGGATGGCACTTTCCAGAATTAGCCAAGATTGTTCCTGATAATTACAATTTTGCTAGATTGACTTTATTTATCAAAGATAAGGCCTCCTTGACCGATGACTCTTTGCATGATATTGCCGCATTAGTTAACGACGATTCTGCAATTGCCCAAAAGGTTATTGACAATGCTAAAATTTCTATGGGTCAAGACATCTCTGAACAAGACATGGAAAATGTTGCAACTTTCGCTGAAAGAGTTGTTTCCATCTCGGAATATAGAACAAGATTATACCAATATTTGACCGACAAGATGAACACAGTTGCTCCTAACTTGACTACTTTAATTGGTGAAGTTGTTGGTGCTAGATTAATTTCACATGCCGGTTCTTTGACAAACTTGTCGAAACAAGCTGCTTCAACTGTTCAAATCTTAGGTGCCGAAAAGGCTTTATTCAGAGCATTGAAGACCAAGGGAAATACACCAAAATACGGTTTAATGTATCATTCTTCATTTATTGGTAGAGCTTCTGCTAAGAATAAGGGTAGAATTTCCAGATACTTAGCCAACAAGTGTTCAATTGCTTCAAGAATTGATAATTATTCTGATGAACCATCTACCGCTTTTGGTCAAATTTTAAAGAAACAAGTTGAAGAAAGATTGAATTTCTACGATACAGGTTCTACTCCAATGAAAAATGCGGACGCTATTAAAGAGGCTTTAGCTTTATCCGGTGATCTTGATGAAGAGGAAGCTGGTGATGTCACTGCTGCTGCCGACTCTGACGACGATTCCAAAGCTTCTAAGAAAGAGAAGAAAGAAAAGAAAGAAAAGAAGGAAAAGAAGGAAAAGAAGGAAAAGAAAGAAAAGAAGGAAAAGAAGGAAAAGAAGGAAAAGAAGCGTAAGGCTGATGATGACGAGTCTCCAAAGAAGAAGAAGAAGAAGTCTAAGGATTAGGGAAGATAAGGTAATCCAATGTGATTTTGATGAACTGCAACTTTGCTGTTTCTTTTGTTTAATTTAGATATACTTAATTTCTTTTGTAAAGTAAATTTATTTTTATTGCATGTCAAATATAAGATTTATAAAAACTTCTTTTAAGAGCTCTACATGATTATAGTTATCGAGTAATAATGTAATCTTTAATTTGTCTATTCTCACTTATGGGGTAGTATTTCTGATCACCTATCTATCCTAACTAATTGGTTATAAGAAGCTATATATTTATTGTGTATGCTCAGCAGCTTTTTCATGAATGGTATCCTTTGCGCCATCTACATACTGATTTTTTAGTTTATCATATTCAATTTGGGGATTGTCTAATTCTTCAGTAGATTCAATGTTTCCTCTGACTGCATTAACGACAATTTGAACAGTACGGGATAACTCACTGGAATGATTCTTGGAATCAGATTTCAATGTAGGAGAGCATTTCACAATATTCTCCAAATAATCATTAAGTGGCGCAACTAATGGATCAGCAGTACTGGAGATAATCCCCTTTCCATTGTTATCATAAACCACATAGTGAAAGCGGTCGCGTAAATCATGCACTGTTTTGGCTGATGGTTCAATAATCGTAGTCTTTATGGCTTCATTACCATTTGTGAGTACCCGGCGAGTATTTCCTAATGTTCCGTTTACTGGACGAGTAAAAGAAGCCCATAAATTACTATAAGCATATTTTCTTAAATTAGGAGCAACAGAATCAAGCTTATTCAAAGCGCCATCAGCAATTGGATCACCTTTATCCATAACGGCCCTAATTGGGTTCGAATCTCTAATCGCTTGAAAGCTTGGGGAAATATTTGTAGCGCATTGCCTAACAAAAGGAATCATAAAAATTATATCCCTTGTGGAATTCACAAGAGAATACAGTTTGAAATGAGCTAAAAATTGCTTTTGCAGACCTGGACTGATAGGCGCTTCCTCTCTTTCACCTGGAAGCTCAATAGCAGGACGAGATTCGATTTGAGTAGACATTATCAATAGCAAAAGCAAATTTGAAAATAAGAAATTTTTCCAAATATCCTTATTTTTTGAAGTAAATAAGGAATGATAAGTTTTGATCAAGATGTACTTCTGCTTTATATATGATTGTTTTAGTGTCTTTATGAGATTGCAAAACGAATTAATTAAAAGTCGCATAAAGTGCGGCAAGAACACAATACCAGTTTAACATAGGAACATACGAGCACCATATATACCTAAGATCATATTTGCAGACCAAAGGAGAAGTCTATTTGATTTCATAACGCTGGAACGCAAATTCTGTTGAAAGCTATCAACTTTGTTTTAGTATATGTTTCCGCAATTATTTTTTCATAACCTGATGTATCAGTTGCAAAATATATGAAAGAAATTCAAGTGTAATCATCACCAGTTTATCAGCAAAGTGAAAATCTTCCTACATTAAGCTGCATATTACATGACATACGCAAACCTCAATTTGTAGTCTGAGTAACAAGTCAGAATTCAACATGTCTCTTAACAAAATGTTACACAATGCAAGAATATTTTTAGAATAAAATATATGGGAATTGAATCTACGAATTGGAATAGTATCTGCAATTATGCAAATAGAGGAAAGCCTTTGTTTGAATTGAATTTGTTTTTTTTCCCTATACCATATTATATTTTAAACCATGTCTTATCAAAGAAGAAGTAGAATTTTATTCTATGTTGAACACAAAGACCCAATGAACAACAATTAGTATATAAAAATACTATTATTACCTTGATAAAGCTAAATAAATATCGCTATACTTACAAGATTAGCATATATTGATTTCTATTCATGTGAATAGAATCTTAAAGAGTGTACAGCCAACGAAAACATATTACCCCAATTTTAAAATAAAGGCATGAGCTGTATTAAATTGATT